TTTCTTTTAAATGTTTCTATTACATTCAAATATGTCTCATCAAAATCAGTATTATTATATATAATTTCATATTTAGTATTAAATGACTTAAGCTGTTGCTCACCTAACGTAGGCAGTAAAAAGTAAGCAAACAGCTCGAAATTAACTTTAATGCAGTTATGTCTCATTAATAACATTTTAATTATATTATAAACATCTTTTTCGCTTTTCATCTAAGAACGCCTCTGGTGTGAGGTACTCATTTCCTATAGATGGATTTAAGCGATAAGTCAGAATCCGGTTTTTAAATGCAGTAGCTATAATATCAACATTTTCAAAATTTGACTTTACTAAACAATTTGATTTATGGATATTCGTTCTCTTATGGTATCTGTATTTATGTTCGGGGATCTCAATTTTACATTTCTCACAATATCTTTTTAATAAACAATTAGTCTCATTAATATTCGTTTCATATTCATGTTCTGGGATCTTAGTTTCGTATAAATCATTATAAGTATCTGAACTTGCTGGTGTCGCATTACTGGCTTGTGTAACTGGAAACAAAATAAATATAACACATTTTTATCGTACTAAATACTTTAATTAAGAGATAGTGGGTTACAAAAAAACTTAAAAACTAATTCACTGTATATAATGTAATATGTAGGAGTACCTATGATTAATATATGATTATATATGTTATAAAATAACTGATTACATGTAATAATATCTCGTACCAATAATTGAGTATAATACATAGGTACTTAATTACTGGTATGAACTTATAAACGTTGGAGTACAGCGTTTGAACTCCCGCCTAGTACTTATAATAAATTCATTCAAGTGCCGCCAAGATTCAGAATCTTCGTCCGTTTTATTTTTTATAGTGATCACTGAGTGACGCCACCTATTCACGGGTTGAATCCGCTCTATCTCATCACACTTGTAAACCTTAAGTTCAATGTAGAACGCACCTTTTTTATTCTCATCTATTTGACGAGAAAAGCCATTGGCCAGTCTCCTTGTGACGTAGGAGTAAATAACCGGAGGCTTTCTTCTCCGCGGGTACGTCTACCGCGTCGTCGTCGCTGTCACTCCCAAATACTTCGCGAGCCGTAGACTTGGTAACAGGAGGTATGGGGCGAATAACTGTCTTGCTTTTCTTACTGGTAGACGGCTGGGGGCTGCGCGTTGGCGTCGACTTACGTTTCTTGTTTTCCTTTGGTTTGGCCTTCATCTGCACCTCGTCCAACGATTCGTCCTCCGAAGGGAAAATATGGTCAGCAGTGTGTTTGGACCTAGAAAATAAAGATAAAAAATATTAGATAACATTCACATAAATTGCGAATTGAGTGATCGAAGAAAATGAATGAAAGTAACTTGAATGATTGAATAATAATAAAATGAAACATGAGGAACATGAATGAACATATTGAGTAAGCATGATTGACAGAATACTAAATAAAACAAATAAACAGTGTTTGGACATAGCAAATAAAAATATTGGATAACATTTACATAAATTATGAATGGAGTGATTGAAGAAATGAATGAAACTAGCTTGAATGATTGAATATTAAGAAATGAAACACTGAATGAAGTATAGCAGGTAATACTTACATTTTAGAAGATTGGTGGTTTTTAGGTACTTCCTTCCAAATTTGGATGTGACTGCTTCTAGCTGAAGAATTGTTATGATCCAGTCCCTGCAGATGATCTCTTAAATAGCACTATATCCACGTGACGGTATACCAATTAGGGAATAGGGCACGGGTTTGCTAAAATGCTTTGTCAGATCTACCACCCAAATACGAAATTGTTTAAGTTGCAGAAAAATAACTTAGCAACATACCGAGATCATGCAATATCAACTTTATCTACTTCATCTAAGACATAATATAATTTAATAACACTGAAATGTAGATCTCATTCAGATTAAATAATACATACTTATTACACCTGGGTTTGTCTCCTCCTTTACGTTGGTAAGCAAATATAATAGTATGTATACAAATCTGTCACCATTTACCTCATAAAGCTCGAAAGATTGCTTTCTAACCGACTTCAAAAAGGAGGTTATATATTTTTTTCATTAGAGAATACATAATATATCAACTATTATATATACACAAGTGAAGTGGCGGGGGCAAGCTAGTTTATTAGTATGGATGAACAAACTTACACAAAAACCGATTTCGATATATGTAATAAATTACGTTTAATTGCAATCCGAAGCGATGTAGCGCCGTGTTGTCTAGAGTGTAGAATTACATTTACAATGTTTTTAAAGTACTGATAATTTCGATGCAAATTTGAGCTTTATGTCCCTTTTAAAATGTATTTTTAAAATTCTATATAAAGGATATAATCATGCGAAAAAATAAAATAATTTAGTTTAATTCCATCAGCGAGCGGGGGCAAAAGACTCTATCCTAAAATAAAATATGTCGGTGAGTTATTTTCTTTAAATATAATTAATTATCATATAATTTTTTAATGTAATAACTTAATTGATTGAATGCAACTTAATAATTGTTACACATTTATATTCAATATTACACGCTTCTAATAACGATCATTTGAATTTATAAATAATATATACCTATAATATGAGTGACAAATTGATATTGATTCTTATTATTATTTTAGGACTATGAAAACGACCTGTTCAACTTCATTCCCATGAACAGGGTAGCGGAACAAAAAAAACGATAAACAGTTGAACCTAGAAGGTCCTAGCAGCAAGCAACTGAAAAAATCTTCAACGGCTGCATTTACCTCTGTAAAAAAACTTACACGAGGTGCTAAAATTATAAGGATCGAGATTTATGATACCGAAAACTTCCCTGATCATATAAGTTCACTATGCAATTGTGATGCTGAGTTATGTGTGCAGCATGTGGTTAAAAATGTTTTTATGGACGATATTTATAAATCTGTTAAAGAAATTGCTTTAAAAGTGTCAGATATAATGCCATAAATAAAGTTCAATCAATTATTATTCAATAGTATTTTTTTTAATAACCTTCTACTGAAATGATGATTTTTATAACCTCTTACGATACATTTTATTTATCATCCAGTAGTTTTGATTCCTAAATTCCAATAAAAAGTGTAGGGTTTGAACCCGGAACGCACGACTGACTGCATTCACATGTTCGAAAAATCATATGAGTGAGCCTAGCCTGGATGTTATCACGAAGTTATCACGGAGGTAAGGTAAAGGTGTATGGATTTGCGGTTGGTAATTTGGTAATGGTTGTTTGTAAGTATAAATTATCCATGTCACTATATCCTTTAGGGTTTTGTAAGCTGGTGACCTATAATTGTCCAGTTTTATAGACAAAGGCTTAATTACTCTTTCTTTTAGAAGGATAAGGGCCCTTGGCTTCTCAGCTGAAATGAGCCAGTAAAAAGGTTGATAATAAATCAATTCGCATAAAGTGCTGTAAGTATGTCGACAGTCTATATAAGGCGACTATGGAATTCATCTGAGCGCATTATAATTTCAGGGCTGCTATGTGCTGAATAGACGATGCAGTGGAATATAGAATGCACTTATAAAATAAATACCAATGGAAATAATGATTAATTATTATTAAGTTGTTATATCGAAGGGGTATATTAAGTTCTTCATTGAAATCAGTTCAGAAGTATATGCATTCATCGTTTCATATGTATAAAAATGTATAAATAAACAATATCAATAACAATGGAGTGAAGAATAGGATCCGTCATTTCGATATCATAATTAATCCATATTATATAAGTTATCATCGTGTGTGGCGCTTGGCTGTATACTTATAGCGAACCGTAGGTATGCTTGTATTCCTAATTTGGAAGACGGCTGCATTCTTTTGTTAAGTTTATTATTACCTATTCATTATGCACATATTTCAATTATAGGAGCTTTTTTTGGCCAGTTCATTACATATGTCAATCGAAGATTATACCTACTTACAAATAGGCAGACTGATTGAAGACCAGTTTAACCAGACAAATTGAATCATAAGTTTACGATTAGCTCCAACTGATTGATAGTCTAGTAGGTATATTTCATGTGTGGAATTGGGGTTCCTGGATTTTTTGATCCAGGAACCCCAATTCTACACTACTTATCCTGAATCCCCAAATCTTCGAATCCCTAACTCCCTAGAAATCACATGCAACTTGTTCGCAATAGGCAACGCCAATTGCTTATCATCAATTGATCAGTGAAAAAAAAAATCAACTTTTGGACTATAGGCTTTGTGAGGGAGAGCCATGGTTCGGCTCGACTGGAGTGATACCACGACCTTACAGAAAACCAGCGAGAAACAGCCACAGCGTTGTGTTTAGGTATAGTATCATCTCCAGTCGAGCAGACCCATTCGTGTCGAAGCATAACTCTTCCACGCTTATTTTTAATATGATAAGCCACACATTATTTTATGTGATAGATCGGCAAACGACCTGACCTGATGATAAGCAATCAGCGCCGCCCGTGGACAAGCGCAACAACGAAGGAGTTAGGTACGAGTGCGTTGCCGACCTTTTAGGGAGTAGGATATTGGGGGTTTAGGGATTGGGGAGGGGAAGGATTGGGCCTCCGGTAACCTCACTCACACGGCGAAACACAACGCACTGGTTGTTTTCAGAGGGCTTTATGTTTTTTTTTTTTAATAATTTATTCAGAAGAATTACAAAAATGTGTCCTTATCATCTAAACTCGCCAAACTTTAACGTTTCATGGCGAGAGGCGTTCTTTATGGTTTTTTTTTCTTTAAAATTTTTATATCCCTATTTTATGCATACTATGTACTTATAGCTAGGTATGACACAGTTTATATAATAATAATTATTGACTAACATAACAAACAAAACATAAAAACACACACAAACATAACATTCTTACTTCTTATTGTGAGGCCGTGGTATCACTCCAGTCGAGCCGACCCATTTGTCGAGCATAGCTCTCCCATACTGCGTAATATAGGCCTTTTCTAATAATTTGATGACATTGACAATGTCTGACTTACTTGTTCCAAATAATCTCTGTAATACTGGACTCTGTCCTGATCATCCAGTCCACCTCTGTTCGACAGGCCATTCTCAGTGATCATGAACTCCAAATCTCCGTACTGCTGCTTCAACCAGACGAGGTCCTTTCGCAGACCTTCAGGATTTACCTGTCGGATGTGTACATTTTCGTTAATGGTTTTTTTTTTTATATTCTGGCGAAAATTCTGAGTGTTTGCAATAATACCCTACTAGCAACCCGCCCCGGCGTCGTTCGGTTGTAATGCTGATACAAAATTGATTACACATATCAGGTAGGTACGACCCGCAAAAAAATCGCACCAAATCCGTTGCGTAGTTTTAAAGTTTTAAGCATACATAGGAAATTAGGCACAGAAAGCGACTTTATTTTATATTGTATTGATGTACGGCGTAAGGTTCACATTATATGTATACTTAGTGTAGAACACAAAATACTGGTAAAAAACTATGCACTTCTTGATGGACCTCTACTTTTTGGAAATTCAAGGTCATAATAATTTAATGATCCCATATTGTGACTGCACGGTTGACAGTATGTTTGTAAACGCATCCCTTACACAAGACAAAATCAAAGTGTTAGGCAACGTTTCTTTATTTGAGTTTTAATTAAAAGTTAATCATTACTTATACATACTTACAAAGAACCAAGATGAAGAAGCTTGCGTCCATTCTGGTTTCTTTTCAATAATGGCGTTCAGGTCGATAGCGTCACCTAGCGGCCATGGCCTGAACTCTTCGCCTTCCTTCGCTGGCCGGATCAGACGACTGGTGTAGTGGTTGAACGCGAAATAATCGTAAGTTCCTATAATACAAGTATTTATGTCACAATATACCTATTATTATATGCTGTATCGGAATCGAATGTCAAATCGAGTCGGGTGGGAGGGAGTGTCGGACTCTTACTAACCCAAGTTCCCTCTCCTGCTCTGTGCCGAGGTCGCGGTGCCTCATTGCGCTTACCCCGCAACCCCGGCTGAACATCAGCCCTATAGGGCCCCGTCTGTGGGACCAAGATTACCGCGGGTTTAAATTCAAGCTCTAAGAGAGGACACAAAATTACTTATTGAGATGCTCAAATTTCGAAAACCTCTTTTTGTAAAAAATCTCCTAAAACTATATTTCCTAGTTCCAAACTTACTTAAGTGTTTCATTTTTATTACCAAATCGCTTTAGCACTTTAATTCAACCAATCATGTCCAATCAAAAACCTGTAACTTTAATATACAGATATCGGTAATCTAGCAGTGCACCAAGTGTAAGCTCAATAAACCGTGCCCGCTTTCTTTTTGTGAGGGGAAAATCATCAAATTACTTTAGATAGAGTGTCCGACTTACTGATTAAAAACCCCTCTGGTTCTTCTTATGCTCTGGGCCGAGGTCGCGGTGCCTCATTGCGCTTACCCCGCAACCCCGGTTGAACATAAACCCTATAGGGCCCCGTCTGTGGTGGTCTATTGGCTCTTCGAGGCGCGCGTGGAACGCTACGCGCCGTACGCTCGGAAAGCGCACCCCCTGGCCGGCTAGAGAAGGAACGGCTTCTCGTCCTTCTTTTTAGTCAGTGAGTGTAGTCTGACACTTCCTCTTGCCCCACCAAAAGCAGGAGGAACAATTTGATAACTTTTCTCCCTCAATTAAAGTAGCGCACGAAATGTAGTCTTTTTGAACCTAACAAGAGAAATGATATATATATATATACATTTATGTATATATATAATATACATTTATGTATATACTCATCATATTCTATTTCGCTTGCTTCTTGCATCTACTACTGGATTCTCTGCATCACCCAAAGGTCGACTGGTAGAGAATGCTCAATGCATTAAGTCCGCCTTATGTACCTGCATACTAAATTGTGCATGAAGTATAAATAAATAAATAATTTACCTTTAACGAGCTCAATCTCCTCTTCTGTGAATGGAGGAAGTTGTGTTCTGGGGTACCCTCTCTTCAAGCTGACTTCTTCTAGAACTTTCTCTATCGTCGGTGGCCATCCTCCTTCTTTGGAATATATAGGGTGGGCGTATCGACCTCCCTAAGAAAATTAAACTTATTAGAATAAGCTATCCAGTATCCTCCAATGAATAAAACATAAAATGACGTACAAACGCAAGGCTTGAGATTTATATTTAAAAAATGGCTGGCTCTTAAGACTAAAATTATCCAAATCGGACCAGCAGTTCTCGAGTTCAAGCGAGATCAACGAACAGCAATTCCATTTTTAAATAAGGTAAAGTTTATTTAAGAAATAGATTCCTTAACTAAACTCCAGAGTCAGCAACGCTCTTGCCGTAGCAAAGCCCTAAATGCTGGAGATGTGCTTAGGATAAGTTTACCATTTACCACCAGACGGTCCAAAAATTTTGTTTAGCATACAAAAGTACCCAGTAGGTAAATTAAAAACAAAACTATTTCTATGTCCCTGACAAATACATGCGTAGTGGCAGACGGCAACATAGACTACTGTCGTGTCCACCTAGTTGGCCTCTCCTCCAGATGCACAACAGCCCTACTGCTCGAGCCGTATCATTAATAAATAGCTTTCTACAGAATACTCCGGATGCAGACATATTTTTTGATGCTCCTTATGTCATAAAGAAAATGTTCTACCCTTTTCTGAATAGTTTTATGAAATAATTTATGATTTTTTGTCTTTGTTAATTGTATACATATATATTTTATTATTGCATTGTAATCTTAGCTATTTTTCTGTAAGCTTAGTATAGATATAAGCGTTTTGGTGTTACTGTAAGCTTGTATTCTTATGAATAAATGAATTTGAAAAACAGATCTGATGACTCACCACATTCTGTCTGGCCAGTTCAGCAAGATCCTCGTGCTCAGGAGATGTAGGTTCATACCAAATTATTTGATTCGCTATGGAAACTTTACCTGCAAAATAAAAATATGGCCACTGCATCTTCTAGCCATTTTCCGCTCCAATTTAGTAATGTAAGTCATCCAAAATATTCCTTTTTGTTCAAGCATATAATTGTATGTGGAAATTGCTATGCAAATTTTGGTGTTTGCCAAAAAGTTTACACTAGACGGTCTCGTCTTTATTAAGCTAAACTAAGAGTTAAACTTTATATTTGGCTAAGACTAAAATTTTATTAAATGGACATACATTTACAGCCATCTGAAGCTGATGGCGATACTGTTACCATAACGACGTAAATAAAAAGAAAATGTATAAGCAAAAAAGATCTTTCTTACCATGACACTTAGGTTTAAACTCTGCATCATACAGTCTCCAAGCTTTAGCATGGGCCAGCATCACGTATTTATTGCACAAATAAGCCCCAACTTCAGGGCTTTTGAAGGCAGGTGCGAATTTTTCCGAGTTGTAAACCCCATCACACACGATCAGGGGTTCGTTGATGGTTAGCCATAACTTTACGCGGTCACCAAAGTGGGTGAACACCACTTTCGCGTAGTCCTCAAACCAGTCTGCGATGAGTGGATTCGCCCAACCTCCTGGAAGATTAATTGTTTTGTAGAGATCATTGAAGACAGCCAGGAATTTCGTTTCACGCTATAAGCTAAATATAATTAATTTATTTTCTCTCCTGACTCCATTCATTCTAGTTGATCGATTGCTGCAGTGTTAGTGGCGCCCTGTCCTCGTGCATATAAGCAGCAAGTATCAATGTGACTTTTTCGGAGTTTTCATATATACTTTCCTGATTGTAAGCAATAAGCACCACCCATAGTCACCCGCACCGGAGGAATAACAAGTGCGATTTGGGATTCGGAGATTTAGGAGTTGAGGAGGGATTCGGGGATCAAAATAAAAATTCTCACTCTAGCTAGAGTGAGAATAAGAGAACATGGCGAAACACAGCGTTGCGGTTGTTTTACGGCGGTTTTCTGGGAGGGCATGTGTCACTCTAGTCGAGTCGAATTGATCGCAGCGTAGATCTCTTAAATTTCATAATCAGCCTGTTGTCGTCCACTGCTGGACATAGGCCTCCCCAATTGCACGCCACTGAGCTCAATGTTCACCTCTTCTCATCCAACCACTGCCAGCCACCCTGAGGATGTCGTCAGTCCGCCTAGCTGGAGGGCTACGTTTGCCTAGACGTGGTCTCCGCTCTAGAAAACGTTTACCCCAACGGTCATCGGTTCTTCGAGATGTGACCTCCTATACTTAATGCTTTTTTGCTTACCAAAGTCCTGAAGAGATTGTGGCAGGTCCCAGTGGTATATTGTGACGAGCGGCTCGATCCCCTTCTCCAGGAGTCCGTCAATCAGGTTGTTGTAGTACGCTATGCCAGCTTCGTTAATATGGTTGGGAAAACCAGACGGGAGTATCCGGGGCCAGGATAGGGAAATCCTGTGAACATGGAAAAAGCATAATTATAGCGTTTTTTATGTGGTAATGGGGCGAACTTCACCCAGGATTGCGGGGTAAGCGCAATAAGGCACCGCGGCCTCGACCTAGAGTAAGAGAAGGAACGGAGGGTTTTCAGTCAGTAAGAGTCTGATACAACTTCCCGCCCCACCTTGGCCCGGAAGGAGTCATTTGATGTTTACCACTCACAAAAAAAGAGCAGCGAACAAGGAAACCTATTATCTGGTAGTAGCAATCGGGGCCGCCCATGGGCATCCGCAACATCAAAGGAAAACTGGCTACAACTAGCAGCTTCCCCCGTACCTCAACCCTTATAGGGTTAAAAATAGCATATAGGTATGTAATTATGTTATTTAAAGGTATAATGTATCTGTGTAGCTACTTTCGTAAATATCCATTTATTGGTATTTACGTGAAAGAGTAACAAAAATCAATCCATTCTTACAAAGTTTAGCATAAATATACAAATTTTAATTACAGTATAGCTTGGTGTTATGAAAAACTCGTCTTAAAATAGGCCTTTAACCAAACAATCAGGCTTGTTTTCTGATAACCCTTACCTATAAAAGTGCAGCCCGAGCTCTTCAGCCATCTCGATGTCTCTCCTCCACAGATGATAGGAGTCGCAGGCAACATCTCCGCTGCTCAGATCGTCGATTCTAGTTGGATCTTCATGCACGAAGCGATCCCAAATACTTTCGCTCTTACCTTGAAAGTAGAGATTATAAGTATCGATTATGGGTTTTAAACTTTCAGTTAAGAATTGCTAGAAGTGCCGGGCTCCTGTGACTTATTAAAGATACGGGATTTAAGGATAAAGATGGGAGGAGGACGGGAAGTCACAACTCAGTGAGAGTACCGGAGTCCCAATTCTGAAGCCACCAAAAACTGAAGTAGGAAGAAAGAAGAATTGGGCTAATGGCTAACAAGTATATGACGTAAACTTACCATCTTCATTCCATCCTCCTTCAACCTGATAAGAAGCTGTGGCTGCCCCGAACTTGAAACCAGGTGGAAACGCCAGATCAGACCACACCACCGAGAGGGCGGCGCTGAAGAAAATATTTCACCATTAAAACTTAACTTGTAAAACAGGCAGACTCAACCTCAGCGTCAAAAAACCGACGTGAAACAACGCTTATTTTGTTTCACGTTATTTATTCTCTACTAGCAACATGCTCCAACTTCGCTTGGATATTTCTTAGGGGGATTTTTTTATTTAGACGGCTAACGAGCAGGCTATTTCCTGATGTTAAGCAATCGGCGTCGCCTATGGACACCCGCCCGCGTGCTGTGTTAATAAAAAGCAGCCTATAGCAATAGAACAAAATCAAAGTATACATAAAATTTGTTATTTTTCGTCCTATTTTATGGATACATCTCCAATGGGTAAATACCCTATTACCTAGTTACTAAGTCTCCGCTATCCGGCCGTCCATACCTAGATAGAATGGTACGGATCTAACTAATAGATAAGTATTACAAATATTACATACTAAATTATATTTTAAAACGCGTCGCGTCTAGCGCGACAACCGTTACACGAAAATAATCCTTATAGCACGATTCAGTGTTCACATGCGATGGCGCGATGGCTTATTATCCGAACTGCTAAGCTATCAGGAGTTACACGTGTTATTGAAAGTTAACTATAAAAGATAGACATATGCTGTAAAACAACATTTTTTAGATAATTTTATGCAGAATAGGTATGTCCTTCATACATAATTTCTATGTAACTTTAACCATTAAGGCTACACACGCGACGGAAACTTAAAAAAGGGAGTAACTTCTCCCGTTTTCCCAACATTTCCCTACACTGCTCTGCTCCTATTATTTGTAGCGTGATTAAAAGGATACTATAACCTGCCTATGAGTATAAAGAAGTAATTTTTGTTTCTATAAGGAACATACAGAGAGATAGACAGACAAACAGACAAAAATGTTACTGATTGCAGTTTTGGCATCAGTATCGATCACTTACCTATCACCCCCTGGTAGTTATTTTGAATTTTTTTTTAATATACAGAATTGACCCCACTACAGATTTATTATAAGAATAAATGCGAAGTTACGATGTTTGGATGTTTGTTACTACATCACGCTAAAACGGCTGGACGGTGCTGTATGAAATGGCACAGGCATAGAAGACACTCCGGAATAGGACATAGGCTACTTTTTATCAATATACTAGGCGGGCGAAGCCCCGGGTGGAAGCTAGTTAATTTTTTTTTTTTAAGAAACTTTGCCCCACCCTGCCATTTTCTCCTGTGCCGTAAGTGCGTTTACAAACATACAAATTCACATGGACATCACACCCAGACCCGGAACAACAATCTGTTGAACACACAAACAGTTGTTCCGTGCAGGAATCGAACCCGCGGCACGTTGCGCGGTAGCCAGCTGCTCAGCCAACACGCCAACCGTGCAGAGGTTGCGGGGTAAGCGCAATGAGGCACTGCGACCTCGGCCCAGATCAGGAGAAGCAACAGGGGGGTTTTTAGTCAGTAAGAGTCTGACACTCCCTCCCGCCCTGGGCGGGATAAGTCATTTGATGATTTTCACCTCACAAAAAAAAAACACGCCAACCCTACAGTAATATGGCCCTTCAGTCTGTTAATAATGTAAGCTGTTACATCAACAAGGATAAAATCGAGTTTATCAATTAGAAAGAAAGAGACAGCAAATATAATATCATTAATGGGTATGTTACTAAACAAATAAAGTAACAGATTATTCTAGTATTAGCATATAATCAAATGCATTGTAAGACGCAGTTGTATATAAATAACTATTTACTTAAAGATTATTATGTTTTAACAAGTGACAGTGTGAGTACCTACATATTATTCAATGGTAGATTTAAAATTTTATGCGATAGGACGGCAAACCAACAATCAGGATTACCTGATGGTAAGCAATCAGCGCCGCCCATGGACACCCGCAACATCGGAGGAGTAACGAGTGCGTTGCCGAACCTTTAAGTATTAGGTATTTAAAGATTTTAGGATTGGGAGAGGGAAAGAATTGGGCCTCCGTAACCTCACTCACACGGTGAAACACAACGCTGTGGTTGCTTCAGGCCCGTTTTCCGCGAGGCCAATACAAAACATAATACCTATATCTAATCCGTATTACTGTAAAAACTCCATAGACTGGGCACACTAGAGTCCTTGCCTGCTGGAGAAATTTTTTGAGGGGGAGGAGATCATTAATCACTACGCTTGCTCAATGCCGGTTGGCGATTTCAAACTTATAATTAGAAATTATAAGTCCAGGTTTCCTCACGATGTTTACCTTCACCGTTTGTCAGTGGTGTCTAAATAATCATAGAAAGTACAATATAACTCGGAAAAAGTCACATTGGTACTTGCCAGGTGCGAACCCATACCCTAATGCATGAGAAGCAGGCTCCACGACCTCAGGGCAAATATGAGATTACTTAAGAAACTGTTCAACACCAAGTAGGTATTATCTACATTTAATTTGCAACTCTCTGCCTTTCCTTTTAGGGGGAAAAAGTGTGATGTTATGTTATGCCGTCGTTATCAAGCCCTAATCTTCTCATATCGACAATATGTACCTAAGTAGGTATGTTGATCTACTGATACTAGGTATAACAAACTGTCAAAATAAACCGATAAAATAAATAAACAAGTGAAAAATAACGATAAAGCTCAAGAGTACTTATAAATCAAGATAAAATTGAAAGAAAGTATGGAATAGCTATGGTTCGACACGAATGGGTCGGCTTGACCGGACCTTAGGTATATAAAACTTACTCAGGAAGGAAGAACTCATTAGATGATTTTCTTAATCAGTAAAAAACAGTTTGATGTTTTATTTTCTTTTTTTTATTTTATTTGATGATAAGAAATTGTGCAGATTTGTAACAAGAAATATTTAGCACTTTCTTCTTTCTACTTGATATTATAGTATGCGCGCGCCTCAAAGAGCCAATAGACAACCACAGACGGGGCCCTATAGAGCTGATGTTCAGCCGGGGTTGCGGGGTAAGCGCAATGAGGCAGCGCGACTTCGGCCCAGAGCAGGAGAAGCAGAGGGTTTTTAGTCAGTAAGAATCTGAGACTCCTTCCCGCCCGACCCTGGGCGGGAGAAGTCATTTGATGATTTTCCCCTCACAAAACAACCTGATATTAATTAGTAGGTTTGCTGAAATAGGTAGGTACTTAAAATAATAAAAATAGTTCATAAAATTGTCAATTCTGCACGTGTTATGGCTATTGTTCATTTAGCGACAGGCCACTCGACATGAGAACCCCCACTCTAATATTGAGATAACAAAAAAATATATTAGGTATCAATCGTCTATCTTTTACCAACAGCATCGCTGGTGGTACTCAAGAAAATGTAGCCTTCATTCAAGATTAATATCTATCTGTAAATGTGTTACATACATGACTAAACGCGTTCAGAAGTTTTCGCTTGAAAGACTTACAAACGCATATCTATATCCTATCTATATCCTTTCCAACTTTCTGATTTTAATTAATATGATACCTACATAGAAATGAAAAAATAAATTTTGGAAAACGTGCCATGACAAATTTACTTTAAGAATTGAACACTTTAACTTGAGAAGGGAAAATCTACAAATGACTTCTGCCCTCCTGGTTGCGGAGAGAGTGTCAGACTCTTACTGACTAAAAAACATCCCGTTCCTTCTCCTGATCCAGACCCACATTATTGTACTTTCACTCGCGACCCCGGCAGAATACAATTACTAAACACAACATTTTTTTTTTTATATTACGTCAGCAGGAACGACAGCAATCGCGCTTACGGATATTTAACAATCGGCGCTGCCTATGAACTTATAACACCGCACGAGTTTGTATCTTATGAATGAGATACAGCAACTTCTAGACCCACAAAAAGTCAATCACTTGGTAACTAAAACCAAATCTAAATTAATTCCTATATCTTTTTTTATGTATTATTTTACTAACTACTATCACACGTGTAACAGCCTCCAAGAGCCCAATGCTGCACAAAGGCCTCTTCTCACACGGGGAAGATTTGAGCATTAATTACCACGCTTACTCAAGGTGCGTTGATGCAATTTGCAGCTTATTATATTTAATTGGGTAGTTTCCTAGGTCAACAATAAATTATTTCGACGTTTCAATACAATAAAATATTGAAAAATAATTATACTTTTATTCATCGATCGATCGATATACTAATTTTTAGTTTTTCTTTAGCTAATTATTAAGAAATAAGTTAGCTATTTGACGCAAAAAAGTTATGACGTCATAGCTCAGTTTTACATACAAAATTCATAGAAACGTATCGTTTTTGACGTTTGGATAAAAGTATTGAATTTGACTAGTTGGAAACTACCGTATTATAAGTCCAAGTTCCCTCAAAGTCTGAAGTGTACAGTACATATTACTCGGAAAAAGTCTTGTTAGGTTTTGAACCTCCTCATGCATGAGAAGCGGCCACCTCAGCTTAACGCCATAATACAGCTGCCCGCCCCAGCTTCGCTTCGATTTAATAGACGCTATTATACACATATGCTTGATAATTAATACTCATATAAATTCTTCTTCAATTACTTTTTCCAACAAAAAAAAACCGCGTCAAAATCCGTCGTGTAGTTTTAAAGATTTAACCATACATAGGGATATAGGGACAGAAAAAGCGACTTTGTTTTACACTAAATATGTTGTGATGTTTAAATATTTCCTCACCTGAACACGACTGCCTGTGCCCAAATCATGGCGACACTGAACTCAATCCGTTTATCCACAATCTTTATATGCAACGTTCTCACTATCACAACAACAGAATAAAATGATGATACTACATACTATCGCGACTTTGTTCGCGTGGAATAGTGACTTCCTGCATATTTTTGGGTATAAAAACTATCCTATGTCCTTTCTTGAGTTCCAACAATGTCTGTACCAAATTTCACAAAAATCGGTTCAGTAGTTTAGGCGTGAAGAAAGACAGATACTACTATATATATTACTACAACTAGTTACTATATCCTATATACAAAGTAATATTATACATGCGAAAGTAACACTGTCTGTCTGTCTTTTCTTCACGCCTAAAATAATGAACCGATTTCTGTGATATTTGGTTCAGACATAGTTTGAAACTCGAGAAAGGACATAGGTTAGTTTTTATACCAAAAATCTGCAGGAAGTCACTATTCCACGCGAACGGAGTCGCGGGCAAAAGCTAGTACTATATATACTATATATACTATATCCAAACTATCCAAACTAATATTATAAATGCGAAAGTAACTTTGTCTGTCTGTGAATGAGTGAATGAGACATACCAACCAATTTAGCCTACTTATACCTACTTTAATGAAAATTGATCACCAAATATATTGACGCGCATAACTTGTAACCGACTACATCGAATTGGGTAATTCCTTTTTTGTAGTGTTGTTCATTGGTTAAGGATAACAGAGTTTAAGGAAAAAGCATTGAGAGCAACGAATCGAGTCGTTAAATATTGGGATGACATAATTATGTGCATCTTTGAGTCATTGAGTCATTAATAAAAGCCAGCGTTTACGCGGCTCGGCTTTTCATAAAAACGGATGATGGAAGAAAGATGTAAAATAATACGGTTGTTTCCAACTAGTCAAATTCAATACTTTTATCCAAATGTCAAAAACGATACTTTTCTATGAAATTTGTATGAAAAACTGAGTTGTGACGTCATAGATTTTTTGGGTCAAATAGCTTACCTATTTCTAAAAAAAATCGTGTATCGATCGATCGATGAATAAAAGTACCTATAGTTGTTTTTCAATTATTTTTTATATTACAACGTCGAATTAATTTATTTTTGACCTAGGAATTAACCCAATTTACTAACTTCGGTCCCAACCAAGACCAAAATAAGGAACTATTCAGATTTTTGGAAACATCTTAATGGTACTTATGGGTAATGAAAAGGTACTACAGAATACGTCTAACTAAAATAAATTGTCTAAGAGAGCGCCACTAAGGAGGTGAGAGGATTCGATGTTTGACCCCCACAAAAAAGTTAATATCAAGGAAATCACTGAAACGATTTTATGAAACTATGTTTACCTGCGCAATAAATAAAGATCTGAAAAGTAAAATTCAATGAAAATTTTAAGTGTGGGAGAGCCGTGCTTCGGCACGAATGGGTCTGCTAGACCGGAGTGATACCGCGGCCACACAGAAAACCGGAGTGAAACAACCACAGCGTTGTGTTTCGCCGTATGAGTGAGGTTTCCGGAGGCCCAATCGTTCCACTCCCCAATCGCTAAATCTCCAAATCCCTAATACCTAAAAGGTCGGCGACGCACTCGCGTAACTGCTACGTTGCAGGTGTCCATGGGCGGCGCTGATTGCTTGTCGTCAGGTAATCCGTCGGCTCGTTTGCCGACGTATTACATAAAAAATGTACATTTTGGAAAAAAGATTTTAGGGAATGCATGTTAATTAATGTTTTCATTCAAATCATCTCACGTAAAACCGGTAATGTAAATATTGTTTTGGAAGAATAGTCGTACTTTATTAACTTCTTGTGCAAGTGCTCTTAAATCTTAACATAGAGATAGATCGATAGATAGATAACACATTTATTCAGTACAAACAATAACAGACACAAATTAATTGACAAATAAGTGAGTACACAATACAAATTAACACGAAAATAAAATCAAAATACAAACACTTGTAACTCCAGGTAGCAATAGGATTGCTTACAATCAGGTAATCCGCCTCCTCGATTACCACTGACAAAAAAACATTGTAGGTAATAAAAACGCCATCAATAATGACTCAGCAATTTAAGGTATTGAGTTGTCGAGCGTGGTAGCTTAGCAACCGGCTGCAGCGCAACGTGTCGCAGATTCGAATCCCGCACGGAACAACTCTTTGTGTGATCCACAATTGGTTGTTTCGAGTCTAGGTGTCATGTGTATGCGAAATTGTGTGTTTGTAAAGGCACCCACGACACAGGAGAAAATCCTAGTGTAAAATAGTTGTTATAAAAAGAATACGAATTAAAAAAGTTTGAAATAATTATGAAATTTAAGACGTTTTTATCTTGTGACCATCTTATATCACAAGGTTAACTGCTCAATCAAAGTCAAAGTCAAAGTCAAAGTCAAAGTCAAAGTCAAAATTATTTATTTCAATTAGACCCATACAGGCACTTTTGAACGTCAACACAACTTTAAAGATACAAAGTGTCAGTCTGTCGGTCAGTCCTTTTAGTGAAGCTATTCGCTCGTTCCAAAGTGTAGATTCCGATGGAGAAGAACGAGCAAGAAACTCCATGGTTACTCTTTTTAAATCAGTTTCACATACAGATTCCTTTTACAAACAGTTGGTTCAATTATGTGAGAACAGTGTAACACTAATATTTATTCAAATATAAAAATAAAGTAACCTTAAGGACAATAGACAGTCTGGAGCTGACCAGTCCCAATTGACGGCGCCCGTCCACGAGCATGACACGTACACCAGCATCGCCCAACTCAACCATAATATAGGGAATCGAGCGATCCAGTGACCGTGCCACCGCCAATGTGACCTTTGAGTGAGCATGACAACTCCAAGCTGACATATGGACCGACATTCTGCTAGTCTAACTAATTTTAATAGGTTACAGGGCACTCACATTTACAAATTTATCAAGTTTAACAATAAAAATAGCATGGTTACAAATTTACAAAATCTAAGAACTTCCGTTCAAGCAAAGATCCACTGGAACATTATTTATATTCGTGTAGGTATATTATCCTGTGGAGCAGGACCAGCCCGTCTCCAAGCATCCTTATCCTCAATATAATCACTCAGTTTGTAATATGCTTTTTTACACAAAGTTTTCTTTATACATAATTTAAAATTTCTTTCATTTAATTGTTGTATTTCGCCTGGGATTTTGTTATAACACTTAACGCTGAATCCCATGAACGACTTGTGTACCTTTGCCAATCTAAATAATGGCTGACACAATCTATCTCTATGTCTAGTTTGGTAATTATGTCTGTCTGATACCTTATCAAATAATATTAAGTGTTTCCTAACATACATTATATTTTCATAAATAAACTGACCGGGCACAGTCATAATATTGATCTCTTTAAATTTATCTCTAAGAGATTCGCGAAGCCTTAGGTTGTAAATTGCTCTGATTGCACGTTTTTGCAAGACAAATATAGACTCAATGTCAGCAGCCTGTCCCCACAACAAGATGCCATACGACATGACCGCATACACAATGACCGCATTCGATGAAAACGAATGCATCATTTTCGTTTTTTTGTTTACGATTCGTATTGGACAGAAGTGCAAGGCAAAATAATAATAAAAATGCTTTTCATTTTGTCAAGTTTCAAGTTGCGGGTTATAGAAAAAGTTTCGTTTAGAATTCTCCGTTAATATACATAACTAGCGGGCCGCCCCTGCTTCGCACGGGTCCAACTATCTCGCTATCAAAGGGTCACTTTTTCCTAATCTTCCCCTTTACTTTTCTAATATTTTCTTTGATATGAACCTTCTCCTGACAATAACAAACTCAATAAAAAAAGAAATAGCAAAATTGGTCCAGGCGTTGTTGAGTTATGCGATCCATTTTAATATATAAGAAGATATGTATAAAGGTCACAATAATTAATTAATTTAATTTGAAGTTATTGTGGTTTTTAAATAGGTGAAAAAATTGGGGGCTGTCGGAATTGATGATGATGAAGATGATGATGTAGGTGATGATGATACCGATGATGACTGATAATAAAACAAAGTTTTTGTTTAACATTTCTATAGTTTTATTTATTGTATAACTTATTACAATACTACAAGACTCTATTCTTGATGAGGTTCGCGTAGTACTGCACAGATTTACGCGCCGTGCGCGGGCGCAGAGGGTCATTAAAGTCCACTTGATACAAACCGAACTTTGACCTGCAAATATAAAAAAAAAATGAGATTAGTATTTATATTTCCAGGTTATATATAAGTTTATTGCCAAAACTGTAAGATTTTCTGTGAGAAGAAGCTTTTGCTCAGCAGTGGACACTTATAAGTTGAGAATGTTTATTGAATAGTATTTTAGTCACCGGTAAATTTGATGTTTAGTGTTATTTTTTTATTAATTATACCTACTTTTGCGCCGTTTCACCCGCTGCTTTGCTCCATTTAATTGTAGCGTGATGTTTTATAGCATATGGCACTCAGGAATATTGTAGCTACCTATCAGTGAAAGGATTTTGGCAATCCGACCAGAGCCGTTCCAAAGATTACCCCCTACATACAAACTTACAAATTTTACCTCTTTATAATTATATATCACTATATAATTTAAAAAAAAATCTATTACATTACCCGTCTTTGGCATTTCGTTAAGATAAGCTTTTAATAAATAAGTTTTCAAACCAAGGTTCATTAAATTAGCCAATGAGGCAGATGCAAAACCCGAACCTAGGACAATACTTACGAATATCCGCCCGTCCACTCGAAATTGTCCAATAGGGACCAGTAGGCATATCCAGTCACTTTGATGCCCTCCTGGATAGCCACAAGGACCTACAAAGTAAAAAAAATATATCAAATGGAAGCTGCTTTTAATTGATGACTGCACTGTTGGTGCGGTGGCTGGGCAACTGGCTACCGTGCAACGTGTCGCGGGTTCGATTCCCGCACGGAACAACTTTTTGTGTGAACCACAAATTGTTGTTCCGGGTCTGGGTGTCATATCTATGTGAAATTGTATGTTTGTAAACGCACCCACGACAGCGAAGAAAACCATAGTGTGGGGCTAAAAAAAAATCTTAGAGCATACATAACTACTCAGTACTGCTTTACCTCATCTGGGAATTTTAAGTGTGGAAGAGCCACGTGATACCACGGCCTTACAGAAAACCGGCGTGAAGCAAAACTTACGTTGTGTTTCGCCGTGTGAGTGAGGTTACCGAAGGAACAAGGACAAAACATAAAAATCCACAAAAAGTTTAACTAACCTCATTCAAATATGATTTGACATATTCAATTCTTCCATCATCATCTATGACTTTATCTGACGTGGAGAAACCATTCTCTGTGATCAGAATCTCTATGTCTCCATACTTCTTCTTCACCCATTCCATCTGTTTTCTAATTCCTGGGGGGTATGGCTGGAAAGAAATATTTTTAAGAAATAAGTGTGCTATTTGACCATTGATCACTAATTTAAAGATCGATGTTTGTACGATGATGTCCCAAAAATACGATGTCGTCAGAATTTGGAGTTCCGTACAAATTTCATAGAAAAGTATCGTTTTTGATAATTACAATTAATTAAACCACTGCGCTGTGTTACGTCGATTGAGATTGAGGTTATCGGAGACCCAATCCCTCCCACTACTCCAATCCCTTCCCAATCCTTAAATATCCTGAAAACCTTATCCCTAAAAATCCGGCAACGCTGTCGTAACTCCTTTGGTGTTGCAGATGTTCATGGACGGCGCTGATTGCTTACCATGAGGTAATCTGTCTGCTCGTTTGCCCACCTATACCATAAAAAAGTACTTACCACCATAAAATCATTCTGGCCTTTTCCCCAGCTGGGATCCGTGAATAGCGTGGCGTTGAACTCATACATTGACGAGAACATAGTTGAGCTGAGTTTCTCACCCGGTTTCGCGTACCGCACCAATTTTGACGAATAGTGGTTCATGCCAAAGAAGTCATAGGTTCCTAAAAAATATATACTTAGTTAAATAATAAAATAATCTTATCTTCTCTAAATAATTATACCTATATATAAAAGGAGAAACTGACGGACTGACATATCAACGCAAAGCCTAAGCGGCTAAACGCAGGCACTTGAAATTTGCACCTTGACCTTTACAGTACCCTAACAAAGGAATTCCCGAAATTCCTACGGGAACGGAAATTAGCGGTAAAATAATTTTGGATGAAAAATCTAAACCGCTTAAGTTAGACGCTTGAAATTTGGCATGTAGGTACCTTCGTAGACTTAAAGCTTAGTTGCAACTGTTGCAGTATTCTCACAGGAACGGGACAACATTGTTTAAAAAATGCTGGGATACCTACATTAATTTTGTACGTATTTTTAAGTCGCGGACGGAAGCTAGCTTAGTATAATAACTGCTGTGAGATGTACTTTTTTTTACGCAATGTAACACTTAAGGACTTGTAGCGACGCGCACGCTGCTCATGAATTCGTTGTCTTTTGAGACTATTCGTTTTTTTTGTAATTTAATTATTTGACTTCGACTTTTATTTCGATGCAGCCATTTAGTTTCATATAAGGAAAGTAAGGTTAAGTAGTAGACAGCCCTAAAGTGCTAAACTAACTACGAATAAATAAAAAAAGAATGACTAAACAATAAATAAAAACTTAACAATAAATAAACAAAGAATGACTCGAAAGTAAAATTGGTTGCCAAATTACATACCTCTAATTAATTCTATTTCTTCTTGAGTAAAAGGCGGCAGTCTGGAATGGTTGAACCCTTGTGCCTTGCTGACCTTCGCGATTTGATCTTCGATAACTTTCGGCCATCCTCCCTCTTTAGAAAAGATTGGATGCGTGTAGCGGCCGGACTGAAGAAAAATATCCCGTTTTAGCGTTACTTTTTATATAGGATAATTTTTTTCTCACATATCTCACAAACTCTCAAGTCTTTAACCATTTTTTTGTCGGAGGAAAATCATGAAATATTTCTCCCGCTCAGGGTAAGGCGACAGAGTATCAGATTCTTACTGACTGAACCTCCCCCCCGCCCCCCGTTCCTTCTCCTTAATAGTCCTCCTCCTCCTCCTGGTCTGTGCCGAAAGGCCGCAATAGCTTATTGAAAGAAAAAATGAGGGATTTCAAAGGACACTCGACTAGAACGAAGCAAATTTTTATTAATAACAGAAAAACGAAATGAAAATATCTGGCTTACTTTCTATGACAGAGAGAGAGAGAGAGACACACACACACAGAGAGAGAGAGAGAGAGAGAGTAAATAGTGTCGTTAGAACTATTTCGTCTTAATTTTTGTCATCTACCCTCTTTCGTGGATACCACTGACGTAGGGTAATAAAGGAAAACTTCATGTGGAAACCTGAGGGCCTACCATGACATGTTAAAGCTTCAATCTTCCGGGCGAGAAAGAAGGATGGAGCTGTAAAAGGTCTACTTTTACATTATTTTCTATCATAAGTTTGTTGAGTCAGTTATTTAATACTTCCTTCTCTGTGTGAGAAGAGGCCTTTGCTCAATAGTGGGGACTGCTGATGATGTGTTTATAAAAATGAAAATATGAATTCACTTACAAAGTACTCTCTGGCAATTTCAGCTAGTTCTTCATACTCTTCACTTGCAGGCATCACCCACATTAAATGGTTTGCAATTGACACTTTTCCTGAAAAAATATCATTTTAGATAACAATTCTCCTTTTAATTTAGTATATGTTATTAGTATAAAACTTATTATCAGCTTGGCCTTGACCCTCAGGACTAGGGTCAAAAGTGTTTTTAGACTGTTTCTCTGTGCCAAATTTCATTCAAATCTCTTACGTAGGTTTTATTTTTATTTTACACTTCTTGCACAACGTATAATGGCGGACTTAACGCCTTAGGCGTTCTCTGCCAGTTTTACTTCAAGACTCACAAACATATCTCCTTAGGTATACTTTCGCGTTTATAATATAAGTTGAAGTTGATGAATATAGGTTGCTTTTTGACTCAATCTTGACAATCTATTTTTAGAGAGATAGCATGCGGATCGCCTGAAGGTAAGCAATCGGCCTCATGAATGAATTAAGAGGACTAGAGGATCTATTTTTTATGATATAGTTCGGCAAGCGTGCTGACGAATTACCTGATGGTAAGCAATCAGCACCGCCCTTGGACAACCATAACAGCAAAGAGTGCGTTGACGGCCTTTTAGGGATAAGGGTTTCGGATATTTAAGGATTGGGAAGGGAGGGGGGGATTAGGCCTCCGGTAACCTCACTCACACGGTGCAATCCAACGCTTTGATTTTTTCACAGTGATCAGTCGAGCCGACTCATTCGTGCTGAAGCCAGGCTCTCCCACCACTACTACCACTTCTAATAAAGTGGATTATGAAAAATATGTCCAGGTTATGCATTTCTATCTATGAGCACAAATCTTCGTCATCACTAGAAACCTATACATAAGAGATTACTTCTAGTTTTATTTGATAGGATTTCTCAACCAACGAATCTTCTATAGATCTTAACAATTAGGTTGGTAAAAAGACAAGTACTTACCTACATTACCGTACAATTGACGGAACTCCTTATCATAGACCCTGTAGGCCTTCGCGTGGGCCAATAAGATGTTTTTATTACACATGTAAGGCCCAACGAAGTAATCTATTGGTGGGTTTAGGATACCATTCCCGTAATAATAGTCGCACTCCATCACAGGTTCATTGATGGTCAGCCAGGTCTTCACACGATCCCCGAAAAGACGGAAGACCACCCTTACGTAATCGGCAAACCAATCTGAGCTTGCAGGATTGGCCCAGCCTCCTGTAATTTCGGAATAATTCATCAGGTTTTTTCATGATCATCTTCATCATCATTATTTAACAGTTTAAAGTGGAACTCGACTAGTTTCAAGCTGCATCAAGGGCTCATATTAATGAGCATATGCTTAGAAGGAGTTTATTTTATTTTACGTTACCGCGTCTAGACCTCTGATGAGTTGGTTAAATGGGAACAGGCTAATCAAAGCGTCGCATATGATAAACTTGTCGATCACCTTTTCTAAGAAGAAGAAGTGTCAGGCTATTATTGACATAAAAAAGCCACCCCTTTCCTTCTCCTGCTGAGCAGGCTGCAGTGCATAATTGCGCTTTAAAAATAAACAATCTCCAACACCAAGATCAACAGTCCGTGGTATGTCACGTCTGGACTAATGGCAACTGAAGTTCACGAATCGAAGGTTGAAAAGAGACAGGGCTGTTGCTAGATCTCTGTCCAATTTTCGACCTTAATCTTTTGAATTGTGACCATCGTGAGACATACTTAACACGTTAAACGCCGGTGACCGTTGACCTCCGTTAGTGGAGGATTTGCCTTGAACAGTTTTCTGTCGGCAGTCAATAATTTATTGAAAATAACGATTTACTCACCTGAATAAACTGAGAAAATCTTTACTAGTCAGTAGAACTCAGTTGGCTGCGCGTTGTGAATTGAAAATAGTAGAGCTTCTTCGAATTAGAATTTATCCATGTAAGTAATTCGTTAAAATAAAACTATTATATAACTGTTTAAATAAAACTATTTTGGCACACCACCTGCCAGCACATCAAAAACTTTTATTATCATAAGACAAGAAGCACAAATTTAACACTGCACAATGTCCCAACTGGCTGAGGTATTGTCCGCACAAAAGTCACTGGAGGAGTGCTTCATGAAGAAGATGAATGCACTGGAGGCGCAAATCCAGACTGCTGGCCCAGCGAAGGACACAGTTGCGAAGGTGGCAGAGGAGTTCCGGGCTTTCCGTGATTTGGTCATCGGTATGCTGGGACTGCTGCGACGCCAGATCGGTGAGTGCTCTCGACAGCTTGATGATATAGAGACAAGAAGCCGCCGTAAAGCCCTTATCATCCAGGGCATAGCTGAGGCAGCGGGCGAAGATTGCACCAATGTCACTCTGGGGGTGATTAATACAAAATTAGGCCTCAATTATACAAAATCATCAATAAAGGTCTGTCACAGGCTGGGTCAGGCCAATACTAACCACCACAGGCCAATCCTGGTGAGATTTGCCAGCATAGATGCCAGGATGTCAGTCTGGAGAGCCAAAACTGGCTTCAGGGGCTCCAAGGTTGCAGTAAGGGAGTTTCTGACGAAGACACGACAGAGTGTTTTTGGAACTGCCCGTCAGCACTTCGGCATGAAGTCGTGTTGGACCCAGGAAGGTGCAATTTTTATCAAGGCTCCTGATGGCAGTAGGCATAAGGTGACATCCCTCGACGAGTTAAATCCTTTGCTGGCTAAGTACCCAAAGGCACAGGATCCCTCGGTTGGCAGGCCGGAGTCAGCGGGAGAGAAACTGAAAGGTACCAAGAAATAGTTATATTGTCAGGACACTTGTAGATTTTATACGAAAAGTATATTGGTGCTATTCACTTACTTGGTATGTTCTTTCTTCGATCCCCTGAACCCAACAACATTATTCTTAAATTTCTAAATCTATCTGTTATATTGTATAATATTATTCTCTTTGTCCTTATAGTTTTCTTTGTTCTGTCCTTTTAGATATTATCTTACCCTCATTATTATTTATGTTTTCTTCAAGTCGTAGTCGGTAGTCCTATGCCTTTGCATTATCATACTATCATAGATTAATTATTTTTATCTTGTAATTGTTTGCTGTGTACTATGTACGGAATTAATATTCTAAGGAGTCATTCACCGTCAGTACAATTAATCTATGACTATGATATTATTTATTTTGGTTTTGAAATTCAATCACTTAAATAGTTCACAAATTCACATTCACAATATGTCAATTTTGACATTATTTAATTATCAACGTCAACTGTCAACTGTCATTTAGATCAGAGCCTTTTAAGAAACAACACTGTTTTATTGCCGAATGACATTTTATGGATATAATTTTACTTTTATGTTTAATATTTTCAGTAATCTGTGTAATTATATTCATTGCTCTTTTTTTTTTTTACCTTATCGTGTGTTTTATCTTGGATTTTTTTACTGTTATTGTTTTTAAATTTTACGTTTTGTTTTGATGTTAGCTGGCGGGTGGTGCAGAGTTGCACTTAACAATAATTTTTGGAAGCATTTTGGTATTGTAGTATTGTTCATACCATTAAACTTTATATTTTATTCATAGTATTTATACTTATTATATTTTATATATATTTTGTAATTTTGCATATCTATAATATTATTATGTTGTCTGACGATGATTCTTTTAAATCGGCCAATGACTCCTTTAATAATGACAGCTTTTGCTCCTTGGGTGACAGTCTCACTGACTTTGTTTACTCTCAATTCACCAATACCAACAATCGGCTGTTGAATATCTGTCATTTAAATGCACAAAGCATCCCCAGCCATTATAATGAACTCTTTGACGTATTCAGCAACAGCAATGTTCACGCTATCCTGATATCGGAAACTTGGCTCAAACCACAACTACCTTCCACTACCTACCCCCTTCCTGGGTACGTTCTAATACGGAACGACCGAACTACCAGGCGAGGGGGTGGTGTAGGTATATATCTCCGCAGTGAACTCTCTTATAAGGTACTATTTACATCTTCACCCAACTGTCCTGCGGAGTATCTCTTTCTAGAAGTTTGTAGCCAAGGGGGGAAGACTGTATTGGGGGTGGTCTATTGTCCTCCTAATATTGATTATTTCACTGAATTCGAATCAGTATTGGAATCTTTGGGTTCTGAGTACATGCATCACATAATCATGGGTGACTTTAACACCAATCTCCTTTCCAATGAGTCCCCTCGATCCCGTAAACTCCTTCACATAGTTGAGTCGGCTAATCTACATGTGTTACCACTCAATCCCACTCACCACAATACTGCAGGCGACGACTCCTGGCTTGACCTTATCCTTACTTCCAATCTCTCCCTTGTATCCTGCCATGGTCAGCGTGATGCTCCGGGTTTTTCTCACCACGACATGGTTTTCCTATCCTATATCCTAAAGCCACCCAAGGCGAGGCCTACGGTCTTGTATAGGCGTTGTTTTGCGCGGATGGACGGAGCAAGATTGCAGGAAGACGCGTCATCAATCGACTGGGAGCCCCTGATGGAAGCCACCTCAGTCGACGAAAAGGTTGAGATTTTTAACGCCACAATAATAAGCCTTTATGACCGACATGCTCCCATTAGGCGGATAAGAATGAAGCGACTGCCTGCGCCCTGGATGACTCGTGGTATTAAAATGGCTATGCGACGTAGGGACCGCGCTTTCCGCAAACACAAGAGGGATCGCACCGATGAAAGCTGGGCAGCTTTTAAGCTAGCAAGAAATAGCTGTAACCAGATGGTGCGTAACGCTAAACGCCGCCACGTTCTCGAAAACATCTCCTCTGCTTCTTCTGCCGATATTTGGAAATTTCTTGGGACTTTAGGTATCGGCAAAACGCACGATATAGAACTACCCAGCTCAATTCGCTTAGACGATCTAAATCATCATTTCTCTACAGTACCTACCATAGATCGTCTAGTGAAACAAGATACTCTAAGGTTCATCTCTGGTCTTACGCGTCCCAACATTGCTACTCCTTTCCACTTCATTCCAGTTGATTCGGCAGAGATTGGTAGGATTATCCTTTCAATTAAATCAAAAGCGGTAGGATGTGATAACATTTCTCGTAACATGATTATAACTGTGCTAGATCACCTCCTACCGGCTATAACCCACATTATCAATTTTTCCCTGTATTCCGGATCTTTCCCATCCCTTTGGCGTAAAGCCTTTGTCCGCCCTCTTCCCAAAGTATCTACTCCCACTCTTCCCAGTCAGTTCCGTCCTATATCCATACTTCCTTTCCTGTCCAAGGTGCTTGAGGCCTGTGTACACAAACAACTATCTGATTTCATTTACAGGAATTCACTTGTTAGTCCATTTCAATCGGGCTTCAGACCAGGCCACAGCACTGTTTCCGCCCTCCTTAAAGTGACTGGCGATATTAGAGTTGGCCTTGGGGACGCTAAAGCCACAGTCCTGGTTTTGGTTGATTTCTCGAATGCCTTCAATATGGTCAGTCACGATATCCTTTTAGCCATCCTATCCCATCTTGCGATCTCTGGTGGGTCTCTGGCATGGTTTTCTTCTTATCTTCAGGAGCGTCAGCAGTCGGTCAAGCATGGTGATATATCATCAGGCTGGTGCGAATTAAAAGCTGGCGTTCCTCAAGGCGGCATACTATCACCACTCTTGTTTTCTATTTTTATCAATCTCATCACTTCTGACCTTCGGTGTGCGTACCATCTGTATGCAGGTGACTTGCAGCTGTACTGTCAGGCTGGGGTAGACTGCTTGGCCGATGCTATCTCAAATATTAATGATGACTTAGCCACCATTAGTGCCTGGTCAGCTCGGTTTGGCATCGCGGTAAACCCGAATAAGTGCCAGGCTATCATCGTCGGAAGCTCTCGATCGCTAGGTAGGGTTGACGATGCATCTCTGCCAGCCATCCTTTTCGACGGTGCGATCGTTCCTTACAGCAACGATGTTAAAGATCTGGGCTTACATATTGACAGGAATTTAAACTGGCATACACAAGTCGCTAACGTGTGCAAAAAAGTGACCGGGTCGCTGCGGGCCCTTTACCGCGTGAAAAACTTGCTTCCGACCGTCGCCAAGACGATGCTTGTACAGACCTTGTTGTTCCCTATAATAGATTATGCTGATGTTTGTTACTATGACCTGAATGCAGATCTCCTCAATAAACTCGACCGACTTCTGAATAACTGCATTCGTTTCGTTTTCAACCTGCGCAAATATGATCATGTTTCTGCACATCGGTTGCAATTAAAGTGGTTGCCCATACGCCAGCGTAGGGAGCAAAGGGCGTTAACCACTTTATTTTCCTTTCTTAACTCGCCTTGCCCACCTAGTTATATGTCCTCTTACTTCCAATACACATGCGCAAACCACAATAAATATCTTCGCTCTTCTAACAATCGTCTCCTCAACTGTCCAACTCATCACTCAAAATTTCTCCATTCCTCATTCTTCGTTCAGGCTATTCTTCTGTGGAATGCGCTACCCCCCGATATCAGGATCTTGACTAGTCGGCTGTCTTTCAAGCAGAGAGTTCGGGAGCTTCTTTTGAAGAGGTTGGGGGAATCATCGTGACTATGACTGCATATACGTATATATATATATATATATATGTTTACTGCCTTATAAATATGTATTATAAAGTATGTATATATTATGTATGTATGTAAAGTGTGTCATATATAATTTTATATATATGTTTGGTATATTTAACTCAATTTGCTTGCTTCTTGCACCTGCCACCAGATTATCTCTGCATCACCCAAAGGTAGACTGGTAGAGAATGCTCATTGCATTAAGTCCGCCTATGTACAGTGTTTTGTGCATGAAGTCTCAAATAAATAAATAAATAAATAATTCGTTATTTTCAAAAAAACTAAATCTTTTGCAGTACAGGGCAAAGTTTTTGGTATTCAGCGAGCGATTTCTCTGTTTCAATTGTTGTTTTTATAGATACTCCTTCATTAGAGCTTTTGGAACTTCCATCATTGTCACAGTGAATTCAATATTTTTTATATACTTATATACCTAAGTACATTTTATTGGTTTATAACTAACCTAACTCCTGAAACATTTGCGGCATGTCCCAATGGTACAAGGTGACTACAGGCTCAACGCCCTTCGCCAGAAGACCATTGATTAGTTTGTTGTAGTAGTTCACGCCATCCTCGCTGATCTTAACCGCGAGGCCGTTTGGTAGGAGACGAGGCCAGGATATGGAGAATCTGTAAAAGAATATCAAAAAGCTGTTGTAAAGAAGAATTGGGGTATTACATGCATTTTTGAAATGTATCTTAAATAAATTCTTTATTCCTAATATACCTCTAAAAATTTAAAATAGTTTTATCACACGTTATAATTGTACGAATATATTTTTTTTTTGTGTCATAATTACAAATTTATGTATTTCGGGAAAACTCGGCACACAACGGAAGCCATGATTGTTTTTTGGTCATGAAGTCATGGCTGCTGTCTGTAATACATATTTTGAGCGCTGACACTTGTTTAAATGAATAAACGTAATGGCGTCATAAGCATGGCGACGACATTTCGTAGTATTCAAAAACAAATAAAAAAACCTTAAAACTTTAAACTGTAATAACACAAAAAAGTATTTAAGTACCTTATGAATTGAAACCCAATTGCTTTAGCTCTAAACAATCATTGTAATACACTTTTTATTAATATTTTCTCCTCTGGACTAAAATTACTATTTGGTATTGTTATTTTGAATTGGAACAGACTTCCAGATGAGGACACGTCGAATTTAACTCTTTGACTTTAGCTAAACTAAGAATAATAAAAAAATAGTTATTAGGGTTATTGGGACTAGCTTCCATTCGCGGCTTCGCCCGCGTGGTATGTAGATAAAAAGTAGCCTATGTCTTATTCCGAAGTGTATCCTATGCCTGTGCAAAGTTTCATCCAGATCTGTCCAGCCATTTCGGCGTGATTGAATAACAAACATTCAAATATCGTAACTTTTGCATTTATAATATTAAGTAAGTAAGAATTAAGATTTAGGAAGGGATTTGAAGATTGAAGATGGGGAAGGATTGGGCCTCCTTACCTGTAGAACTCTAAGCCGACTTCCTCAATAATGTCGATGTCTTTCTGCCAGTAGTAATATGATAAGCAGGCTTGGTCACCGGTTTGGTGGTCGTGGAACAGGTCAGGATATCTATGGCACAGACGGTCCCATTTGTTCTCCCCTTTGTCTAAAAATAAATAAATAAAAAACTTAACCACCATATTATATTCGTATTGTGATATGATTTTTTTTGCATCATTTCAATTAATCTATACTTAATATTATAAAGAGGTAAAATTTGTATGTAGGGGGTAATCTTTGGAACCGCTGGTCGGATTGTCAAAATTCCTTCACTGATAGATAGCTACAATGTTCCTGGGTGCTATAGGCTATAAAACATCACGCTGCGATTAAATGGGGCCGAGCAGCGGGTGAAACCGCGCGAGAGTAGCTAGTATAATATATTTATTTAATAATAGAATTTGTAATATGAAGCGATTATAAATTTTTACCTATGAAGTGATTACTAACTATTTCTTTTTTTTTCTATGAAATGTAATTTATTCATTGTATATTTCTATAATTCATTGTATAATTTTTATTTATGAAATTATTGGGATGTTCGTTCTTTTCTCACGGCACCACAAGATCCCGGATTTAGAATGCGTACGAGGGGCCGAAGCCAACTTCCAGAGGCCCGTTGAACAGTTTTAATCTTAATGTGATGGGACATCAGCCGGCAATTGATACAGGTGCAACATGGAAGAAATTTATATGGTTATGGGTGTGGGTGGCTAGTGGCTATGGACTGATAGATGATAACTATGGAAATACTATGGCCCCTGCCCTATAATGATACATACGGATAAACAGGCAGGGTGTGACTGGTAAACTCAATGAATGGGCCCCGGGAAACGGCCGCTAACATGTAGCGACTCGGGGACAACATACGTTGAGCTGCTTGGGGAAGGAGAGGCATCCCACGGCTATCAGAGCAAATACCGGAAATAAATACGGTCAAGACCCCGGCATTTTACTGAGATACATGCTTCCCCCGAGTCTCCTTCAACTCCTACTCTTGCGAATCTCCACTCAAGCCAGCCAGTTAAGGCAAGGATGAGGTAGAAGGGCTTGTTCCTCATTAGTGTTCACTCCAGCTAGTCACGAGGACTAACCAGAGATGAAGAACAAGACACCGCCTAGGAGTCAGGTCCTTAACGTCACCAATTCCGAACAGTTCGCCACAAGCTGCCTTGCGGATTTATAATTACTAGCGACCCGCCCCGGCTTCGCACGGGTGCAATGCAAAATGAGCATCAGTTTTTTTTATTCCGGGGAAACCATCGACCGCAGTCAGAACCATAGGCACGCGCCACCCGGCGCAAACAACTACGACCCTGCATTTTAAATTTGTAATATCTTCGGTAATATTCACTTAAATTACATGCTGTAAAAAGCATATTGATCTATAATAAATGCACAATTTATTTAAGGTACTTATATGGATAAGGATTAATGCTGTACCTATTGTTTAAAATCATTTCGTAAATAACCATTTTTTAGTAAAGAATAAAAATGGTTATGCTGGGTTATCCCTGAGAGATAGACATATACCATCGCGGACTTTTTTGTTGAACTTTTTAAGGTGAACAATACTGTAGTACATAATTTCGGTCTATCACGTAGGGTTCAGCCAGCGTTTGCAATATAAGCGCAAAACAACGTGCTTATTTACGACATCACATTAGAAACCTTTAAATTTATCAGTGTTTCTCTACTATATTATGCATTTATTATACATACAAACCTTCCTTAAGAATCATTCTATGTATTAAAAAAAACCGCGTCAAAATCCGTTGCGTAGTTTTAAAGATCTAAGCATACATACGGACATACAGCGAAAGCGACTTTGTTTTATACTATGTATTGATTGATGATTAACAACCAATAACAATTTGCGGGTTGGTCCGTGCGGGAATCGGATCCGCGATAGGTACGTTGCGCAGTAGCCAGTTACCCAGCCACCGCGCCAACTGCGCAGTCATATAACATTGAATTAGACTTACCGCTAACATTCCAAGCTCCTTCGATCTGGTAAGCTGCGGATGCAGCCCCAAACTTAAAGCAGGATGGAAAGGCCATCTGACCACATGTTGAACTGTTGGCTGCGAGAGCTGCTGAGCACGAGATCCTAGGTTCACAGAAGATAAACATTTTAACATGTGTGAGAGAGCCATGCTTCACGGCACGAATGGGTGATACTTACCACGGCCTCACAGAAAACCGGCGTGAAACAACCACAGCGTTGTGTTTCGCCATGTGAGTGAGGTTACCGGAGGCCCAATCCCGCCCCTTCCCCTTTCCCTTTCCGATCCTTATATCTGCAACCCCTATCCCCAAAAGGCCGGCAACGCACTCGTAACTCCTTTAGTGTTGCGGGTGTGCATGGGCGGCGCCGATTAATTACCATCAGGTAATCCGCCTGCTCGTTTCCCGACTAATACCATAAAAAAATTCGGTTAACCGCGCCTAAGCCCGGGGCAGATAAGCAAAGGCTTGTTTTTAATCAGTAACAGACTTACACTCGCTTTTGCCCCGTCCATGACAGAAGTCATTGGAAGCTTCTGAACTCACAAAAAAACCCAGGATGAGGGATTGGAACAGGTTGCCGGCTACAGTCTTTCCGTCCGAATACAATTTAGGTGTCTTCAAGGCTAGAGTGAATAGGCTTTTAATAAACTAGTGCCCCTTACCATCAACGATTGCATCACTGCTTACAATCAGGTGGGATCGCAGTCAAGCACTAATTTATTGCAAGTAAAAAAAAAATAATAAAAAAAGCAATTGAACAATTTTCTAATGTAATTGACTAATAATTTCTAATTATAAGTTGGACTTGGCAATTGGCCTTGAGCAAGCGTGGTGACTAACGCTCAAACAGTCTCCGTGCGAGAAGAGGTCTTTGCTCAGCTGTGGGCACTTATAGGCTGATAATGAGTATTTGTAAATATGTTAAATTATCATAGATTGACTTTGGTTATATTGATTTAGGTGGTAATTTATAATCGGCACGAATGGGTCGGCTCGACCGGATTGATATCACGGCCTCAAAGAAAACCGACGTGAAACAACCGCAGCGTTGTGTTTCGCCGTGTGAGTGAGGTTACCGGAGGCTCAATCTTTCCCCTCACCCGATGCCTCCCCAATCCCAAAACCCTAATCCCTAAAAGGTCGGCAACGCACTCGTAACTCCTCCGTTACGGGTGTCCATGTGCGCGCCGCCCCCTGATCCTTAACATCAGGTAATCCGTCAGCTCGTTTGCCAACCTATGACATTAAAAAAAAGAAAATATATAGAACTGATTTCACTCACCAAAGGAAGAGACCTGTGGCCCACACCATGGTGTTGACTGCTGTGTACTCCACACAACTATATGCCGCGATATATATACTTACTAGACAATAAACTTAGTAGGTAGGTATAGGTATGTATACGCGTCGCTTTAATTTCCTGAAATCGGTATTTGTTTTAAATGACTACCTAAGTATTAATGTTTTTGTTGATAATTTACGAACCTTTCCAAAAATTGTTTGAATGGTAGTACCTAAAGTTTTTTTATGAGATACTAGCTACTCTCGCGCGGTTACACCAGCTGCTCGGCTCCATTTAACCTTAGGGTGATGTTTTATAGCCTATAGCACTCAGGAACATTGTAGCTATCTATCAGTGAAAGAATTTTGGCAATCCGACCATTGGTTCCAAAGATTAAGTACCCCCCTACATACAAACTTACAAATTTTACCTCTTTATAATATTCGTATATAGGTAGATATAGATGTCACCAAATAAGTAAGTAGTTGGAACACCTGATGGTTAACAGTCGGGACCTTTTGGGGATTTGAGGATCGGAGATGAGGGGAATGGAAGGCTGTTTGAGCAGTGTGAAGTGACCGTAGAACATGATAAAGGGTTATTATTTCACGCTCGTTATATTTTTCTGCGCACTTGTAGCAAATATCATTTCGATGGCACTTCCACACAAAATTGTACCTACCTTTTCCATATTGGAGTTTTTCGGTTTGTAACGCCACGCCACGCCACGCCACGTGCCCAGCCACGCCAAGCTAAGCCAAGCCAAGTCAATGCCACGCCAATGCCGAGATTGTCAGTCAAGCCAGTTAGTGGCCGTTAGTGACGTCACATCCCAACGGCCGAAGAGTATAAATAGTCGAACCGCTCATTTTGTGGCACATTTGTCTGTACGGTAGTTTCCACGGGTAGTTTCCAACTAGTCAAATTCAATAATTTTATCCAAATATCGAAAATGATACTTTTCGTCTCGTATGACGTCATAGTACCTATTTTAGCGTCAAATAGCTTACTTACTTATTTCTCAAAAAATATTTAATAAATATCTCAAATTTAGTGTATCGATCAATCGATGAATAAATTATTGTATCCGTGGTATCACGCCGACCATATGCACATTTTACATACCTATCTACTTATTGTAGAATGGAGTAGGTAAGATTATTTAGACACCACTAACATAGATAGGTACGGTAAAGGAAAACCTCGTAAGGAAACCTAAACTTATAATTCCTAATTATAAGTTTGAAATCGCCAATCCGCCTTGAGCAATTGTGGTGATTAATGCTCTTAACTACTTTCTGCGTGTGAGAACAGGCCTTTGCTCAGCATAGTGCAAGGCTGATGATGTACCTATGTAAAAGGTAAATCCAAAAGAGAAAAGCCAGGGCTAGAATCTAGCTACACCATACCTAAAAAGAACATTATTATCCAGTTTTATTACTTGCTAAGTCTATTTCTAGAAAATGTAGGCCTATTTCTAAAAAAAAACTTGTTTATTTTATGTAGGTACAGATCGCTCAGGGTATAAAAATAAACATTAAAGAGACAGTAAAATTAAAAAAAAAATATAGCTTTCTATAACTATTAAAACGTGGTTAAGTGTGAATCGGAAACGGGAAACCACTAAAAAACCAAAATAGAAAAGTTCAGATCTTTACTAAAAGTAAACTGTAACAGAAAGGTATAAGGTTCATTTTGACGCCTAATTAAGAGTTTTATAGTACCGACCTAATGATTAGTTTTCAAAAGTTTTACGACTAGGGGTCATTAAATTACTAATTACTTAGATACCTATCTATTAGGTACATAGGTTCGATGCTCGACTAATAATGCTATTTAAAGAATCTGTTTTTTTATTGTCTTTTTAATCAAATACCTTCCTATAGGTACCTACCTACCAACAAGGTACTACAAGGCTACTTGGTAGGTAGGTAGTTACATTCTCTTTTCGTTTTTTAAGGGAAAGGGCGTCAAACTAGCCGACATAGGTATCAACCGATGACAGAAGAGAAGTGTGGGAGAGCCATGCTTCGGCACGAATGGGTCGGCTCGACCGGAGTGATACCACGGTCTCACAGAAAACCGACTACAGTGTTGTGTTTCGCCGTGTGATTGAGGTTATCAGCGGCCCAATCCTTCCCCTCCCCCCTTCCCTGAATTTCCAAATCCCTAATCCCCAACAGGTCGGCAACGCGCTCGTAACTCCTCTGTTGCGGGTGTTCATGGGCGGCGCTGATTGCTTACCATCAGGTAATCCGTCAGCTCGTCTGCCGGTCTATTACATAAAAAAAAATGACAAGCAATCTGCGCCGCCCATGCCACCTAATTATACATCATCATGATATGATCTGATTACCTACCTAAGTTTTGGAAAACCATGCTTCGGCACAAATTAGCCTTCCCAATTGGAGTCAAACCAACCACGGCCTTGCAGAAAACAGGCGTGCAACTGCACTTGCACTGCTGCTCCCCCCATCCCCAATAGTTAAATCTCAAAATACTCATATCCCCAACCTCCCCAAAAACCTGAGACTTATTGTTCATGTTCATGCCTGCAACACACTTGGAAATCTGGTGTTGCGAGTATCCATTTTGGAGTAACAGATGAAGCGTAGCGTTCCGCGCGCTCCTCAAAGAGCATTACGGACGAGGCTCTATAGGGCTGATGTTCAGCCGGGGTTGTGGGATCAGCGTAATGTGTCACCACGGCCTCGGCCCAGAGCAGGAGAAGGAACGGGGTGGATTTTAATCAGTAAGAGTCTGACACTCCGTCCCTCTCCACCCTGGACGTGACAATTCAATCGTTTGTATACCTCTTATAAAAAAAAAAACTTCCATCTGTCGTAAAACGAAACGTCACGGTGGAGCATAGGATGGCGGTGTGCCTTTGAGCATCACCTTTCACGTTTCTGACCTTTTTCTAGTTCAGGTTCGAATTGCCCTGGTACGGCACGGTACAGTTGGTACGGTTAAAAAAAACATAACCTCAAACAAACAGCTCACCTATGTACTTTGTGCATAAAGGTTAAATAAATAAATAAATAAGAGTTGGGTTCATCATCATCAGCCTATAAGTGCCCACTGCTGAGGAAAGGCCTCTTCTCATACGGAGAAGGTTAGAGCATTAATCACCACACTTGCTCAATGCGGGTTGGCGATTTCAAACTTATAATAAGAAATTATAAGTCCAGGTTTCCTCACGATGTTTACCTTCACCGTATGTCAATGGCGTCTAAATAATCATAGAAAGGACATATAACTCGGAAAAAGTCACATTGGTACTTGCCAGGTTTCGAACCGAGAAGCGGGTTCCTTAACCACCGGGAGTTGGGTTATTGTTATTAAAACAAATTCAAGTAGAAATTATAAATTATTTATTTACACTTAATACAATGCACAAATATTATTATGTATTACATCATCCATCACAGTTATTTACAATTCACATACATACTAAATATATACATAATACATTCTTAATAATTTGGGATGTTATCTCATTAAAAACTAAGTACCAATGTTTATTTTATTTTTTTTATTTTATTTATTTCTTCTTCATACAAACAGTGTGAATGGCGGACTTAATGCCTTAAGGCATTCTCTAACAGTCAACCATAGGGCAGTGCAGAGAATTTTTGCGGTTGGTGCGAAGCAAGGACACAGAGTCCTAGAACAGGATAAAAGGGGAAAGAAAAAGGAAGAAACAAACACGATTCTTTACACATAGGTAAATAAATAGATATGCATAAAATAAGTTAACGAATACAATAAATAATACATGTTAAGTATGGATATATTGAAACATACATACTAATAATATACAGATATACATATACATATATACATATATACATACATACATAATATTATCTAGATGGGAAAAACCATGTCGAGACTAGTTACCACATCTGTTTTGTGTCTGCCAATCCTTAAATAAATGCTCGTGGACTTTTAACTTGAACGAGTAGCGATGTTATGTAACACTAGCTACTGCCGCGCAGTTTCACCCGCTGCTCTGCTCCTTCAGATCGTAGCGTGATGTTTTATAACTGTCCTCAATAAATGGACTAAAAAACATTGTTCATTTCGAACCAATAGTTTCGGAAATTAACGCGTTTAAACAAACAAACTCTACAGCTTTATTACATTTAATATATAGTATATAGATTATCATCATATTCATCATCGTCATCATCATCATGAGCCCACTGCTGACCAAAAGCCTTTCGTACACTAAAAAAAATGAACAGACATCACTATCCTTGTTAATGTAGATTGGCTAATTCAAACCCAGAAATTCAAGCCCAGGTTTTCTCACAATATTGTCTAAATAATTTTAAAACAAACATATTACAATTTCAATTAAAAATATGTGTTTTTCTCTTTTAATACAATTCTAAAAAAGCAAATTTAAAAATGGAACCAAAAACAAAATGCTAAAGAACAGGGTAGGCCACAAAGGATGCCTAAACATAACAAATAATTAAATTTACTTTTAACAATTCAAGACAATTTAATAATTTAATTTTGGAACAACATTTTAATGTTTAAGCCTAATGTAAAACACATTTAAAAATAAAATATATCTACTTAAATTTCCATACATCAAAATTAAGACACTTTTACTTCGTCATCACATCAACCCATGACTAAAACATGGACCAATTTCAGTTTTTTTTTGTCGTTTGCTATGTTCAGAATCTTTAGTAAACATTTATCTTTTCATCTACAAAATTAGTTCATCCAATCATCCAATATCAATATTTCTCAATAAACAAGTTTCATAAATCTACTTTAGCCCCTATATTACTGAGCGGTATCGCTTGGAGTTCAGTGCGGAGACAGAGAAACTCTCCGGCAACGCAAGTGATGCAGGCACAGGAGACACTGAGCGCCCACCAAGAGAATGTCGTTGGGAACGTACCATTGTACATCCAACAGGCGATGAGATGGAGTCCGTGGTATGTGCAACTGGAATGTGAGAATTGTTTTTAATTTCAATAATAGAAATTGGAGGCCCAATCCCTCCCCTTCCCCTATCCTTATATCCACAACACCCATCCCCAAATCCCCAAAAGGCCGGCAATGCACTCATAACTCCTTTGGTGTTGCGGGTGTCCATGGGTGGCGCCGATTGCTTTCCATCAGGTAATCCGTCTGCTCGTTTGCTGACTTATACTTATACTTTGGTTACTATTGTGTTAAACCTTTACCTTGTTGACAATATTATTTCAATGTAAGACCACAGTTTTGCTTAAATGAAAGTAGTAGTAGTAGTATGTTGTTAGAATTCTTACTTTTTTGTTCTTAATAAATATTACAAAATAGGTAATTTTGACCAGTAACAATTATGTAAATAATAGAATTCAAATTCACTTCAATAATTTACATAATTACAGTTTACTAATAAAAATAGTTTTATCAAATTTGAAATAACCTTACCTAAAATCCAAGCACAATTTAGTCCTGCCCACAATCATCCACAGCGCAAAGGCTCCAATAATTGCATTCACTACAAATGCAAATATGACCGAGCGGCCTTCGTTGTCACGTACATGTATCTCCTGAAACACGGCAAGAATTAAAATAAATAACTTAATCTCATCATTACATCCATTATTGGATTGTCTGGGTTAGTAAAAGACTTTCATTCTCTCAACTCAGGGAATGGAACAATCAGAAACTGTTTGTGTCTTCACTGATGTTAAATATATTTTCATGTTTTGTGAGATTTTTTTTTTAATTACACTTCTCAATGACTCGGTAATTGTTTGATTAGCAACCCAGTTAGTGTCAAGCACTATTCATGAGTAATGCGCATCACATGACACAGTGAATGCTGTGTATGTGCAGCTAACTGAAAGTGCACACTGAGCAGTGTGGCAGAAGTTCATGAGTATAGAAAGCCCTAAGAGTGCCATTGTAGCATTTATAGTTAAAAAAACTTCACATTGTGACATCAGCATCCTTTGACAATCTATTGCAGGCCTCTTTCGGATAAGGGTTTGGTACAATCTGCACTCTTAGCAGGCAGGTGAGCTATGACAACAAAAATTAGTTCAGATTTATCAGAATGCCACATAAATTGAGTAGTCCCTTAGTTGGCTCATATGACACCCGCAACAAGAGCAAACCTGGTGATAAACTAAGTAGTTTAATGTCATATGCCCATGACAAACTAAGATTGAAGTAAACAACACACTCACATGATATTCGAAGATATGGTCCAATGTTCGTGTAGATCCTGTCAAATCCTGCATAAGGGCGATAATGAGACATAAGGAGCAGTACAATACGGACTGCATAGCCACTATCTGCGAGACAATTAAGCAAGGATCCCATTGGGTATAGCGAAATGAGCCCGTCAGCTTCTTTATTTTCGACATTTTTGCTAAATTTGAACTAAAACTTTTAAGTATTTTACGTTGGTAGCAACTTGCAAAGTCGTTTTTGACAATTTCGACGTCTAATTGTAAACATATGGACTTATTAGAGCGATATTTTTAATGAAATTATAAATTTTATTTGATAATATCACGGTATGATGACAAATGTGGAATTCCAACGCAATCTGTCAAATGTCAACGAAAACGTCTATTGTTCCAAAGCATTGCGTATAAAGAAACGTAGTGATCAACTGTCGTCGTTACGAACACCACCAGTGTGCTCGTAAGGAAAAAAGCCACAAAAGGGGGCCAGTGCTCATTATTTTTCTGTTTTTATTCTCCATTTATCTCGAGTTAGAGATTCTAAGTCTATCTCTATGTCTATCAAAAATATCTCTATATCTACCAAAAAATATCATATCGAGCTGAATTCCGTATTCTCAGTCAAAATATAAATGTTATAAATATATGTCACAAAAATGTCAAGTCTCGTAGAGAAATGTTACCATTACGAAGAATCGCAAGTTCCCTTTTAGGTTACTATGAGTGATTATATGATTTTGTTTTAAAACGCTGACTAAAACTTTAAGATTTAAGATTGAAACGAAACGTTTCGGGTAAAAAAAAACAGTTTGACATTTGACGTCCGATAATTGGGTAGTTTCCTAGGTCAAAAATAAAGAAATTCGACGAGTCTATACAATAAAATATTGAAAAATAACTATACTTTTATTCATTGATCGATCGATACACCAAATTTTAGTAATTATTTAGCTAATTTTTATGAAATAAGTAAGCTATTTCACGCAAAAATACTATGACGTCATATCTCAGTGTTTCATACAGTGCGGCCGACGTATCTTGGCGAGTCTGAAGTTAGCAGTTTGTCTGCGCAATGGATCTTTTGCGTGAAATAGCTTACTTATTTCTTAAAAATTAGCTAAATAATTACTAAAATTTGATTTTTTCACTTCCATAGAAAAGTATCGTTTTTGAAATTTTGATAAAAGTATTGAATTTGACTAGTTGGGATTGTGACGACCTGCGTAACCGGGTCGAAACTTCAAGCCTACCAAGGTATTCAAATAATAGTTTACCGCATTAATACCCGCGTAAATAAATTGTTATTTTAATGAAAATATTTTATGAAATATGTTGTTTATATTTCATAGTTTTTATTTTAAAATGAAGGGGAAAAATACTCCAGTTCACAACAAAAGTAGGTACCTAGTTACTTATTAAAAACTTGTTGAATTAGACCCGATATTGAGGGGAGGTAATGTCTCCTCCGGTTTCTGTACTTTCTGTATGTTTTATATACAGTTGAATGTTGCATGTTTGCTGAAGCTAAAAGATGCTTGGGATAGTTAGGGCGTAGAGTAAGTACAACGGTTACCGATGCACTTCTCTTCCTTTCTGTGACTCAGAAGTTTTATACTTCATCGTTCGCTGTTTTTATTATTAACAATGTTTTTCAGTTATCTACTTCTCGATGATTTATTTATCTTCGTATGTGATTTCATTCTTAAAGTATATAATAATAGGTCTTTACCTATTTTAAAAAATTGCAAATGAAATTGCCGTTCTGCAGTACTGGCCATTTCAAATGAAAATAGTTTTTGTTAGGCTAAGGCTAATTAATTTAGTTTTAAAAACATGAGATTCTTTTTCCAAAAGCAGTCATTTGTTTATTGATTAGTGTTACATTTTCATTGCATTTTAAATCAAAAAATTCGTTTAAATTTTTTCATGCAAAACGGCAATTTCATAGCTAAAGATCTATTATGTGTTTCGAATAACGTAAAGTAATAATTTTATTTCAGATTTGAAGAAACACTAAAGAAAAAAATGTGAAATAAAAATACCTAAATCCACCACCAGAACCATCAAATTATGAGGATCAACTTGCTTGGCACACAAAATATTTATTTTTATTTCAACTGCACTGTTTGTGTATGGCCACATAGATTCCAAAGAATAGGATAATCGTGGAATTTGAATGACTTAAATGACGTAACATACCTACTTTTTTATAAAATTATTTGTATTGTTTTATTATTATAGAAGTTTCTTTGAAAAGAAAATGAATTTAAGTTGTGACTTTAGAATCGTGCTTCAGGAGTTGGTTGTAGTGGGGGGTGGGGGAAGCGGGGAAGTCCTTACCTAAGCCCTTCAAGCTTTAACCATTTTAAGATCCCAAAGGCTGCGGCACGAAATTAAAGTCAAGCCTTTTCGTTCCTGCATGCTGAATAACTATGCGACTGTATATCAAAGCCAATTTGTTATCACTTAACCGGGTATTTGTGGGGAACAATGAGTGAGTGCCCAAATGAAGAGCATTTAGAGTAGGGTTTCGAAGATTTGGGGATTGGAGAGAGGAAGGATTGGGCCTCAGCTGTTTTCTGTGAGGACGTGATATCAATCCGGTCGAACCGACTCATGCGTGGTGAAGCATGATTTGCACACATTAGGTAGGAAATTAAAATTGAAATAATAAAGAAAATTTAAAACATCATTTAACATAATGTAATTTAGTTTCGTCTACAACAGGATGTACCATTCTACTTCTCGTCACTTTTGAAAAATACCGCGCCGACTCTCTGGGTGTGCGGGTCCGATTCGGGTGCTTGAAGTCTACGGCGTAAAGGCCGAATTTTGAACTGGAAAGAAAGAAAGAAAAAAAAATTTAGAAAAAAAAGAGAAAGCCTTATACACATACATAATTAATTATATTTACCTAATCCTTAAAATACAGTAGTTTCCAACTAGTCAAATTCAATACTTTTATCCAAATGTCAAAAACGATACTTTTCTATGAAATTTGTAAGTAAAAACTGAGTTATGACGTTATAGTATTGTTGCGTCAAATAGCTACAAAATATCTAAAATTTAGTGAACCGATCGATCGATTAATAAAAGTACTTATAGTTATTTTTCAATATTTTATTTTATTGAAACTTCGAATTGATTTATTAGATATTGACATAGAAATCTGGTACTCAATTTTTGCAATAAATATTTCTTTTTATAAAATAGAGTTTATTTTTAAAGGAGCATTCTTTTGCATTTTCAGTATTCATGAGCGCCATGTTAGAGACGACAAGTGATTTAAAATTTTATGATGATTAATAAAGTTTATCTGATTACGAGTCAGCGTCAGGGGAAAATCATCAAATGTATTCTCCCGCTCAGGGTGAAGCGAGAGTGTCAGACTCTTACTGACTAAAAACCTTACGTTCCTTCTCCTGCTTTAGGCCGAGGTGACTCATTGCGCTTACCCCGCAACCCCGGAAAAAAAATAAGTACCTAAGGTTTTTGATGCAAAAATACTATTACTTACGTCATAATTTGGACTTTCATATAAATTTCATATAAAAGTGGTGGCTCGGAGGTTAAAGTACCCGCTTCTCATGCATGAAGGACGCGGGTTCGAAACCTGGCAAGTACCAATGTGACTTTTTCCGAGTCATATGTACTTTCTATGAGTATATAGACACCACTGACATATCGTGAGGAAACTTGGACTTATAATTACTAATTATAAGTTTGAAATCGCCAATCCGCCTTGAGCAAGCTTGGTATTAATGCTCAAACCTTCTCCGTGTAAGAAGAGGCCTTTGCTCAGCATTAAGCACTTATAGGCTAGGCTGATGATGATGATGATGATGATGATGATAAGAGGGCCTACAAGGACGTGTTAAAAATCATAATTTTTAATTATAATTTTTAAATCGCCAACCAGCATTAACCAAGCGTGGTGATTAATGCTCAAACCTTCTCAGTGTGAGATGAGGCCTTTGCTCAGCAGTGGACACTTATAGGCTGATGATGATGATGATGATGATGATGATGATGATGATGATGATAATTATTTAACTTACAAATATCCACCCAACCACTCGAAGTTGTCCATCAACGTCCAGGCGGTGTACCCAGTCACGTTGATTCCATCATTGATAGCCAACAGCACCTAGATAAACAAACGGAAACATTTTTGTAAAGAAACTATCACTTTGGAAATGTGACACTCACGACAGATTTTTCCAGGACCTGACGTCCTGGATAAAGTTGGGGAAGAGAGATAAGAATTTGCTTAAGCGTATTCCTTAAAAGACTCGCTATACTTAAAAGGATAAAAGGAAGCTGACTTCTTCCGACCCTTATAAATCGGTCTTGACTTTAGAAAAAACCCCGAAATCTATACTTATAATAAATCCATAGAGAGGTCAATTCTGTACATGAAAAATGTAATCTGTAAAATTTTTGTCTGTCTGTCTCTCTGTATGTTCCTTATAGAAACAAAAACTACTCTACAGATTTAAACGAAACTTGGTGCAATTAGTCTTTATATTCCTGGACAGGTTATAGTATATTTTTTATAACGCTATATAATATAGTATCAGTACCCCTACGGCGCCAGGGCGGGTCGCTAGTCCCTCATAAAACGACTTGAGCACAACGGCCACGCCTCCAAAGTGGAACATCCAGAAAACTGGTTTTTACTGACTAAAAACCATTCTAGTGTTCTAGACGCTATCGACCTTACCTAGGAGACGGAAAATTGGGGTAGTTTTTTCAGTAAGTCTGTCAGTCCCCCTCGGCCACCCCAGCCCCAAGTAATAATGTGGTCCAATAAAGATTTTCCACAAAGACGTTAAGTATAAATGATCAGCTTTGACATACCTGTTCCAAATACTCCTTATAGTAATCCAGCCTGACAATATCGACCAATCCATCTTCAAGAGTGGGTACTCCATTCTCAGTAATGACTATCTCCTTTACGTCATATGTCGTGTTCAACCAGTGGATCTGCTCCCGAAGACCTTCTGGGTAGAACTGGAATGCAGGATTAAGATTATCTTACCGATCTCCTAGCGTAAAAAAATTTGACGTTATTATTATGAAGCATAAGTTGGAACAACTCTGACCTGACTCCTCTACCCAAAACTTCAGAAATAAACAGATAAGATCTAAGATTTATCTTTGGAACACTTTTTTATTCTTTACTAGCTTTTGCCCGCGAATCCGTTCGCTTGGAACAGTGACTTCCTGCAGATTTTTTGTATAAAAACTATCCTATGTCCTTTCTGGAATTCCAAACTATGTCTGTACCAAATTTCACAGAAATCGGTTCAGTAGTTTAGGCGTGAAGAAAAGACAGACAGACAGACAAAGTTACTGTCACATTTATTATATCAGTTTGGATATGCAATTGCATACCGGAGGGTTTAATGCTAAAATCATTTTCTTTCAATGATTTTCTTAGGAGTGCAGAATGTAGAGATGTATGTAGACCTACCACACGTTATGTAGCAATTTAAGATATTATGGGATTTTTGATGGATATCACCAAATTACTTACTTGGCGCGGTGGCTGGGCAACTGGCTGCCGCGCAATGTGTCGCTGGTTCGATTCCCGCACGGCACAACTCTTTGCGTGATCCACAAATAGTTGGTCCGGGTCTGGGTGTGATGTGTATGTGAATTTGTATGTTTGTAAACGCACCCACGACACAGGAGAAAATCCTAGTGTGGGGCAACGTTTTTATTTTAAAAAGAAAAAGAAAGAAAAGACTTACAGCAAACCAGCCGACTTCGGTGGTCCTCCATCTTGGATCTTTATTGAACAGCACGTTAAGTTCGTCCGAGCCATCAAAGAACCAAGCGCCTGCCTTCTCACCTGGCTTTGCCCGGCGTACCACTCGCGTTGTGTAATGGTTCAGAGCGTAATAGTCATAGGTACCTGGGAATCATAAATTTTAGAGCAGTGAAGTTCCATTTTACCAAATCAAATCCTTTACGGCCACAACAAGGTTTGGGCCTTGGATCGCCTGCTTAGTTTTTCGCAAGGATGCACCAGATCAGTGAGCCGCAACCACCATCGTCAGTCACGTATTTTTTTCGATTTTTTTTACTTTGCGGAAATCCATGACATTAAATGTTAGGGAAAATATTTAGTTTTAATTCCGCGACAAAAATCCAGGCTTGTTGCAGGATGCAATCCTACTCCTATGCAATCATGCATATGCACATGCAGCAAGGGTTACATGCATATGCACACATACACAAAACGGAAAAACATGCCACGCAATCAAACCTATACTCGACACGTGTTTCGCCCCTCCACAGGGCCTCCTCAGGAGGTGTTGACTCGACGAGCGCTCGGCTGCTGCCTTGCTGCATGTGCATATGCATGATTGCATAGGAGTGGGATTGCATCCTGCAACAAGCCTGGATTTTTGTCGCGGAATTAAAACTAAATATTTTCCCTAACATTTAATAAGCAGATGGTCATAATATTTTCTATAAAAAATATACAGTATAAGAACAACATCAATCCTTTAAAAGTATACCTCTAACCAGCTCAATTTCTTCAGGAGTGAAAGGAGGCAGTCTGTAGTGATATCCTTGTTTTTTAGCGTTTTCATTCAGTAACTTCTCCAGTTTGCGCGGCCAACCACCTTCTTTTGAAAATATTGGGTGAGTGTATCTGCCTGCCTGCAAAAAACTGCCTGCTTGAGTTATAGAGGTGGTGGTATTTGATGCTTTTTGAACACGTTTCGAGGAGATAGGTACATACAACCAACTCATAGAATGGAATGTTGTCCTGGGGAAAATAGTTTACTCACTTTTATATAAATTTAATTCTATTAGGAGTTATTCCATTGTTGTATCTACATATATTCTTATTATACATACATTTATATATATAGATTTTTGTTTGTCTTTGTCTAGCCATAAAACGTTGCTACCATCCGTGCGTCACTGGGACCCATTGAAAATCAGCGCTGGACGACTTGCTTGTATGCCTAGCTTACATTGAGTGGGTAACCCATTTAGCATGGCCATGTTGTAGCGTCTATTTTCTGTTTCATCTGTTTTAATCTTTAACTCATGTTTATCTTACTTCTACTGTCTCACTTTTATTGTCTTTTTTATATGTTATATATGCTGCATCGTGCCTGGTGGCATAAATGTCTTTTCTTTCTTTCTTCTTTCTTTCTTTCACTAAAAGTAGTCCATAGTTGGCGGTCCGCTGAATGTATAATGCGAACCGGCCTGATTAATCTTGCTGTCACAATGGCCCGGCTGAGTCGCTTTTTTAACCCCGCAGGGGATGCCTTCATCGATGTGGCCATTTAGCTTATGAGTAGAATTTGTTGCCACGGCAGGGATTATTCCGGTTTATTAATGAACAGCCGTAGCGTGTTGATTTAAGAGCTGCCCTATCCAAACAAAGGTTCGATAAACGAATGCAGATTCCCGCATATCGAAGACCGACAGATTTTAAAAATGTAAAATGCCCATACTTACCCATAGATCGATGGTCAAATCGGTAGCTTCTTGGTCTTCTGGCTCGACTGGTTTGAACCAGAAGAACAAAGTTGTTACGGATAGCTTTCCTGCAAAACATAGTGTAACTGTAAATTGTAACTTGAATATAAGACACGATCACGCTATACCTCCCCAATTCCTAAATCTCCTAAATCCTTATTCCCAAAAGAATAAGAAGAAAATAGATACAAATTGAAATCTGCAAGACACTCACCGTGATATTTATCCCGGTACAACTCATCATAGATCCTGTAGGCTTTCGCGTGTGCCAACATAACATTCTTATTGCACAAATACTTGCCCACATAGGGGTCATTGAAATAGGGGGCTGCGAATTCCGCGTAGCCCCCGTCACAGACCCCCATAGGCTCATTGATTGTGACCCAGTACTTCACTCGATCTCCGTATAAGGAAAATACCACATTCGCGTAATCCGCAAACCAGTCTGCTATTAGGGGATTCGCCCAGCCACCTGGCAAAAAGGAATAGTCCTAGTTAGTTGTATAGAGAAAAAAAAACAAAAATCAAATCTCATTCCATCCAACTAAACCAAACAGGTACTTTTGAAACGTCAAAATAGAATAATTGTCCGCTATCAGTTCGTTAGTGAAGCTAGGTATTCGTTCCAAATTGTAGATTCGAATGGAGAAGAATGAGCAAGAAATTTAACTTATGGTAAGCGATTATGTCATGGTATACTCCGAGCAACAACAAGTTCTCAAATAACGGGAGCGATGCCGCGGGTAAGAGCTAGTAATTAATAAATTACATTAATACGCTCAAGGCGGATTGACGATTTCAAACTTATTATTAGAAATTATTAGTCCAGGTTTCTTCACGATGCCAGTAGTGTCTAAATAATCATAGAAAGTACATAATATAATTCGGCAAAAGTCACATTGGTACATGTCATTTCAAAACCGCGCCCTTATGCGTGAGAAACGGGCGGACACCTTAACCTTTGGGCTACCAAACTACAAATGAAATTTTGTTAATACGGACGAATGGCTTACCTAAGTCTTGCAAAGACTGTGGAAGGTCGAAGTGGTATATGGTAACCAGAGGCTGTATTTTCTTCTCCAAAAGACCGTCGATCAGGTTGTTGTAGTAGTTCTTGCCATCCTCGCTGATATAGTTCGGAAACCCAGTAGGTAGCAGACGAGGCCAAGATATGGAGAACCTGGAATTTTGGAGACACAAACTGCTATAATGACGTCTTACTTAGTACCGCTATTATGAAATCGCCAATCCATTTTGAGCTGGCTTGGTATTTAATGCTTTAATCTTCTCTAACCTAAAAGAGGCCTTTGATCATCAATGAGCACTTGATGAGCTGGTGCTGACGATCAGAAGAATAACCACTGCGTTGTGTTTCGCCGTGTGAGTGAGGTTACCGGAGGCCCAATCCTTCCCCTTCCCCAATCCCTCCTCAATCCCTAAATCTCCAAATCCCTAATCCCTAAAAGGTCGGCAACGCACTCGTAACTCTTCCGTTGCGAGTGTCCACGAGCGGCGCTGATTGCTTACCATCAGGTAATCTGTCTGCTCGTTTGCCGACCTATTACATAAAAAAAAAATGCTTCTTGCCATGGTATGCTGTGAGGCGATGGGAAAGTAACAAGAATTTGTCACCACGTCCCACAGGCACGACTCAGGAACTATCAATTAGACAGAGAAAAGAATGCTGTATAGTCTCTATCTAATGAGATCTTTGTATCTGTCTAATCTAATAGGGTTCTGCAGCGGTCTCTGATAAACTTGAATCTTTTAAATTGCGATCTCCAGCCTACGCGCCAAGTTAGGGTGTAAATACTTGTAATGCGGACCACACCAGTCACAATGTATCGTGGGTGCGTTGAAAAACGTAAAAACTAACATACTCAAGCCACACAGACCCAAAAAAACGATTTGTGGATCACACAATGTTGTTCCGTGCGTGAACCGAACCGTAGCTAATGCGCCAACCATGCAGTCAGAGGAAAATAAGGATAATTTAGAAAAGAAGGCCCATTTTCTATAGATAGAAAGTGTGGGAGAGCCATGCTTTACGATACCACGGCCTCACAGAAAACTGGCGTGACATAACCACAGCGTTGTGTTTCATCGTGTGAGTGAGTTTACCGGATACCCAATCCTTCCCCTCCCCCAATCCCTCCTCAATCCCTAAATCTCCAAATCCCTAATCCCTAAAAGGTCGGCAACGCACTCGTAACTGCTCCGTTGCGGGTGTCCATGGGCGGCGCTGATTGCTTACCATCAGGTAATCCGTCTACTCGTTTGCCGACCTATTAGATAAAAAAAAAGATACTGTCTCAGAGCTGTTCAAGACCTCACCTGTACATATTCAGCCCTAACTCCTGCATCATCTCAATGTCCCTCCTCCACAGGTGGTAGGAGTCACAGGCCACGTCTCCATTGCTGCGGTCCACCACCAGCTCAGGACGGTCGTGAAGAAGTTTGTCCCATATGCTGAGACTTTTATCTGGAAGAATGTATTTTTTAGCTTTACTATACGTTAGCCATAATTATGTCACACACACACACACACACACACACGCACACACACACACAATTATGTGAACAACAATTTAAGGATCACACAAATAAGCATTTTTTTTTATATAAACGTTGCCCCTCTTTTGGATTTTCTCCTGTGTTGTGGGTGCGTTTACAAACATACAATGTCACATACACATGACACCCAGACCCGAAACAATTTGTGGATCACACAAAATGTTGTTCCGTGCGGGAATCGAACCCGCGACACGTTGCACGGCAGCCAGTTGCCCAGCCACCGCACCAATCGTGCAGTCATATAATTTGATATTAATTATATTTTTTACTACTACTACTCTCGCGCGGTTGTACCCGCTTCTCTATTTAATCGTAGCCTGGTGTTTTATAGCCTATAGCACTCAGGAACATTGTATTTGAGCTATCCATCAGTGAGCAAGTACAAAGGTAAAACAAGCCGTGTCTGTTTGTCTACACTAATATTATAAATTGGAATTTGTAAGTTTGTATGTAGGGGGTAATCTTTGGAACCACTGGTCGGATTGCCAAAATTCTTTCACTGATAGATAGCTACAACGTTCTTGAGTGCTAAAGGCTATAAAACATCACATTTACGAGTTACACGTACTTTCCAATTTAATTAAGACACCAATGACATGAGATAAAGGAAAACTTTATGAAGAACTGACTGGACTTCTAATTTACAAATACAAGATTGGAATCCCCAATCTGTTTTGAGCAAGCGTGGCGATTCAAACCTTCTCCGTGTGAGAAGAGGCCTTTGCTCAGCAGTGGGCACTTATAGACTGGTGATGATAATTATTATTACTCGAGAGAGCCGTATAGTTTACAGGTTCGGCGGAACTATAACTAAAAATAAGGGTTAAATTCTTTTCCTCTTCAGAGACCAAACCAAGTAAAACAATATGTATACCCACCACTGACATTCCACGCCCCTTCAATTTGGTATGCAGCTGAAGCAGCCCCGAACATGAATGTTTCAGGAAACTTCAGCTGTTCAGTCGCACTCCAGCATCCATTGATCAGAATACTGAAAAAAGTGACAGAACGACACGTGAAAATTCAGGGGAAAATCATCAAATGCCTTCTCCCGTCCAGGGTAAGGCGAGAGAGAGTGTCAGACTCTTACTGACTAAAAACCCCCTCGTTCCTTCTCCTGCTCTGAGCCGAGGCCGCGGTGACTAATTGCGCATAACCCGCAACCCCGGCTGAACATCAGCCCTATAGGGCCCCATCTGTGGTGGTCTATTGGCTCTTTGAGGCGCGCGCGGAACGCTACGCGCCGTACGCTCGGGTCTGGTTCTGGTCGGGCGGCGAGCTACCCTTACTCGCCTTCCGCAGACCCGCGCTTGCGGTGCCGGTGGTCGGAGATCATCTCTCGATAAAACGACTTCTTAAGTCTTAGCTCGGTTGAAAGGGAGTGTCAGACGCTAAATGACTTTAAACCAAGCCGTTCCTTTTCGTGCGTCGTGCAGGAGCCGCGATTTATAACCCTCTATTGGTGATTAAGGAGAAATATTTTTAATAATTTGCATAAGTACACTGAAATACTTTGGGCATATATCTAGAAGTGTGAACTCTATGGAGCGGCTTGTGGTAGAAAGCCACACAGAAGGCACGAGACCAAGAGGCCGGTCTCCGACTCGCTGGATAGACCTGATTAAAAAACTACGAAGTAGACCGGAGTACAGTGTACTCGCAACGCTCAAAGTCGACAAAAGTGGAGAGACATCGCTCAACGTGCTGCTCTTGAAAGGAAGGATGACGGTATGGCGCAACCCATCCATCTACAGCCACGACCACTCTGCCAAGAGTGTATCGACTAAGAAGAAGAGCATAGGAACATCCGAGTATTAGAAAAACACATAAATATATAAACAATAAAAATCATTGTAATGAGCACCTTTTTTTAAATAATTACTAAAATGAAGGTATTTAGTGTAGGCATTTAATTTTTATCCCAAAGTACGATTATTATAATGTTGTTTTTTAATGAAGAAATTAAAAAAAGAACAATAGAAGAATAATAAAAGACTTCCCATCATGTTTGAACGTTTGTTTCTATAAAAAAGTCGTACGTAAGTAGTTACGACGTTTATACGCTAAAAACTGCTTAATTGATTTCAATGAAATTTGTGACTCATTTACAATGTAAATCGAGGTCTATAAATATATATTTTTTCAGACGGGTTCGCGGGCCAAGCGCAATAATGTATTGCGGACTGCTTTTTTTATGGTTTAAGTCGGCAAACGAGCAGACGGGTTACCTGATGGTAAGCAATCAGCGCCGCCCATGGACATCCGCAACACCAAAGGAATGCGTTGCCGGCCCATTTGGGATAAGGGTTTCAGTTATTTAAGGATTGGGAAGAGATGGAGGAGGGGTGTGTTTGGACCTCCGATAACCTCACTCACACGGCGAAACACAACGCTGTGGTTACTTACGACCTACTTTTAATTCTACATCATCCTTACCAAATATTTCTTATCGCAGATGAAATAAAGATACTATTGAGAATAATCATAAGAACTAAGATCCAGTATCTAATCTTGGTTTTATCTAAACATTTATAATCTTAATATCACGCCTGTTTATCTCCTAACGATGTTTAAGAGGTAATCTTCTTAATTTATATCTTTTATATATAAAAATGGATTGCAAAATGTGTTGGTAAGCGCATAACTCAATAACGCCTGGACCAATATTGATAATTCTTTTTTTGTTGTGTTTGTCATTGTCAGGAGAAGGTTCTTATCAAAGAAAATATTAGGAAAGTAGAGAGGAAGATTAGGAAAAAGTGACCCTTTGATAACGAGATAGTTGGACCCGTGCGAAGCGGGGGCGGGCCGCAAGTGATGTATAAAAATAATCCCCCATCCTTGTAAACCTTTAGGCACATACAAATTTCATGGAAACCGTTCGAGAGATTTCTGAGAACTTTGACAATGTACTATCTGCTACACTTTTTTAATATTTAAAACCTGAAGTTTTTTTAATTTATTTTATATATAGGTCGACAAACGAGCAGACGGATTACCTGATGGTATGCAATCAGCGCCGCCCATGGACACCCGCAGCGGAGGAGTTACGAGTGCGTTGCGGACCTTTTAGGGATTTGGGTTTTGGAGATTAAGGGATTGGGGAGGGATCGGGGGAGGGGAAAGATTGGGTGTCCGGTAACTTCACTCACACGGCAAAACACAACGCTGTGGTTGTTTCACACCGGTTTTCTGTGAGGCCGTGGAATCACTCCGATTGCGCCGACCCATTCGTGCCGAAGCTTGGCTCTCCCACAGTTTATTTTAACTTTATCAAATTCAAATAGAACAATTTTTTTATATATTATTATTATATATAATTATTTATTGAGGAAGAGGAAAAAAAACCATGCAGGATCATGCGTCTCGTATTTTTTTGTCAGGGGAAAATCATCAAATGACTTCTCCCGCCGGGTTATGGGAGAGAGAGTGTCAGACTCTTACTGACTAAAAACACCCCGTTCCTTCTCCTGCTCTGGGACGAAGTCTACTAGATGCTAAACTACTTACCCTACTACATAAACTGCATTGTACAGAAAATATAAAAAACACTAATCTCGCAAAAAAAAAATAATCTCGTCGTCGTTCGTCGATCGACGCTACACGCTCAGGTAAAAAATAAAACCGTGAGAAAATCATTTTCATAATCATATTTTACATTTAAATATTATCAACAACAATTATATTATATTTTTAAATATTTTCTATAATAAAGTGCTTATTAATATAAAAGTATAAAAAGCAGTAACCCACCGGTATAAGGAGGAATCTATCAATCAATCAATACGTTTATTGCACTCCATAATTATGTTTAAAAGGTGTTACATAATAATATAGTACAGTATGGACCCTGTAGGGCACGGCAACGTAGAAGAGAGGAGGACGCTAATTTTATTTAGATTATGTATCATGTGTCATCATCATCATCATCATTATGTCTGAATGATGTTGGTCAGAGCTCCAGAGAGAGGAATTTTTCAGACAATACGCGCTTGTCTAAAATCATCAAACGCTAGCCTACTAAGGTATTAATCAAATCGAGGCACAGAAATCTTAATAATATTGCACATTCGTTTCCTTTCACGCGACCACAGGATCTCGGACCTTTGAAAGGCGAAGCCAACACGCCGAGGCTCGTTGAACAACTTTAATATAAGTGAAATAGGACATCAGCCGGCAATTATCCCTGTATGCACTATGAAAGTGCACCCAAGCATAATCCCCGGTTGATCTGCATCAACCGGGGATTATGCGAAATGTGGTAATAATTGAAATGGTTATGAGTATGGACTGGTAGATATGATAACTATGGAAATACTATCATATCCACCAGTCGATAGCTATCCAAATATTGCATTATTATAAAGATTTCTGTGGGTCGAAGCTTTGGCAGATATATTTATTGGTACAAAAAGTTTACATCGACATCACATAAGATTAATCTAAGATTCATATTATTTTCATGTCTCTACCAATCACGGGATCACAAGGTCCCGTCATTTAGGCCTACAAGGGGCCGAAGCCAACTGCACAGAGGCCCTTCAGACAACTTCAATCTAAATGAAATGGGACACAAACCGGCGACTATACCAGTATGCACTATGGAAATACACCCAAGGATAGTCCCCGGTTAGTGTAGGACTATTGCGGATAATGGAAACAAGGGCTATGGCACTGACCGAAACAATGTAATTTTCGCACGTAAAATTGCCATTATTTTTAATTTTATTATTACCACCGGCGTGAAATAACCACAGCGTTGTGTTTCGCCGTGTGAGTGAGGTTACCGGAGGCCCAATCCTTCCCCTCCCCCAGTCCCTCCTAAATCCCTAAATCTCCAAATCCCTACTCCCTAAAAGGTCGGCAACGCACTCGTAACTCCTCCGTTGCGGGCGGCGCTGATTGCTTACCATCAGGTAATCCGTCTGCTCGTTTGCCGACCGACGAAAAAAAATAATAATAATATTATGTTTTTAAATTACTCACCTTAACACAACTATACACTTAAAACACATGGTAAAGAATGAGCGCTGAAATCGCTGTTATAAAAAAAACACGAGAGTTTATCATCGTAATCTCAAGCCTGTATGGATTAATCACAATGGCTTCGAAGTGAGAAACATCGCTTAAATGTAGGTGAGCATTATTCATTATTGTTGTTTTGAAATTTTAATTGTGTTTTGTTTAAAATGGTCCATTTTTATCTATGTACCACCCACTGTCAAACCGCTAAACCGGTTTTGCATTATATAATAAAAAATATGTATGTTAATTATTTTTCTCAATTGCTCCAGATTTATTGTGACGACATCGTAGATTCTCAGTTTTTTCTTTAAATGGTCATATTTCATGAAACACGAATTTTATTTTGTAAATAATATAATAGTAATATAATTTAACTTTTTGACATTTGAGAATGAAAGATTACATTCCCAAATCGCATTTGCCACTCCTCTAGTTCTGGTGATTTCGGGTGTCCATTGGTGGCTTACCAGCAGGTAATCAATCAGCTCGTTTGACATAATAAAATTTTCTGTATAACTTTAAATTTTATGTGAAGGTACCTACTTACATTATTTCATTCATTGTTTAATTAACTATCTCGTGTCATTCTCACGTAAATCAAACTTATAAACTTATTAAGAACATGATAATTGTTATTTTATGATAATTATCTACTATCATGACTTCAGCACCCTTGGAGGTACATCAATCTTGTTTTGAACTAAACCTGCTTTTCAAGAACGATGTGATGGCAATACAACGAAACGTTAAGTGTGGGAGAGCCATGCTTCGGCACGAGTGGGTCGGCTCGACCGGAGTGATACCACGGCCTCACGGAAAACCTGCGTGAAACAACCACAGCGTTGTGTTTCGCCGTGTGTGTGAGGTTACCGGAGGCCCAATCCTTCCCCTCCCCAATTCCTTAATCTCCAAAATTCCTAATCCCCAAAAGGTTGGCAACGCACTCGTAACTCCTCTCTTGTTGCGGGTGTCCATTGGCGGCGCTGATTGCTTACCATCAGGCAATCCTCGTTTCCCGACCTATGACAAAAAAAAGAAACATGGATAGCATTAAACTAAGTTCTATACACCTTCTCTGACCTGGCAAACAGTAATGTGACTTTTAAGTACTTTCTATGATGAAATTCGTGAGGCAACCTGTCTTATAATTCTGAAATCGCCAATCCGCCTTGAGCAAAAGCTTGGCGGTTAATATCAAAGTCAAAATCACCGTTTGTTCCGACAAGTCCAACGTAAGCCGTAATTCTATCAGGTTGACCATCAGTGTGTGTGACAATTAATCTTTCTTCATTATTAATCCATGTCCGACTATCCGAATCGACCTCATCATCATCATCATTATCATAGCAGCCATAGGACGTCCACTGCTGAACATAGGCCTCCCCCATTGACTTCCAGATAGGCCGGTTGGAAGTGACCTGCATCCAGCGGCTTCCTGTGACCTTAATCAGGAATCGACCTCGTTTCCTATTAATTCGGATAATCGGTGTTCTACTGTAAGTGTCATGTTCGTGAAAGGGCGCCGGCAGATGGGACTGGTCAGCTCCGGACTGTCTATTGTCCATAGGATTATTTGTTTTTATTTTTCTCTGAATAAATATTAGTGTTACACTGTTCTCACATAATTGAACCAACTGTTTGTATAAGGAATCTGTATGTAAAACTGATTTAAAAAGAGCAACCATGGAGTTTCTTGCTCGTTCTTCTCCATCGGAATCTACACTTTGGAACGAGCTTCACTAAGAGGACTGACCGATTGACAATTTATATTTTTAAAATTTTGTTTGACGTTTAAAAGTGCCTGTAGGGGTCTAATTGAAATAAGTGATATTTTACTTTTGACTTTTACTGTATAGATGTTAAGTTTGTTACTCTTTCAAGTAAAAACTACTGAACGGATAGGAATGTTGTAACAGAGAGATAGATAGAACAATGTTTTTTTTTTGCTTGTTCTTCACAAGGAAACAAAACATCGTTACTCTTTAAAAATTCCATCCATTCCAATCTACACTTTGGAAAGAGCACCTAGCTTCACTGACGAACAGACTGACAGACTACTTATTAGTTGGAATAAAATTATTTTGGTGTTGACTGGCAGAAGCTTTCTTCTTTATAAATAAGTATATTTACTATTCAGTAAAAATACATTATCAAAATACGATATTTGGGGTCTTCCAAAGCCACAGTCAGACGACGGATGGTGAAAAAAGTTTTCTACAGTACCAACACCACGTGGAAATTGTACATTCGTGAATATTAGACCTTAATCTTTCTAAGATAAGGTGTAATTGATTATTAATGAACCTAATTAGCATTGTTAATTACCGTATGAATATTTAATATACTTACTTTTGTATTCCACTGCGTAAGCAAGCTAGGTTTTTATTTATAATTTGCTGAATGTCAATTTGCATATTCATATTGCATTTATTAATATATATATAGGTATATAATAGAGTCGTGGTGGCCCGGAGGTTAAAGCGCCCGCTTCTCATGCATGAGGGTGAAAGGGTTTGAAACATGGCCAGTATCAATGTGACTTTTTCTTTTTTTTTGTACTTTCTATGATTATTTAGACACCACTGACATATGGTGAAGGTAAACATCGTGAGGAAACCGTGACTTATAATTCTAATTATAAGTTTGAAATCGCCAACCCGCATTGAGCAAGCGTAGTGATTAATGCTCAAACCTTCTCGGTGTGAGAAGAGGTCTTTGTTCCGCAGTGGGCGCTTATAAGCTGATGATGATTGCATTTATTGAGGTCTTCTCATGTAGCTTTGTATGCCTGCATGCCTTTTTATTTCCGTTGGGTATAATCAAAGTGTCTTCCTCCACCCTGGTTGGGGCGAGACGGAATATCAGACTCTTTCCGGCAATAAACCACCCCGCAAACCTGACTGATGCTAATGTCAGCTTCAAACTGCAGTGTGATTCTGTAAGACTTCATTCTAAGCTTCGAATCTGAATCCGCTGTGAGGAGTAGTACACTAGCGCTACACTTGCGAGTTGAACTAAATTAACTGCAACATTTTGATAGATAAAGTATGAGATGACTTTAAAAGTGGCATTCTACAATGTAATTTCCCCGTCACTTCGACGCTCACTTCGCACTCGAACAAGATTCAAAATCAAACAATGTTTTAGAATCGGTGTGCTGGAGTTTGTTTAATAAGAATTATCAGCAGTGTGATTCTGCAAGACTTCATTCTAAACTTCGAATCTGAATCCGCTGTGAGTAGTAGTACACTAGCGCTACACTTGCGAGTTGAACGAAATTAACTGCAACATTTGGATAGATAAAGTATGAGATGACGTTAAAAGTGACATTCTATAATGTAATTTCCCCGTCACTTCGACGCTCACTTTACACTCGAACAAGATTCAAAATCAAACAATTTTTTAGATTCGGTATGCTGGAGTTTGTTTACTAAGAATTATGGGTTTATCAGGAATCTAACATATAGACGTATTCTCTCAAACATACCACACTAGGGTTTTCTCGCGACGTTGGACGGTAAATCGCCATGCATCCCTGATCATAGTCTGCACAGTTGACGAGTTGAGTTGAGAGAGTTGAGAGCGGTGGCTGGGCTGGTTGTAGCAATGCAAATTCTATTCCCACTCTTAACAACTCTTTGTGTAACCCACAAATTGTTTTTAGGGTTTGTGTGTGATGTGTATCTGAAATTGTTTGCTGTTAACATAGTCATAACACAGGAAAAAATCTTAGTGTTAATCAAAGTTTAAAAAAAAACCTTACCGCGACTCTGATGTTGTCTTCGGTACACCAAGCTGAAGGTCTACTCAAAACCTTAAAGTCCATATTTCTTACGAGCTATAACGGTGACTATGGTTCTAGGGCGATTTTACATATTATGGATTTTGTCACGTAAAAAATCTCCGATCATAGCCTTCTCCATCGCTGTAAGAGACTCTGATTCTCTCTTGAAGGCCAAAACCTAGTAATTAAGTAAGTATAAAAATGTAAGACGCTGTTCGAATTACTTAAGACCATTGAAAGTTTGAAGTTACCTCATTAATATTTAACTAATTACAATGTATTAGCATCAAAATTTAAATATGCGTAATAGTATAATGCAATACAAAAATAACACTACGCACAGTCCATAACTTTATCATCCTTTAAGTGTTGGAGAGCCATGCTTGGACATGCATGCATGAATGGGCCGGCTCGACCGGAGTAATACCACGGCCTCATAGAAAACAGTCGTTAAACAGCGTTTGCGTTTGTTTCACCATCAGAAATCCCCAAATGCTCAAATGTCTGACCCCCAAAAGCCCGGCCACGAACTTGTTACTCCTCTGGTGTTGCGGTTGGGCAGTGACGATTGCTTACCATCAGACTATTCGTCTGCTCGTTTACCATCCTATCCTATAAAAATTCTTCCACTTTTCTCCAGGGAATTGTAATATACATGTATAGAGGTCCACAGTCCATCCAGCAGTGATGTCATAAAATCTGTAATCTAAAGTAGAGAATATCATTAATTCACCAAACCCCCAAGCGAATGCCGGCGACCGCGAAGCTATTGTTAAAATCGGCATAGCAGTTTCGAAGCATATCCCATATTATCAATACTAACATACTCATAAAGATTTTCTCTCTTTCTTATATTAATTTTAACCTTCTGTCTAAACATGTACTGTGGCATTCAGTGTGACAAAATAGTAAGTAAGAATTTTGAATTTTGCGTACTTTGGCCTGTGTTCGTTTATTTTTGTCAGTTCTTGAGGTGTTCCCAGACTGTAATCATGTTCAATATTGTTTTTATAGTGTTCTGGTGAGTTTTTTTTTATGTAATATGATTACCTGATGGTAAGCAATCAGCGCCGCCCAAGGACACCCGTACCAGAGGAGTTACGAGTGCGTTGCCAACGTTTTGGGAATTAGGGAATTTGGAGATTTAGGGATTGGGAGAGGGGAAGGTTTGGGCATCCGGTAACCTCACTCACACGGCGAAACACAACGCTGTGGTTGTTTCACGCCGGTTTTCTGTGAGGCCGTGGTATCACTCCGGTCGAGCCGACCCATTCGTGCCGAAGCATGGCTCTCCCACACTTAAAACTTTAGTTGTGTTATTTCATAAGTTTTAATCGGGATTCCGAGTTACTTAGGTTTAAAAATATCTTAGTAATAATATACCCCTTTTCCTATTCGCGTTGTATTTCTCATTGATGATGGTTGTGATAATCTCCGTGACCTTCTTCAGTATCGTGAGTGTATTTTACCATATATCTATACTAATATTATAAAGAGATAAAATTTGTAAGTTTATTTGTAGGGGGTAATCTTCGGAACCGCTGGTCGGATTGCCAAAATTCTTTCACTAATAGATAGCTACAATGTTCCTGCGTGCTTGATTCTATAGAACATTACGCTACGATTAAATGGAGCTGAGCAGTGGGTGAAACAGCGCGAGTGTAGGTTACTAGTAAAATATAAAAAAACCCATGCAGTTATTACATACTTACGGAAATGTGAGAGGAAGTGCTCCCTGCCGCAACTGCAAGGCAGGCCGCGGTACATTACATGGCTTGGCCCGCGAACCCGTCTGAAAAAATATATATTTATAGACCTCGACTTACATTGTAAATGAGTAACAAATTTCATTAAAATCAGTTTAGCAGTTTTTAGCGTATAAACGTCGTAACTACCTACGTACGACTTTTTTATAGAATTACGTTCAAACATGATGGGAAGTCTTTTATTATTCTTCTATTGTTCTTTTTTAATTTCTTCACAAAAAAAAAACATTACAATAATCTTACTTTGGGATAAAAATTACTACTATGTTCCTGAGTGCTATAGGCTATAAAACGTCTCGCTACAATCAAATGAAGCTGAGCAGCGGTTGAAACCGCGCGACAGTAGCTCGTAATACAATACAATCCAAACAACCAGACCCGAAACAACAGTCAAATGGAAAATCAAAGCTATATTTAAAGACACAGTCAAAATCAAAGTTGACGTTAAACTTAAAGTCAAAGTAAAAGTCAAAATCAAACTCAAAGTTAAAGTAAAAGTCAAATTCAAAGGCTAAGACAGGTCAAAACCAAAGTTTTTCGTTGTTTAAGTCAACGTTTTTAATAATCCGATTTTTGGTAAACCAACAACAGCTCATAGAATAATCAAAATAGCTCAAAAAATATTTATCACACAATGCATAATAGCTAGTTGTTACGATGCTGACCATATTCATCATCAGCCTATAAGTGCCCACTGCTGAGCAAAGGCCTCTGCTCATACGGAGAAGGTTAGAGCATTAATCACCACGCTTGCTCAATGCGGGTTGGCGATTTCGAACTTATAATTAGAAATTATAAGTCCAGGTTTCCTCACGATGTTTACCTTCACCGTATGTCAATGGTGTCTAAATAATCATAGAAAGTACATATAACTCGGAAAAAGTCACATTGGTACTTGCCAGGTTTCGAACCCGCACCCTCATGCATGAGAAGCGGACGCCTTAACCTCCGGGCCACCACGACAAATATAAGAAACTGCTGACCATATTAGACGCCATAAAAAAAGTGACGGTGTAATTTGTTTTAGGATTTGCCGTCATAAAATCACTCGTATTACCCGATGGTCAGCAATAGGCGCCGCCATGGAAACCCGCAACACCAAAGATTACGAGCGCTTTGCCTATTAGAGGATAGGGGTTACGTATATTTAGGGATTGGGAAGGGATGTATCACTTCGATCCCGACTCGACCCATTCGTGCCGAAGCATGGCTCTCCCACTCTTATATAAATATCCCAGTAAATATTACATTCGTAACGAAAACTCTTTCATTACACATAATATAATAATTAACATACACATTGTATTGAAAACATGTGGCATTTAAAAATAAATTACTCGATGTTTGGGTTTAATAATATGTATCAGGCAAGTTCAAGGTCTTTTACAATTCTAGAGTCGTGAATTCGATTGAAATGTTCGTTGTAGAAAGTAAGTACTAATTAAAAAGTACATAACACGAAGAGACTAGGTTGAGATTGCTCGTGCTTTAGAAGATTACAACAGGTTCATCTTTATTAAAATAAATCTTATTATTATCACAACTTTAGAATTTTATTCATGTGTGAGAGAGCCAGCATAAATGGGTCAACTCGACCGGCGTGAAACATCCACAGCATTGTGTTTCACCGTGTGTATGAGATTACCGAAGGACCAATCCTTCTTTCCCTCCCCAATCCCAAAATAACTGTCCAAAAATATAGTATATTGATCTATAATAAAGATAAAGTGTAAGGCGAGAGGTGTAAGGGATTTATCTCTATCTCTATCTCTATCTCTATCTCTATCTCTATCTCTATCTCTATCTCTATCTCTATCTCTATCTCTATCTCTATCTCTATCTCTATCTCTATCTCTATCTCTATCTCTATCTCTATCTCTATCTCTATCTCTATCTCTATCTCTATCTCTATCTCTATCTCTATCTCTATCTCTATCTCTATCTCTATCTCTATCTCTATCTCTATCTCTATCTCTATCTCTATCTCTATCTCCATCTCCATCTCCATCTCCATCTCCATCTCCATCTCCATCTCCATCTCCATCTCCATCTCCATCTCCATCTCCATCTCCATCTCCATCTCCATCTCCATCTCCATCTCCATCTCCATCTCCATCTCCATCTCCATCTCCATCTCCATCTCCATCTCCATCTCCATCTCCATCTCCATCTCCATCTCCATCTCCATCTCCATCTCCATCTCTATCTCTATCTCTATCTCTATCTCTATAGGGACAGGGACAGGGACAGTGTCAGGGACAGGGACAGGGACAGGGACATCTGATTAACTGACGATCTACATTAGTTAGGCGCTGTTAGGATTAGGCCAACATATCTATTTATAACCCTCAATGTGTATGAAGTGGTAAAAGTTTGTCCCTCAGTTGGATTTTCTTCGATTTCGTAAGTGCATTTACAAACACCAAATAGTACACACAAATCCCATCCAGAGAATCCAGACTAGGAACAACAATTTATAAATCATACAACGCATTGTTCCGCGAGCGAAAAGAAACAACAACCGCACCGAAATTTTTAAAAAAAAAACTTCGCCTCCCCCTTTTTTTGGGATTTTCTCCTGTGTCGTGGGTGCGGTTACAAACATACAAACATTGACACCCAGACCCGAAACAGCAATTTGTGGGTCAGACAAAGAGTTGTTCCGTGCGGGAATCGAGCCCGCGACACGTTGGACGACAGCCAGTTGCCCAGCCACCGCACCAACCGTGCAGTCACGGTTCAAGGTTCAATATTAGAACTAGTAGATAGATACATATATATGTAAATTCATGATCTATATTCGAAGAGCGGACATCATTCAAGTCTAGAACAGCCTCTAATAATTCTATATTCTATTCCAAGCTTTTCCCTTTATCTTGACAGTGTTCTACTTGGCAGTGGGTATGGAGCACAGCTACCTCCATGGTTCAAGTTCGGAGCCGGTACCTCAGCTTTGCAGATAGAAGGCGGTTGGAACGCCAGTGGTAACGTAAATTTAATATAATCATTCTTTACTCCCACTGTTCTTTACTCTATAAAGTTCACATTGAAGATGCCACTTGACGCGAGTTATAAGTTCCGTAATGGAGAAAGTGTTGGGTCTGTTGTGTTATAAAACTTGGCATTAAGAAATTTGAAATTATATTTTGTACAGCAGTCAGGCCATTCCAGATCCTCTCAATAAAAGCATAAAAACGCACTTGTAACTCCGCTGAGGCATGAAAGATGTTGACTGCAAACCATCGGGTGATTCAGAAGATGGTTTATCGTTCTATATTATTATTAAGAACAGTCGGTTTCTCTTGTCAGAGTATTCAGTAAATAAATTACAATCACGATAAAAAAAGAACTCCGCATCATTTCAGATCGAGGAGAAAGTAATTGGGATAGATACCTACATCTCTTCCCGAAGACCATCGCTGGTAGTGCAGATGTGACGTGTGACTCCTACCGACTGTGGCGGAGAGACATACAAATGTGTCAAGAGTTGGGGTTAGATATGTACAGGTGAGACCTGGTCTTCTCCAGAAGCAATTCTTGGGTAAGAACTATGAACTTAAATTAGCATCCTCATCATTATAATCATCGGCATCATCATCATCATTATCATCAAATGAAATGCAATAAAAGCAGGCGATAACCAGAAATTGTAACAAATTGTCTTAATAGGAATAATTAAAATGTATCATGACAAAGTATGGATTATGCTCTTTAAAAGAATAACTATTACTGATATTGAATATCCTAAAAAACTAACAACATATTTCACTGACCTACAGTACTCACAATTAAGCATATCAGCAGTTAACCTGCTAAGTCCAAACAAAACACAGCTTCTACAAAACAGAGAAAACGAACTAATCCGTTTACTTATTTTTATTTCAGATTCTCCATATCCTGGTCTCGTCTTCTCCCAACTGGTCTTTCCAACTACATCAGTGAGGATGGCAAGAACTACTACAACAACCTTATCAATGGTCTTCTAGAGAAGGGCATCGAACCTGTTGTTACCTTGAACCATTTCGATCTGCCACAACGACTTCAGAATCTTGGTATTACTATTATTTTTTTATGGATTGGTCGCAAATGAGCAGAATAATTACCTGATGGTAAGCCTACCTATAACACCTGTAACAGCACAGTAAGGGCATTGACAGGCTTCTAAAAACGATTCGGAAACACCAGAATTTCTGTGTCAAAGACGAATTATCTCATAGGATTGACAAATTCAGCTGCAGGTATATCAACGCTCAAAATATTATATTTATAATTTCAGGAGGCTGGACCAACCCCCTCATATCGAACTGGTTTGCGTAATACGCGCGAGTGGCATTCTCATTATACGCAGACCGCGTAAAGATCTGGCTGACGGTGAACGAGCCACAAATTTTGTGCGATTCTGGTTACAATAATGGAACAGTTCCCTACATTAACGACCCGAAGTACGGTCGGTATCTCTGCAGCAAGAATGTACTTTTGGCACATGCGAAGGCATACAGGATCTATGATAGACATTATAGGCATTTGTATCATGGTAAGATTTTTTAAGAATATTTTTACTCGCTATTGATCGTACGAGCCTCCTCTGCATAACAGGGATTTATCATATTTTCCCCTGTTTGTATGTGGTTTAGAGATCGCAATTTAAAAGGTTCATGTTTGACAGAAACGGACAGGGACCAATGGAGCCGATGTTCAGTCTAGGTTAGGTTAGGTAGGGGCAAGCGCAATAAGGTATCGCAGTCTCGGCTTGGATCAGAAGAATGGATGAGGGGGTTTTTAGTCAGTAAGAGTCTGACACTCCCTAGAAGTCATTTGATGATTATCACCTCTAAAAAAATGTTTGACAGATTACTGCTACAATACCGCCAACGTATCTTGGCGAGCCTAAAGTTAGTCGATTAGCTGCGCAGTACATAATTTTGTTCCTAAAAGATCCATTGCATCCGCAGACAAACGGCTAACTTCAGACTCGCCAAGATACGTCGGCCTTACTGTAAGTGCACTCAGTTCCTCGGTTATAACGGCGTCGTGGTTAGAGTAGGAGTGCTAGTGGTGGTCAATATATTCTATTTAATAAAATATTTTGAATCACAATACATCATCTTCCAGGTAAAGTGACAATAGTCTTTCTGTACCTATGGTTGGCTCCAGCGACAGAAAACGACATCGAAGTTACCAACCTCGCCCGTCAGTACGTAGTATGTAGATCAGTTTAATTAAAATTAAATTACTATTATTTTATCTTTTTCTTTTGTCGCGGCTCCGTTTACAGACTCATAATTTCAACACGTATTTTGATCACGTGTCTGCCCTAATCTTTTGTAAAGTAAGTTCTACGAAAGTATTGTTATTCAGGGTTTCATAATATTTTCTTTTTTGCGACTTCATTTTAATTTTTTATTGAGCAGCGTTATCCTTTTTGAAAGTAAACAAAGAGCAACGTTTAGCTAACTAACCTTTTCTTAGGAAGGAAGATACGGTCATCCCGTCTACTCCAAAGAAGGGGGCTGGCCGAAGGAGTTGGAAGAAATATTAGCGAACAACAGCAGAAACGAAGGTTACCCAGAACCTAGGCTTCCACCTTTTACCGAAGAAGAGAAAGAACTAGTAAAAGGTGAGATTCATCTTTTTAAAGACTTTTGTTCTTTTCATGGGATACCCAGGTGTATAAATGAGCACATGAACCATCTGATGGCCACCCGTGATACTAGATGAGTTAGGTACCAGGGATTATGCCTCCGACAATCTCAATCACACGGGCAGCCGAGTGATCGTGGCGTCACTCCTGAGCCAGCCTATTGAAATATCTCATCGGGTATAGTTTATCATGTAGAAAAAAATTCTTTGAAATTAAGAGGTTGTGGCGGCCATTAAAGAGCCGGCCTATTCTTGCTGAGGCATGGCTCTGCCACGGTCTGGTCTGTCTAGATAGGTCTATTGTGATATGCCTATAATATGGGCTGAGTATTATATGTTGACATTTCGCGTTACTGCCATCCATCTGATCTTCTAATTTTAAATCTTTTCAGGTTCCTTCGACTTTTATGCCTTGAACCACTACTCTAGTCTTTTAGTCAGGAAAGCGAAGCCCGGTGAGGTCATTGGCAAGACAACGGTATCGAAGAGCTGGGGATTGTTTTGGAATCCGACCCCTCATGGGAGAAGGGTGACATCAAATGGCTTACGGTATTTCTGTGTATTACACTTTAGATGTTTAGTTTTTTTCAGATTGGAATATATCCTCTTTATCTCGTGGATGTCTTTTAAGCATATGAAATTTTAAAAGGAATGTTTTAGGAAAGTATCACTAGGAAGTTGAATTTTAAATTCTTCGGACAGAACGAAACTAAAATAGATGCTGTAGCAATTAATTTTGAGTAAGACCTTAATTAGCTGCTATGTTGTATTCGCTGTCCGTGCAAAAGAGCATTTTGTAGGTTGCCAAAAATGCTCTAGTTTTTTTTTTAATATTTGGCAAGAAAATACGTAGAAACACGGAGTCCAAAATTTACCCAGTGTATTTTTTGTTTGCTATTGTAATAAACGTTGCCCCGCACTAGGATTTTCAACTATGGTGTTACTCATCACACCCTGTCTCACACGAAATCACACAAAGAGTTGCAATTTAGTCATTGCAAATAATACAAAATTTTACATGGTAGTCAGATTTCTAAAAAGTAGGTTTTTCTTTGTCCGTGCAGACCTCTGCCGACGCTTTGGAGAGTTTAAAGACGTGAAATTACATTTTATTTTCAGGTGCACCCTAAAGGTTTACGCGAACAACTAAACTATCTGAAGAACACTTACAATGTAACGGAGATAATGATAACTGAAAATGGATTTTTCAGCAGTAACGCGTCTCTGAATGATGTTAGAACAGTAAACTACACGAAAAAATATTTGGAACAAGTAAGTGTCTCAGAAAGGGTGTCGTTTGATGCAGATAGTCTTTAAGCGGGGGAGAACCATTCTTCAAAACTAATAGGCTGGTTCGACCGGAGTGACGGTGACCACGATGACACAGAAAACCGTGTGAGTGAGATTACCAGAGGCCCAAAGTGGCGCTGATTGCTTACCATCAGGTAATCCGTCTACTCGTTTACCGACCTAGCACAAAATAAAATGAAACATCTATGGCGTTGTGTTGCGCCGTGTAAGTGAGGTTACTGGAGACCCGAAGTGGCGGGTGGGGTGTCCATGGGTGGCGCTGATTGCCTACCATCGGGTTATTCGTCTGCTCGTTTGCCGACCTAGCGCATAAAAAAATGAAACATCGGCGTCGTGTTGCGCCATGTGAGTGAGGTTACCAGAGGCCCAATTAATGCCTCATACCACCCCTCCCTCCCTACTCCCCAATCCCTTAATCCCCAAATCTGGCAACGCACTGGAATTTCTGTGGATTTGCAGGTTTCCATGGGCAGCGTCGATTGCTTACCATCAGGTATACATATGTTCGCGTGCCTCCCTATCACATAAAAATGGTCGACCTTCACCTAGTGATATGACAGCGGTTGACATGAGTGATGATGATAATGATGTGGAGGATTATTAATTCCAGTTAAATCGTTCTTCAGTTTAAAACAGTAATTTCACGAATCAGTCCTATACAAATAATCTCCTGTATGATTCTTTCAATTTCCTTAATTAAGTCTATATTGATGTACTTCCCAATACCATCGACAGGTGGCGTTAGCGATTCAAGATGGCGTTAATGTCACAGCGTATTTCCATTGGTCTCTCATGGACAACTTCGATAAAGGATATGAGTAAGTAACTTATGGTCTTAGAAAAGGCAACACATACATAAAAATAAGCGTTGAATTGAGAACCTCTTCCTTTACTGAAGTCGGTTAAGAAGATAAAGAAACCAATTACAGGGTGACCAAAAGCGGAGCAATTATTTTGTTTTCAGACTGAACGGTTGACGCGGAGGCCGGGTCCGATTCCCGCACGGAATAACTCTTTTTGTGGTCCACAAATTGCTGTTCCGAATCTGGGCGTAATAAAGTGACATTGTATGTTTGTAAACGCGCCCACAACACAGGAGAAAAAGCATTTTTCCGAAAAAATGAAAAAGATAAAAATATATATTTTGCTAATTCATGTACTATTCGAAAAGCTCTACTAATTACAAGTCACATTGGGACTCTTATTTATGAGCAGTACACACAGTTGAAAGTCACATGAAAACGTCGTATTTTAGTAAATTTAGTAGTGTCACTATAGTAATTATGTTTCTATATCTTTCAGTGCAAAATTTGGCCTATATGCAGTGGATTTTAAGGATCCAAATCGAACGCGGACGCCACGACTGTCTTCTAGATATTATTCTAAAGTTATCAAGACTCATTGCACAGATCCTGAAGACTATTAAATGATTATGTACAAAAAGAAAACAATGAATGAAAAATATAGAGAAAGAAATATGTTAAGATAACAAAAGAAACAGAATGAAAACCGGCGTGAAACAACCACAGCGTTGTGTTTCGCAGTGTGAGTGAGGTTACCAAAGGCCCAATCCTTCCCCCTACCCTAATCCCTAATAGGTCAGCAACGCACTCGTAACTCCTCTGTTGTTGCGGGTGTCCATGGGCGGCGTGATTGCTTACCATCAGGTAATCCGTCTGCTCGTTTGTCTCAGACGTTGTGTCATAAGTGACATAAAAAAAATCTACTTTGGTACCTTCTATTGCTATTTTTAAAACGTGTAAGTAGATTTACGGATTAGTAAAACGAATTTTAACAAAATTCAAACGAGAAGGTCTCAGATTAAATTGAATGAAAAAACGCTCGGTCTTATTTCATAAAAAAATATTAAGTTTTACCTATAACGAAATTCGCAGTACAAATTTGAAATTTGAAATTCTCGCCAATAAAATTGCTTGAATGTGTTTATTATTAAGTGTACAGTAGGTGTAAGTCATTCGTGTTATTAATATAGTGCGAAGACCATACCTTAAGTGTATATAAATAAAGTTGATTTTGAACTGTGAAATGTGTTTTCTTTTACATCATCATTCTTAGCCTATTAGCCTATACCTAAGTGCCCACTGCTGAGCAAAGGTCTCTTTTCATACGGTTAAGGTTTGAAAGAAGAACATGCAGAGGTTGAAGTCACGCTAAAAATTCGACACGAATGGGCTGGTTCGACCGGAGTGATACCACGGCCTCGCAGAAAACCACAGCGTTGTGTTTCGCCATATGAGTGTGGTTACCGTAAGCCCTAAGCGTTTTCTCCCCCCATGTCCATTCCTCCCCAATCCCTAAATCGACCCTTTGAACTCTACTATAGCAATATGCGAAAATATTACAGAGAAGAGAGAAAATAGTTGTCGATTTACGTAAAACGTAGCCGTTAAGGCGATCGACAGGTTTTTGACGTTCAGAGCTCTGATTGGCTTGCGTTAATTAACCAACCAATCAGGAAGCTAAACGCGGTAGCCATTCGATCTAGTCGTATTCGATGCTCCGAATTCAGTAAGGTGAAAAGCAGTGATTAATTAAAGCCCTAAAAACTTTTTGCTCGTTTTCAATATATTTCTTAATTATGGTATATTTACACGGTTGCCGAGACTTGGCAAACGTATACAAGCTTCAAGCCTTTACACATCGCCAACGTGTAAATACGTCGCAAACGCGACGGTCCAAAACCGACACCGGAACGGATCGCCGTCAAACTCTTGCAAGCTCATGCAAGCCTCGCCAAACACCCTGTTCAAACGCTTGAAACTTGTGGACGTTTTCCGAGCCTCGTCAATTATATGAACGTACCATAAAAATGCAAATACATCCTAACATCGTACATCTCATCATGTTTTAATAACCAGAGAGTGATGGTAAGCAATCGGCGGCGCCCATGGACACCCGCAACACCAAAGGAGTTACGAGTGCGTTGCCGACATTTTGGTGATATTGTTTGCGGATATAAGGATCGGGAAGGGATAGGGGAAGGGGAGGGATTGGGCCTCCGGTAACCTCACTCACACGGCGAAACACAACGCTGTAGGTTGTTTCACGCCGGTATTCTGTGCGGCCGTGGTATCACTCCGGTCGAGTCGACCCATTCGTGCCGAAGCTTGGCTCTCCCACTCTTAACCAAGACAAGTCTCCGACTATTAGAAAATGACACATCACAATTACTACAAAAATAAATATCTAAACCAGACAGTCATTAAGTCTAACATAACACTTAAAAACAATTCTAAAATCGTACCAAAATCCGACCATCTTATCTCTCCTCATCCAAACCTTGCATATCATTGACAAATATTAGTTTTCATACCGATTACTTGAAACTACAATATAAGGAACTATAATCTCGAGTAATTCGCTGGAAATTTAGTCGAGCGATAAAAGATCTTGTATTTAAAGTGTAAAACAAACAACTGCCACGTGGGGCAGAGCAGATTAAAAAATAAAGAAACGTACGCTTCCGTACTCGGTGTGCTGCATTTTTTGTGATGGGAAAATCATAAAATCGCTTCTCTCGCTCAGGTATTGTCAGACTTTTACTGACAAAATTCCCCCTGTTTTCTATCAATAGGTCAATATGTCAAGTCAGAAAGAGTGTCGTTTTCAGACACAAGCTTGTATCGACTCTCGAGGCGTTTTCGCGAGACATACGCCGTTGTAAAAGGCATCACTTGTGCTATCATCGGCATAACAATGAATGCTAGAAAGAAAGAAAAGAAAGAAAAATTATTTATTTGCACCGCAAAAATAACAAAAAAAGACACATTAGGTACAACTTATATGGAAAGTATGCACGGCGCAAAAAGGCCAAGTGCTCAGCTAAAATGCCGTGACCCGAGAGTATAACTCGCGTCGCGGCGCTGATTTTCAGCACTAGCCCGTCACTATAATATAAAAATTAGATACATTTTATGAGAGTATTCTTTGAGTTATTACAAAAATAAAAAAATAACTACTACTATGCCACTGATTTGCAACTCGTCATTCACATGGAGAAGAAACAGGGTGGGCGAAAGCACGCAGCCTTGAGGGACACCATCGTTCACAGGCAAGCAATCAGAGCATTCACTGTCGACCACGACCTTTATGATTCTGTCTGCAAGGAAGCTGGAGGCCCATTACAGATAAAAACACACGATTATACATTACTTATGTGTGAACTAGTAAATAAAGGTTATGTGAAGTTATTAAACAAAAAAAGAACAAACAATACGCGCTTAAGAATTCTTAGTTACATAGCCACAAGATTTATCTCTGAGTTGTACGGTCTATATCTACTTAATTTAGTATAAATTATGAGTTCTTTACGTGTACTTGTGTCTTGGTAAGTTCAATACAATTATTTTAGTAGTTTTACGGTATTATTATTATTTGTATGTTATTTGATAGGTCGGTAAACGAGCAGACGGATTACCTGATGGTAAGCAATCAACGCCGCCCATGGACACCCGCAACGGAGGACTTACGAGTGCGTTGCCGACCTTTTAGGGATTAGGGATTTGGAGATTAGGGATTGGGGAGTGTTTTTGGGAGGGGAAGGATTGGACCTCCGGTAACCTCACTCACACGGCGAAACACAACGCTGTGGTTGTTTCACGCCGGTTTTCTGTGAGGCCGTGGTATCACTCCGCGTCCGGTCGAGCTGACCTATTCGTGCCGAAGCATTGCTCTCCCACACTTACACCACATTTCCCTCAAATAATTTACAATCAAATTGATTCTGATGTTCTTAAGTATGAGTTAGATTTACGAGTATTATACCTACCTTATTTCTTCTTTCTAATGTGCGTGAGAGAATCATGCTTCGGCATGAATGAGCCGGCTTGTCCGTAATATTACGGCCTTACAAAAAACTGGCTTGAAACGTAACTTGGTCATATTTCGTCGTGTTTAACTGAGGTTAACTGAGGGCTAGTTTTTTCTTCCCCTTCCCCAATCACCCAATCCTTAAGCATTAGCAAAGCTCCAAAAAAGGCGGTAACGCATCTAATATTGCGAGGAACTAATGGCGGCGCCGATAGCTTACCATCAGGTAATTCATCTACTCGTTCGTCGCCTTAAACCAGAAAATCGAAAGCAGGTTTGTCTCTTGCAGACACTCTATCAAAATAATTTGATGATTTCCCCCTCAAAAAGTACCTCCATGACAGTTGATCTTGACTTCTAGTTGGCGTTTCATCGAACATCAATGTTTCTTTGAGAAAATTTTCATCACCAATCCCCAACCACAAGACACTCATAGCTCCTTTCGCGTTGCGGGTGCCGATAGGTGGAACTAATTGCTTACCCGTCCTGGTTATTCGTCTACTCCTTTTGCCTCATAAATAGCGTCAAAAAATTAATCATCGCCTCATAAATAGTCAATTCATTTTGTTGTTACATAACACATGCAAATTCTTACAAAAATAAATAACTACGTACGTTAATCACAATCATTTGCACAATAAAATTTAATTCATTATTTACAATTTTTTTTCTTATTTTTATGAAATGTTACGAAATCCAAACTAACATAATAAATGCGAAAGTAACTCTGTCTGTCTGTCTGTCTGTCTTTTCTTCACGCATAAACTACTGAATCGATTTCTATCAAATTTGGTACAGACATAGTTTGGAACTCGAGAAAGGACATTGGATAGTTTTTATACCAAAATTTGCCGGAAGTCACTATTCCACGCAAACGGAGTCGCGAGCAAAAGGTAGTGATAAATAGGTACAAATACATTAATATAAAGAACTGTTAGTAATTGCATTGAATCAATTAAGAAATATTTCTTTATGGGTTTTAGAAGTAAATACATGACATCAAGCTCTGTCCGGGTTGGTCAGTAAGAGTCTGACCCTGGAAAAGTCATTTGATGATTTTCCCCTCACGAAATAAATCCGGCGGTTCACGGGCTAAGTGCTCATTACTTTTTTCTTGTATGTGATAAGTCAGCAAACGAGCAAACGCATCACCCTAAGTATTAAAGCAAGCAATCACAAAACCAAAATAGTTACTATAAATGCGTTGCCGGCCTCTTCTCGTGGGTTATTAAGGATTTAAAGATAAGGGATTTGAGGATTAAGGATCTTCACTCATACTGCGAAACACACAACGCTGTGGTTGTTACACGTTGGTATTCTGTGAGACCTTAGTAATACTTCGATCGAGACTACCCATTTGTGACGAAGCATTCCTCTCCCACACAATTTACCTTCACTAAATTATGTCAACCTTTAACCTCGGCTGGCAACCTCGGGAAAATATAAGTTATGATATTATACCAATCAGGTCATAACAGCATAAATAATTAAAAACTAGAAGTGATAACATCTTATCCACGGACAATAGCTTTTTCCCTTAAAAACATATATTATTATGTATTTTCAAGTAATAATAATAATATCCATTGTTTGTTTTAGTCTTGTAGCGACTTTCTCACATAACAAAAAAATGAAACATATTAATTATACGCATATTTGTTGAATGGAATAATCTCAAGAGTACTATGTAGTGAAAATGAATATGTAATTGATTCCATTACTGCTTTTTTTTCTTTTGTTTCAATTCAATTTATTGGTAGTTTATTAAGGACTGATTTTTAATAATCAGAAAAATATATCTATAATATAAAAATGAATCGCAAAATGTGTTGGTAAGCGCATAACTCAACAAAAACTGTACCCATTTAGTTAATTCTTTTTTTGTTGTGTTTATTATGGCCAGGAGAAGGTTCTTATCAAAGAAAATATTAGTAAAGTAGAGGGGAAAATTGGGAAAAACTGACCCTAAACGCGAAGCGGGCAGCTAGTGAGAAATAAAATTGTTGCTGTGTGATCGTGTCTTATACAAACATTCTGACGCGACATCATCATAATTATTCCCCAGATAACTTTAAGCTAACCATTGAAAAATCAGCCCTAAGTTTCCAGTATAAATCCAAACTACGGCACGAATGGGACGGCTCGACCGGAGTGATATCACGGATTAACAGAAAACCGACGAGAAACTACCACAGCGTTGTGTTTCGCCGTGTTAATGAGGTTACCGGAGGCCCAATCCCTCCCCTTCCCCCATCCCTTCCCAATCCTTTAATATCCGCAACCCTTATCGCCAAAAGGCCGGCAACGCACTCGGTACTCTTTTGGAGTTGCTGGTGTCGATGGGCGGCGCCCGCTTGCTTACCATCAGGTAATCCGTCTACTCGTTTGCCGACAATGCCTCAATTTTTTAATTTATCAAACCCCAAGCGAACCCGGGGCGACTATTATTCTTCTATGTGTCTCTAATTATAACGATTGAAACGTTAAATAGCGTAATGATTATCATGATTTATATTTTTATCATTCTCATCTGCGTATAACTACCTACTGCTAAGCAAATGCCTCTTTTCATGCGGGGAAGGTTTAAGTGCTAATCACCCCTGACTGACTTGTTCTCATGTGGGTGAGACGAGAAGAAATGGCAGACTATTACTGACAAAAAAATAACACTTTTCTTCTCCTTCTCCGAGCTGAGGCGCTGTACCGCAATCCTCGTCGGGATAACATAGAAGACCTAAGGGCCTACCATGACGTGTAAAAGCGTGAATCTTTTGGGCGAGAAAGAGGGATGGAGCTATACACCTTTTATAGCTCCATCCCTCTTTTTCACCCGAAAGATTCAAATCAAATTCTTTATTTCAAGAAGACCACAACAGGCACTTTTGAACGTCAAGCTAAAAAGATATCATAAGGTTTAACTTTATATGTGTCAGTCTGTCTGTCCTCTAGTGAAGCTTTTTGCTCGTTCCAAAGTGTAGATTCCTGTGGATTCACGCTTTAACACGCTATGGTAGGCCACAGTTAACATAAAATTCCCAAAAACTGAACATAATTGCCATTAAGTCATGTTTTGAGTCATGCTATTTATAATTAGCTTCAAACGGCAATTTGAAGATTAGGTATTCCGCATTACGATAAGTAAAGCAAACTGTGAGACAAAACATTCAGTAATCCCTCGCACAATTATTTAACTTTAATAGTTCTTGAACGATTATGAGACAGCGTTTTTTTATGAAAAACGGGCGGCAAACTAATGTCCACTCATATGTACGTCATATGATGGTAAGCTATGAACTCTGCCCGTCAGCAGCAACCAGAAGAGTCAAAACTTTTTGGGATTTACGGATTCGAGTATTGTGAGACTGAATCTCCAAGATTAGAGTTGGGGAGTCAATCCTCCCCATTGGGCCTCAGTGGGGTCATGAAGCGTTGCTTCTTACCACCTTACTGTGTGAGGCCTTGGTCTCACTCCAGTCATATCAGCTTATTTGTGCAGGAGCATGATTTCCTACAGTTAATGACCACAATCTGTATCAAACAGCTTCCTTCATCAGTTATATACTTGTGCACGGCTTTCTTCATTGGTCACATTCTTGTTCCTTTTGGCTAGTAGTGCTCGATAACCCAAAATGGTCGTTACATTCATGGTTCGAATCTGACATTTTCATTTATCACCAGTTTATTATGTTGTGTTTTTATAAAACTATCTGTTTCGGCAAAGCTGGCAACAGTGGATACGCGCTGCGAATATCCGAACATTGATCACGTCGGGGTCACCAATGTTTAGTATGGATAGAATGAAAATCTGACTCCAATTAAATAATGGTGTTGTATTCAGGGTTTTTTTTTGTGAGGGGAAAATCATCAAATGGCTTCTCCCGCCCAGGGCCGGGCAGGAGGGAGTGTCAGACTCTTACTGACTAAAAACCCCCCTGTTCCTTCTCCTGTTCTGGACCGAGGTCGCGGTGCCTCATTGCGCTTACCCCGCAACCCCGGCTGAGTTGTATTGAGGGTTGCGGTTACAACTTTGAATTTTTACTTGAATAACAAGTATACGTGCGTCTACCGAGCGTTTGGTTTTGAGAAAAGAGAAGTTGTTGAGCCGGATATTCGCAGCGCGTATCCAGTGTTGCCAGCTTTGCCGCAACACTATCTAATACTGATTGTCCATGAGGGGTACAGTCCTGGTACCCTTCCGAGAATATTATTATCATCATCACTGCTGAACAAAGACCTCTCCCTCAGTCCTCCTCCATGAATGTTGTGTCAAGAACATATTCCTGCTCGTTAAAATATTGTAGGCTATCGTAAACCCAGGTCTTGCATCAGTGCGTTGTCGATTGTAAGTAGTAAGTAAGTAAGTAAGTAGTAAGTAAAGTATATACGTACTTATAAAGTCATGGTTTAACATTCACAGCATACTGATCAGCCGGTGCTGGTCTACAGAAGAACCGACCTTTCCTCCTTGGTTCAAGTTCGGAGTAGCTACTGCTTCGTACCAAATCGAAGGTGCTTGGAACGTTAGTGGTAAGTTTTATGATGGGGAAATAAATAATTCCTACCAAACTAGCCTTCAAACCTGATGGCAAAAAGTGATTCTACAATATTGCCTACCTCTTCATTTCAAAAGTAGGAATAATGTTTAGGGAACGGTGAGTAAAGTTCCCCAAGATCATGATATGAGGAATAATTGAGGATCATATTATTATGAGGTTATCAGCTTGGACTACCGCCCAATAGTTGTTCGTTGGGATTTTCTACTAGTGTTTTGTAACGTCATCTGTAGAACATTGTCATCGACCTCCTATGTCTGTCGCCACAAATAGCTCGGAGTAGAAGTTTCTATTCAGTAAGAGTCTGATACTCCTCAATATCCTCCTGATTCTTCGAAAGCAATTGACGATTCTCCCTCCTCATAAAAAGGCTTGTAAACGTGTGCAATACGATAGTTTCCAAACGTCAAAAACGATACTTTTCTATGAAATTTGTATGAAAAACTGAGCTATGACGTCATAACATTTTTGCGTCAAATAGCTTATTTATTTCATTATATTTAGCTAAAAAAATCTAAAACTTAGTGTATAGGTCGATCGATGAATAAAAGTATAGTTATTTTTCAATATTTTATTGTATTGAAACATCCAATTTATTTATTTTTGACCTAGGAAACTACCTAATTCGAGCTCTATTCAAAAGCATTAGCGATTTTTTCCGATGTTCTTCCAGATAAAGGTGAAGGAGATTGGGATAGACTGTTTCACACACATCCTGATTTTAAGGATCGACCCAATGGAGATGTGGCTTGTGACTCCTACCACCTGTGGCGGAGGGATATTGAGATGCTAGAGGAGCTTGGAGTGGATATATACAGGTAGAATCTGAAAAACCTGCATTTAAAATCCTACTAACATTAAAGCATGGACAAGAGCGAAATTTTTAACTACAATCGCGTGCACGGTTTGCGTGGTTGCTGAGCAATCGACAGAACAACTCTTTGTGTAATTAACAAATTGTTTTCCCTCATCTGGATATTTGTTATATTCCAACCAGTATTGCAATATCTTAAGTCGTTTCTAGACGGATTATAGATAAGAACACCACTGGCATACCATGAAGGAAAACATTGTGAGGAAACCTGGACTTATAATTTCTTATTGTAAGTGTGAAATCGCCAATCCACCTGGAGCAAGCGTGGTCGTTAATGTACAAACCTTCTCCGTGTGAGAAGAGGCCTTTGCTCAGCAGTGGGCACTTATAGGCTTATGATAGATTTCTTGCTCTGCAAGACCTTGGTGAGAGTACTCTTCAATATTACCTTTTATAAAAAATAATTAAAAAAAAACGTATTTTTTTTAACTGGCAGATGCCACATTGATGTACCTACCAATAATGTGCTGCAAAACAGCCCTGAAACCAGAGCGATTTTCAGATTTACTGTCGAAAAGCTGCTGCTGCATAATGTGCCAAAAATAATTAAGTTCATTAGGTTTTTTTTTAATTTGGATTATTTTTTCTGTTAAGCAATTAAAAACCATAATAGCTTCATTTTTTTTATTAATTTACAACATGGAAAGAAATAAACAGATCCTCCCTTTTAATATTAACAAGTAACATTTTTTTGTAACTAAATTTTGGTCTGAAAACAAAATTTTGAGAGAAAGTGTGTCAGAGAAAGAGAGAGAGCGCGAGAAAGGGAGCGAGAGAGACAACAGACATGAAAGAGATGTAACATTGAAAAAAATCTTTCATTCCAGGTGGCTGGGCAAATCCATTAATAGTAAATTGGTTCGAAGATTACGCCAGGGTCGTCTACACATTATTCGCGGACCGCGTCAAAATATTTGTGACAGTCAACGAACCTTTTGTCATCTGCGAATTGGGGTACAACAAAGGTCATATACCTTATCACCAGGATCAGGAGATAGGCCGGTTTCTGTGCAACAAGAACACTATTTTAGCCCATGCCAAGGCCTGGAGACTTTACGACGAAGAGTTCAGGCCTTTGTATCATGGTGAGTAAAATATGAGTTTTTGTTATACCTATATACTTACTCGATAAGCTATTTTTTCAAAAAAGGCAACGATTCCGAAATCTGTCGTTGAGTATTAAAACTAGTAGGGCTTTTTTCAATAAATAAGTCGTAATGTTCATTTAAATGACATTGTTGATTCCATATTAATTTTAGAATGAGTAGACTATGACATAGGTGCGATCGCCAAGCTAAAGTTTTCTATTTGACTGACTAGTTTTAGCTGGTACCTTGTTTTAACAAGCATTTCCTTGTTAGTAGGTTAATTTTATACTATTAGAATATAAAAATTTAACTTCCGAAGTGTGAATGTATTTTTTATGAGATAGGTCGGCAAATGAGCAGATTAATCAGCTGACGGTCAGCAATCGGTTTTTCTGGTTTTGCGGACGCATAAAAGACACAAAACGAACAATAATAAAAAAAAAGGTAAAAATAAAAATACATTAAGAATTTCTCAATATATAATCAAAAGGCCAAAAGATCTTATAAAATTGTCACTTCATTTTTTACAGGACGAAATACGGATTGTATGAAGTGGACTTCACCGATCCGCATCGCAAGCGCACGCCACGCAAGTCGGCGCGTTACTACGCAGACCTCATCAGGAATAGATCATTGTACATACCGCCAGCACACCAAATTAATAGATTTTAAAATTATTAAATTTTATTTATATTAAAAGTTTTTTTTTTATGAGGCGGACATCGATTGACCAAATAAGCGATACTTTGAAAACGAGTTGCTTCTCAGGTAATGCATAATCAGCGCATCCCACATTCTTTACAGCCCTAAAAAATTGTTTTATTGGTAGTAAGATGTAATCTTTATTACAGTAATCGCGAGTACTGATATAATAATGTTTTATTTAATCCTACTTTATTATTATAAGCGCGAAAGTTTGTAAGTGGATTGACGTGAAACACCTAAAGGTCTGAATCAAATTTGACACAGAGAAAGATTATAATTTGAGATAGCTCCTAGGGTACTTTTTGTTTTGGCACTGCGAACGAAACCGCTGGTAAGAACTGGTTATCCTATCACCGTTTGTTATTCCCAAAGTAGAAAAGCAACGGACGATAATCAAGTGACTTTTGCTTCTGTATCTTTTCTTTGGCTTTCCAAATCCAATCCTGGGTGAAGCAAGATCAGTGCCAACGTAAGGGCCACTGACTTCCCGGGCCAAAATATTGGAAGGATATCATCAGGAATAAGGAAGCAAAATCAAGTGTTAGTTTTTTGCTGATCCTGAGTCAAATTATATCAAGAATTTCATCTTTCCTTAAGCGTAGAAAGTTTTGTAGCTCCACCTATGGTGGGCCACCATCTAACACGTCGTATCGGTTTGGCGGTAGAAGTATTGCACCAATCGTAATCGTAAGCACCGTGAGGTCGAGGAGCCTCATAAAAAAAATATGACAGATACAGAGCGTAGAGCACATTACTGAGGGTTTGCACCAGGAGAGGCAAGAGACTCCAACTTCAGACCTGGCGCCCCCCAGAATTGGTCGCCCTGGGCCATCGCCCCATCACGCCCCCATCCCCTAACGTCGGCACCGGGCAAGATGAAGTATTAGACTCTTGCGGACTAAAAGCCACACCAATCCAACTCCTGCTCCTAACCGTACCGTACCCTCACAAAAAAAACCCTGTCAAGCTTTGGTCCTTAATAGCTCTGACTATGATGAAGCGTGTTATAACACGGCCTTATAGAAAACCGGTGAGAAACAACCACAGCGTAGTGTTTCGCCGTCGGAGTGAGATTACCGGGAGGCCCAATTATTTATATCCTAATCCGTAAAAAGGCAACGCACTCGTCACTCCTCCGGTTGTGCAAAAATGTAAATAACGAATGATAATAAAAAAAATCATTCCTGCCATTTTTAAAAATGAACTAATAATTAAAAAACTAGTTGTCAAGAGGAAAGGATAAGCAATTTTTATTGCGTTCGCGGGACGTATGATTATTTTTATAGCACAGAGAACTGTCCCTCGACTTATTTTTTACACTCCGTTTTTTGAGCAGTCATGATAAAAGTAGATTCCATAATAATGTTTGATTCGACATTTTGTATTAAAATACGCGGCTTGTGTACGCATTTAAAATTCTTAAGATAATACACTAAGACATTAATTGTGACTGTAATCGCGTGCTAATAAGTTGTAAAAGTTTATTTCACTTTTTGGAGTAGATTTCATTTGGATTGGTAATGAAACAGTCCTTGAAAAAAATCTGATGTAAGTCGGCAGGCATCGTCAAAGGATAAGCCGAATATTATTTCTTTTACTAGTAAAAGTAATTTTGTACAACTAGTTGTACAAAATTACTTTGAATTGATCTACAAGAAGACTAACGAATAACTTTTCTTGTAAAAAAGAATGTAGATGCTGTTTTTTTTATTCCACTTGACGGTCGATTAAAAAGCGACCGTTTTCAGCCCTCACAATGAATTGGATGCAAGCAGTTGCAATGGGGTAAGTGATTGCTTATTTTATTAAATTTATAACAATCTGCAGGTCATCTAGTTTTTTTTATCAATCGTCACTTTCGGTGCTGTTGGGATTCGAGGTCAGGAGGGCGATATGTGTGATATTTGTGGGTCGTTAGTTGCTGGCTAGATCACCCAGCAAACTCCGTACTGCCTCAAAAGTAACTTCTTAACGATCTATGGACTTCCACGACTATTTCAAAATGAAAACTAGCCAAACTGATTCCGGCTGGACCTTCTCGGGTTTTCGCGTGACTAGTGAACCGCAATTAATTTTATATTTCATGAGCAGTGTGATGTTAGCGGTGTCTTCGTCTACTAAACTGCCATTTCCACCTGGATTCAAGTTCGGAGCAGCCACTGCAGCTTATCAGGTCGAAGGAGGCTGGAATCTTGACGGTAACTACCTACCTACTGATTAGAAGAAATGATTTTATCAGGTAGATATTCTCTGCTGCCATCTCCAATCATCAAATTTCTAAAATACCATTTGTCAATAAGGCAATTACCTCACTTCTAAGTTCTTTTGTGTCATGAGTGTTCTTGGGCGATGTCAATTATACGTCTGATCGTTGTCGGTTCATTATTTTTTTTTTCTTGTCTCATGCGCATTGACCGTCATGCGACGAAAGACTTGAGAAAAAACAATAGACTAGCCATCAGTTCATTAATTTATGGATATATTTGCAGGAAAATCTGAAAACATATGGGACCGCTTCGTGCATGAACATCCGGAGAGGATAGATGATAGGAGCACTGGAGATGTTGCTTGCGACTCCTACCACAATTGGAGGAGAGACATCGAGATGGGCGCGGAGTTGGGCCTAGACTTTTACAGGTAACATAAATATCATCCGGATATTTGCGTCCACTACTGAAGATTAGTCTACAGCCTTGCCAGTCAAATTTTGTGACTAAGCCAGAGCTGCGAGTCAAGTACCGTAATGTACCGTGGCCTAGGCCTGAAGCAGGAAAAAGAACGGGTTGGTATTCAGACAATAAGAGTCTGAGATTCCTTCTTACCCTGCAAAGGGTGAGATAAGTCATTTAACGATGTTCCCCCTTTAAAAATACAAAATTCTGCGTTAGACCTAAAATACTCCTCCGATATAAATACTAATGCTAGATAAGCGACGTTCCCTATTAGAAAACAAAAGTTCTCAAAAATAAAAATACTCCTCATCCAAGATCCAGAAGCGCAATTTTCTTGCACATGCTGAACTCTAGCCAATTTCAGCGCAGACTTGGGACATGCATCCACATCATAACGTCCATATACTTCTTGTATTACTATGTGCTCGTCTTTTGAAATCTAACATTTTGGCATTCGTTGTTTACTTAAAGAGTAAATTTCTCGTGTTTCTAGAATCTCCCTATCCTGGTCTCGCACACTCCCGTCTGGTTTCCCCAATCACATCAACCAGGCTGGCATAGCGTACTACAGCAACCTGATCGACGGACTCCTGGAAAAGGGGATGGAGCCTCTCGTCACAATATACCATTGGGATCTGCCACAATCTCTCCAAGATCTTGGTAAAACCTGTAATCACTACTTTGTTGACTTTAGTCTTATGATCATCATGATAATATAACGAAGACCTTAGCCAGGCTATTAACAATCATATTTGCCACCTAGAGAAAAAAAAGGAAAAAATTGTTTTTAGCCTCCAAGTACAAATTACTCATATTTGCTATTATATGTTTTGTATTGCCAAGCGAGCTGACCGATAACCTGATGGTAGGCAATCAGCGCCGCACGTAGACAACAATACACAATTAGAGATTTGTGATCAGGATGGGGTAAGAGGACTGTGCATCCGTTAACCACTCGACAAAACACAATTATCAATCCCAAGTTCATAAAATAAATTCTAAACTAAGAAAAAGTAAGAAATGCATAATATGTGATAATGGTTTCGCAACAGCACCAATAATTGGCGGTCTACCTTAATTCAGGTGGCTGGGCAAATCCCCTCATAGTTGACTGGTTTGGGGACTACGCGAAGGTCGTGTTCGATCACTTTGGAGACCGTGTCAAATTATGGCTGACCCTCAACGAACCAGTGATCTTGTGCGAAGCTTTCTATAATGCTGAAGTATTTCCACCTGCATTCATCAGCCCTGACCTTGGCGTCTACTTGTGCAGTAAGCACACATTGCTTGCCCATGCCAAAGCCTGGCGAATTTACGATGAGATGCTGAAACCTCAGTATCATGGTGAGTCAATAAATTTTTTCAAACCATCTCATCAACCAATTATGAATCAACGAATCCAGTATTACATTAATCAATTGATCCATAAATCTATCAATCTATCAGTTCAAAAATTTCTCAAGAGAGGAGTTAGATCATTTTAATAAAAAAATAACTATGGGAAATTATTTGTAAGTATCAGAAAGAAATTTAATTAATAAGGCTTCTCCCATTGCAGGGAGGGTCTCGCTATCCACCCACATGGCATGGTTTGACCCTCTTACTCCAGAAGACAAAAATCTCGCGGAGTTAACCAGACAGAACTTTGTAAGTACCGTATCAATACTCGCTTATAAAATATTACTATAAACTTGGAAGCTTATCATCATCATCCTCAACCTTAGCTTATAAATGCCTACTGCTGAGCAAAGACCTCGTCTTAAGCGGAAAGCGGCTTCTATTTCTTCAGAATCGTTTTGCCCTACTCTTACATATTGAAAAACAAATTCCTGACTATTCAGAGCTGTAATCAGCCAATATAGTCTTACATTTGACGGTAGGAATATGTGATAGTTTATTAATGTTGTGCATCTTATCCGATACTGATATCTTAATATTTTTCCTTTTTCCCATTTTTATAGGCGGGACGATATGCTCATGCAATATACTCTAAAATTGGAGGCTGGCCACCAACCTTAGAAAAGGTTTTAGCAGAAGTCAGTTTGAAAAGAGGATATTCCAGGCCTCAGCTGCCACCGTTCACACAAGAAGAAATTGAATTCGTTAGAGGTAAATTTTGCCGACGGTTTTGCTCAAACTCTACCTTACCGACCTAGCACATAAAAAAACACATGCCCAATGTATTGCCAAGTGGGAGGTGATTGGTGCTTTTTTCGGCAAACGAGCAAACGGATTACCTGATGGAAAGCAATCAGCGCCGCCTACGGACACCCGTAATAAAGGAGTTACAAGTGCATTGACGACCTTTAGTGGATTAGGGATTTGGAGATTTTGGGAATGAGTGAGGCGAAGAATTGGGCCTCCGGTAACCTCACTCACATAGCGAAACACAACGCTGTGGTTTTTTCACGTCGGTTTTCTGTGACACTGTGGTATGCTCCTCCCACACGTCGTTTTGTAAGACTATTCGGTACTGCTATGATGATTTTGCCTTCTCCCAAAAAAAAGAAGAACTGACTCATGTAACTCTGAACGGTAAATATTCGCAGGAACCTATGACTTTTTCGCCATGAACCACTACACCAGTCGGCTAATACGGACGGCTAAAGATGGAGAAAAATTCAGGGCATGGCCACTGGGTGACGTTGAAGATCTTGATGGGGTTATCCAGAGGAAAGCAGATTGGACGCAAGCTGGTACCTCTTGGTTCTTTGTAAGTATTTATTATAAATTATAAAGAAAATATAAAATAACCGTCGTGAACACAAGGTTTGCGTTGTGTGAGTGAGGATACGCCTGGCAAAATGCCCTCGCATCCTCACAAAAACCACGGCCCTCAACACAAGGGCACCCTGTTTTATGTATGTACATATATAGCTTCTTTGTTGATAGAAAATCATCAAACTTCCCCCACCCAGGATGTGGCGAGAGGAAGTGTCAGACTCTTAATGACTGAAAACCCCCGTTCCTTTTCCTGCTCTAGGTCGTGGCCACGGTGCCTCATTGCAACCCCGGCTATATATCAGCCCTATAGGAGTGAATATTTTGCCACATCTATGATGGATTGGCTGTTGGAGGCGCGCGTGAAGCGCTACGCGCCGTACGCTAGGATCTGGTTCTGATCGAGCGGCGAGTTACCTTATCTGCGCTTACGGTGGCCGGGGATCATCACTCGACCCCCGACGCCCAGCGTGTGGCCTACTGCGGCAGCTGCGGTTTACGTATTTAGCTTACAATAGTTCTTGGCAATAACATTAGTTCACTGTCCTAGGTATATCCTGAAGGTATTCGTAAGAGTCTCGTCTGGCTGAAGAAGCAGTATGGAGGCCTCGAAATCATGATCACCGAAAATGGGCTGGCGACAAAATCAGGATTGGATGACCAGGATAGAGTTCAGTATTACAGAGACTATTTGGAACAGGTGAGTTGAAATTTTTGGAGCTGCTTAACTCAAGCTCGATCAAAGACCATACTTAGTGGAACTGAAGAAATGTATCTACAAATTATTATCTATAGGTACTTACTTATAATAATATATTACTAGCCATGACAATTATAGCCTAAAGCACTCAAGAACTTTGTACCTATTTATCGGCGAAAGAATTTTGGAAATCCGACCAGCGGTTCTAAAGTTTACCCCTTACGAACAAACTAACAAATTTTATCTCTTTATAATATTAGTATAGATAAAACTATAGTGTTTGAAAGCGCTAATCTCCGAAACTACTGGTTCAGATTGAACAATTCTTTTGGTGCTTGTTAGTCCATTTATCGAGGAAAGCTGTAGCGAGAATAACTACTAACGCAAATCAGTAATTTGACCAACTGTGCAGCTGGTCGCGTTAGTAATTTGACCAACTGACTGCTGTGCTGTGTGATCGCGGATTCGATCACAGAAGACCTCTGAGTGTGATCCAAAATCGTAGAGTAACGATTAAAATAGGTTTAATTAGGTTTATAAGAAACAATAGATCTAACTAGACTTCTAAAGTTCAAAAACCGTTAATAGTACCTTATTAATATCTTTAGGTTCTGCTAGCGATAAACGAGGATGGCGTAAACGTGACAGCATATACAGCCTGGTCTCTCATGGATAACTACGAGTGGAATAATGGATACATGTCAGTAAACACTTGATATTTTTTAGTTATAGAGTTTAAGACAGTTTTATAAGGCAGACGAATTACCTGATGGTAAGCGATCGGCGTCGCGTATAAGAAATGACAAAATTGGGGATTGAAGATTTGGGTCTCTTTTATGTGATAGGACGGCAAACGAGCATACGGATTACCTGATGGTAAGCAATCGCGCCGCCCATGGATACAACAAGGAGTTACGAGTGCGCTGCAGACCTTTTGAGGAATAGGGTTTTAAAGATTTACGGATTGGAGATGGATCGGGGGAAGGAACGACCTCCAGTAACCTGACTCACGCGACGAAACACAAAATAGGCGTTGATTCACGTCAGTTCCGAACAGTATAACGGCTCATTCGTGCCGAAGCACGACTCTGCCACATTTAAACAAGAATCATTATCTCTTTCCAGGGTAAAGTTCGGTCTATACGAAGTGGACTTCACAGATCCGGAGCGGAAGCGCACGCCGCGCGCGTCTACGCATTACTACGCTAGCATTATAAGGACGCACTCTCTAGATGTACCTACGACGAGGATTCAACTTTAATTTATTTAAGGAAGATTTCATAAAATACGTGTTACGAGCACGTTTCCGGCCTTTATGCGATTAGGGTTTCGGATATTTAAGGATTGGGGATAAGGGAAGGATGGACCCTAACTCACACAGCGAAACACGACTAAAGTGTTGCTTCACGCCGATTCTCTGTGAGCCCGTGGTATCAACTTAATTTTATTTCAACAGATTTTAATGTTTGGCTTGTCTTTGATGTAATTCATGTTATAAGTTTAGTTATAATCATTGTAATTTTATTCATTAATGTAATTGGTTATTGGTTGTCTTGATATTGTTATTGCTTTGTTAGATTTTTTGTACAATTATTGTTAAAGGAATTACGCGTGTGGTGTTATTACATTCTCATCATCAGACCCCTAATGACAGTCACTACCAATCTTGGTGCAAAGTGCTCGCCAAGACCAATTATTCGAGCCCAAACACAAGGCAATTACTCGAAATAGTTAAGGAGATCCCTCGACTGTCTTCCTGAATAACTTCAGAAAATATATGAATCATGCCGACTGTCCCTATAAAATTTGAAAGGTCCCCTCGATTTTCCCGGGTTCCCATCATCAGATAATGACCTGGTGAATATGGGCCACCTGGAAATTATACCCTACTGAACAAAAAAAAATTTTTCAAATCGGTCCAGGCGTCTTCGATTTATCGGTGAACATACATAAAAAATATGTATATAAAAATATCCCGACGAATTGAGAACCTCCTCCTTTTTTTGAAGTCGGTTAAAAAGAACAAATAATACAATAATATATTATTATTTTATTTACTTTGCTTAGCTTAGATTAAATAAATACTACATTAATAATATCACAAAAATCACAGTTCGTCCTGTATTGTGCCTAAATCCAATGTTCTTGTCTTAATAAGATTCGAATAGAAGTTCGCTGAAGCTCGAGGCGTGCGTGTGCGCATCGGATCGTTAAAGTCCACCTCGTAGAGTCCAAATTTGTTACTGAAAAAAATATGCATTGACTTTGTTATTCTATTTTTTTGGATAGGACTTCTCGTAGTTAATTAAGCTCGTTACACCTACTACTTAACCGTTTGTAAATTGGGTAGTTTCCTAGGTCAAAAATAAATTAATTCGATGTTTTAATACAATAAAATATTGAAAAATAACTATGTATACTTTTATTCATCGATCGATAGATGCACAAAATTTTAGATTTTTTTAGCAATTTTTTAAAGAAATAAGTACGCTCTTTATACTATGACGTCATAACTCAGTGTTTCATACAAATTTCATAGAAAAGTATCGTTTTTGACATTTGGATAAAAGTATTGAATTTGACTAGTTGGAAACTACCGTATTAGTCAGATTTTTTTGGTATAGAAGGCAAACGAGCAGACGGATCACCTGATGGTAAGCGATCAGCACCGCATATGGACACCTGAATAGTCACAAGTCAGCCAGTCTTATAAGAAAGAGTGTGTTCATTTCGTAAAGTTTACGAAATGAACACACTCTCCTTTTGATATACCTACTATTGTAACTCTTTGACACTCCTCTCTGTCACTCCTTTTGATATACTATTGTAATTAGTAAATTGCTTTCAAAGTTGCAAACTTATTTCATAAGTAGATATAACATTTTCGTTTTTATAGAATACTATCTTTTGCCCGCGACTTTGTTCACGTGGAAAAGTTACTTCCTGCCGATTTTTGGAATAAAAACTATCCTATGTCCTTTCTCGAGTTCCAAACTATGTCTGTACCAAATTTCACAGAAATCGGCTCAGTAGTTTAGGCGTGAAGAAAAGACAGACAGACAGACAGACAGAGTTACTTTCGCATTTATAATATTAAAGTTAGGATTGTCCTTTACCACCTATGTAAAATTTTCTGACAGTATCTATCACATAATCTAGAAACAGGCTAATATGGCATAAAAACCTATTTTAGTAAAAAAAATACTGGGTATAAGTAGTACTTGCCAGTTTTCGAACCCACGCCGTCATGCATGAGAATCGAGCGCCTTAACATCTAGATTTACCCTTACCGGAGTCCATGTATAAGAAATATCCTTACCGAAGTCCATCCATCCACTCAAAGTTGTCCATCAAGGTCCAGGCAGTGTACCCAGTCACATTGACGCGGTCCTCCTTTATCGCCAATAGGATCTACATAGATATAAAGTTTAATAAATTACTAATCTTCATAATAACTTCAACAAAACATTTACATTTTGGCACTGATGAGATGGCGCTAGTGAGCAGAATGGTCTTTTTAGTGTAACCAGTGTACAGTGTAGATGGGAAAAATTAACTTGACTAAATAGTATGTGGATCTGAAGCATTACTAGCGTTAGCCGCCCAGCTCTCGTTATCATCATCAGCTGGAAGTCAGACACTGCTTTGTGCTGCACACAAGTTAACCTCACCTGTCTCAAGTACTTCCTATAGTAATCAATCCTATCCTGGTCATCCAATCCACCTTCAGTTGACAGTCCATTCTCCGTGATGACATATTCTATATCTCCGTACTGTTGCTTCAACCAGACGAGCTGACGCCGTATACCTTCAGGGTGTACCTGGAAGAAGAAAAAACAGGAAGGTATATTGTTAAGTTCATAATTTTCCATGGACAATTGTGATTTTGATTTGTGCTTTGTCGTACCCTCATCTTAATACGATCATTTAAGCTGGAATAATTTTAATACATGTCTTCTCTTTCTTTCTTTTACAACTTTCAAGTCATGATCATGGAACTGCAGAATATGCCAAAGTCTTTTTTCTAAAGGGGGATTACCATTTTTTGACAGTCACTGACATTTTCTGACATTTTCTGACAGTCACAAGATGACTTCTCTCGCTAAGGGTGGGGCTGAGATAGTGTCAAACTCTTTCTGAATAAAAACTATCCCTGCTACTCCTGCTCCAGGCCGAGGCTGCGGAACCTATAGAACTTGACCCGCAACCCAAGCTTTACATCAGCCCTGTGGGTCTATCATAAGTCGAGGTTTTCTCTAACAGATTTTTTTCAACGTTTGTTTTTGATGTCTAATAATCTTAGAACATATTGTATAACTTGGGAAAAGTCACATTGTTACTAATTTTGAACCCTCCACACTATCAGACTTGAGAAACGGCCGCCAATGCTACTCAAACTTTCATATTCGCATTACCTGATGGTAAGCATTCAGCGCCGGCATGGACACCCACAACAACGAAAGAGTAACGAGTGCATTGCCGACATTTTGGGGAATAGGGTTTTGGTGATTAAGGAATTGAGGGAGGGGAAGAATTGGGCCTCTGGGTTGTTTCACGCCGGTTTTCAAAGAGGCCGTGGTATCACTCCGTTCGAGGAAGCCCATTCGTTGCCGAAGCATGGCTCTCCCACACTTATGATGAATTAAATCTTGTGAAAGGATTAAAGTACTTACGAAAAACCAGAATGATAGTGTAGTAGGCCAACTCTCATCTCGCTCCGTTTTACCATTGAGTTGTATGGCGTCTCCAAGAGGCCAAGGTTCGAAGGTTTCGCCCTCCTTCGCTTGACGGATCAGGCGACTGGTGTACTGGTTCATAGCGTAGAAATCAAAGGTTCCTGAAGAAAAAATGAGTTCGTGAATATTTAAGCTATTGTCGAAATAAGTAATTCCATGTGTGGGAGAGTCATGCTTCGGCAGGAATGGCCCATTCCTGCCGAAGCATTACGGATTCCGTCGAGAAAACCTGCGTACAACCACATTTACGTTGTGTTTCGTCGTGTGAGTGAGGTTATCGGAAGCCCATCAGTGATTTCCCCCACCCCTCCATGCTCGATACTCAAATCCCTATGTTCCTAACAACCCACAAGAGGCCGGCAACGCAATACAGTAGTTTCCAACTAGTCAAATTCAATACTTTTATCCAAATGTCAAAAACGATACTGCCGAAAAACTGAGTTATGACGTCATAGTATTTTGCGTCAAATAGTTTACTTATTTCTAAAAATTAGCTAAAAAATATACACTTATAACCTGAAATTCTAAGTAAGTAAAGTTTCATTACGATGTTTTCCTTTACCGTATGTCAGTGGTGTCTTAATAATCATAGAAAGTACATAATAATGGCCCCATTTAATCGTAGCTTGATATATAGCCTAGCACCATTAGCACTCAGGAATATTGCTATCTATTAGTGAAAGAATTTTGGAAATCCGACCAGCGGTTCCGAAGATTACTTACAAACATAGAAACTTAAAAATTTTGCCTCTTTATAATATTAGTATACTATGTATATTTTTACCATGAGCTACCACTGCTTAAGATCAGCCTACTCGCACTATCCTATAAAAAGGTATCGATAATTACCTCTAACGTATTCGATCTCTTGCTGTGTGAAGGGAGGAAGTACCGGCTTGGAGTACCCAAGCTTCGAGTAGTATTCTCCCAGTGCCTTCTCCAACGCTGGTGGCCAACCTCCAACCTTCGAGTAGATCGGATGAGCGTATTTCCCAACCTGGAACATAAGTAAAATAGTAAAAAGTTTCAATGATAATGGATAACCTTACTCGGTTTCTCGAGTACGATACGATACGACGATACGAGCTCCTGCATAGCTTGAGACTACTCAGGTTACCCCGTCAAACGTTGAATAACCTTAAGTTACCTGCATGAAACAACGTTACTCAACGTTTTATTATATTAACGTAAAGCGACGATATTTTCCCCGTCCTTTCAGTGCCATTGCCACGTTCCCGTCCCGTCCGTTTTTTCGTGACTTATACATTTGTGTTGTAACCTTGTAGTAGAATTTCTCAAAAAATATGAAAATGTCTTATAATTAAATTTAAATTTAATTTATTATTTATTTTTACTAAATTTAAATCTTTTAAAAATCATGATCATTATTTTTCATCATTTTGAAGACCAATGCAGAAAGCTTAAACCATCATTCTTTCCAAACTTTTTTTAAAGTTCTTATTAAGGTACCGAAAAAGGTTTGAATAGGCAAAATAGCTCTTATTGCATACGTACACAGTTCTCTCTTGCTAGTTCAGCTAGTTCAGCGTCGGCTGGTGTCAGTGGATCGAACCAAACATGGTGATTGGCCAGTGACACCTTACCTGTGCAAAAATCAATGAATGTTTTACGTACGTTCTCACTAACCTCTTGAACGGCTGAACTGATTTCGATGGGTTGCATATTATCTCTACTTTACAACATCTCAGTGTAGGAGAGCCCACGGCCTCACAGAAAACTGGCGTGAAACAACCGCAGCGTTGTGTTTCGCCGTATGAGTGAGGTTTCCGGAGGCCCAATACCTCCCCCTCCCCATGCCTTCTCAATCCTTAAATATCAAAAACCCTTATCCCTAAAAGACCGGCAACGCACTCATAACTCCTTTGATGTTGCGGGCATCCATGGGCGGCGATAGTTGCTTACCATCAGGTAATCCAATTGCTCGTTTGCCATCCTATACCATAAAAAAATTTCAACTTGTAAAACATAACAATTTTTTTTGAGAATTCTATTTTATATTCGACTCACCGTGATATTTAGATCTAAATTCTTCATCGTATAGCCTATAAGCCTTAGCGTGGGCCATCACCACATTCTTAGAGCACAAGTGGGCTCCAACGTCTGGGCTCAAAATGGGAGGAGCCAGGATAGCAGTGCTGTAAACCACGTCACAGATAATCAGGGGTTCATTGATGGTTATCCACCATTTCACACGGTCGCCGAAAATGGTGTAAGCGACCCTGGCGTAGTCGACGAACCAGTCCACGATGAGGGGGTTCGTCCAGCCACCTGAAAATATGAAATAAAATAATCTATACTTACATACAAGCAGCACGCTAATAGTACATAGGTAATGGTACAAGTTTTTTTTATGTAATAGATCGGCAAACGAGCCAGACGGATTACCTGATGGTTAGCAATCAGCGCCGCCCATGGACACTCGCAACGGAGGAGTTACGAGTGCGTCGCCGACCTTTTAGGGATTAGGGATTTGAAGATTTAGGGATTAATGAGGGATTGCGGGAGGGGAAGGATTGGGCCTCCGGTAACCTCACTCACACGTTGTTGTTTCACGCCGGTTCTGTATTCTGTGAGGCCGTGGTATCACTCCGGTCGAGCCGACCCATTCGTGCCGAAGCATGGCTCTCCTTAAACAAGTGTGTAATATTGACGAGGGTCTTAAGGAGCCGAGGACTAATATTGGCGAGGACCATCATCAATACACACGTGTATTATACAATGTTTCTCAACAAACTTCTAAATAAAATAGAAAACCAAAATAACTTCAAAAGAGAAACTGAGACGAGTCTTGGAAAATGTTTCATAATGGCGGGAAAAAAAATTATCTGATTTCTTATGCGCACGCATCAGCCATAGACACAAATATGAGGTTCCTTTTTTGGGCTTTTCGCGGATAGCATTTAAGCGCAAGTGTGACGGTAACTCAGCCAATAATTTAAAAAAAGAACTCTATTTCTATTACTCACTTGTGAATAATAATTTATTAATGTCTTTGTCCATAAGGTTACTTTATTTTTATATTTGAATAAATATTAGTGTTACACTGTTCTCACATAATTGAACCAACTGTTTGTATAAGGAATCTGTATGTGAAACTGATTTAAAAAGAGTAACCATGGATTTTTTGCTCGTTCTTCTCCATCGGAATCTACACTTTGGAACGAGCAAATAGCTTCACTAAGAGGACTGACCGACAGACTGACACTATATCTTCAAAATTTTTTTTGACGTTCAAAAGTGCCTGTAAATGTCTTATTGGAATAAATGATTTTTGACTTTTTTTAATGAAGATGTTGAGAGAGACACAATTTCCGAGAAAACAATGCGGAAACAGTTTTCGGAATCAGTTTCCAGATTGCTAAATAACGTAAAGTGGTTAATTTCACTTTACAGCACTACAGTTATTTATATTAACCAAAATTATTTCGTTACAACCCTTAAGATAGATGATATATATGTAGTTACAGACCAATTATAATTATAGTAATTTTGAAACGATAATTAGGAACGACGATTGCTGCAAGTGCACTTACATAGCTACGTATCTGTGTGTGTGTCCCAACATAACCTACAACTCCTTTATAGAATACCTAAATCTTGAAGACTTTGCGGCAAATCCCAGTGGTACAGAGTAACGAACGGCTCGATCCCCTTCTCCAGTAGACCATCAATCAGGTTGTTGTAATAGTTCTTCGCATCTTCGCTGATGTGGTTGGGGAACCCTGATGGCAGGAGACGAGGCCAGGATATAGATAACCTGGAAAGGAAGGAGAAAGATGAGACAGTTTTAGACACTGTTTCTCAAAAGGCTTTCTCTCTATACTAATATTATAAAGAAGAGAGAGAAGAGAGAAGAGAGTTAAAATTTGGAAGTTTATATGTAGGGGGTTATATTTGGAACCGCAAACCGGATTTCCAAAATTCTTTCACTGATAGATAACTACAATGTTCCTTAGTTCTATATGCTATAAATCATCACGCTACGAGAAAAACGAGCCAAGTAGCGGGTGAAACTAGTCACTTATAAAGGAGTAGTTTTTTCGTGATTAATAAATGTCATAAAAAAAGTTAATCTCATCTTTAGTACATACTTAGTAGTTTAGTATATTAAAAAACTGGAGAGTTTGTTTGTTTGAACGCGTTAACGCTCTGAAACTACTGGTCGGAATTGAACAACTCTCTTGTGTTGGATAGTCAATTTATCAAGAAAGCCCATAAGCTATAAAGCATCACGCTGCGATATACAGGAGCTGAGCAGCGAGTGAAACGGTGCGGAAAAAGCTAGTTACATATGTATAACTGAAAAGAAGTCACATTGGTATTTGCCAGGTTCAAACCCTCATGCATGAAAAGCAGGAGCATCTTTGACAAACCGTGACAAAAACCTATCTTACTATCATATCATAAATGCGAAAGTTACAATGTTTGGATGTTTGTTACTCAACCACGCCGAAACGGCAGGACAAATCTGGATGAAATTTGGCCCAATTATAGGATACACTCCGGAATAGGACATAGGCTACAACATCCAACAACATACCACGCAGGCGAAGCCTTCTTACTTCTTAAATGTTAAACCTCTCACCTATAAAATTGTAATCCAAGCTCTTCAGCCATTTCGATGTCTCTCCGCCACTGATGGTAGGAATCGCAAGCGACGTCCCCATTGGTCAGGTCCGTTATCATCGTAGGACGTTCATGGCACAAACGATCCCATATGCCTTCTCCTTTGTCTGTCGAAAGAATAAAGATGTCGAAAGAGGTCTTGGATCAACCATGACCAATTGAAGGCAGTTGTTAAGTGTGCGAGAGCCAAGCTTCGGCACGAATTAGTACGCTCTATACTATCACGGCCTCACAGAAAACCGCCCCAATAATCACAGCTTTGTGTTTCGCCCCTCCCCTCTCCCCAATCCCCAAATTTCCGATGCCCTAATCCACAAAGGGCCGGCAATGAACTCGAAACTCCTCTGGTTTTGCTGGTGTCCATGGGTGGTGGCAATTGCATACCAACTGAAAATCCTGGTTCAAAATATATTATATAATAATATATTTTACAATTTTTAAAATGATATTCTTCAATAAGCTAGGTATTTCAAAATCACTCACTTACCGCTAACATTCCAAGCTCCTTCGACCTGGTAGGCAGCGGTGGCTGCTCCGAAGAGAAACCCAGGTGGAAACGTGAGGTCTTCAGCACATGATGACCCTGCTATCACGGCGCTGGAGAGCAAAATATTTGATGAGTTCCTTCGCCTGCACCAGTTCTTACCTTTTTTTGTGAGGGGAAAATCATTTAATTACTTCTGACACTCCCTCCCGCCCGGCCCCGGGGCGGGAGGGAGTGTCAGACTCTTACTGACTAAAAACCCCCTGTTCTCCTGCTCTGGGCCGAGGTCGCGGTGCCTCATTGCGCTTACCCCGCAACCCCGGCTGAACATCAGTCCTTTAGGGCCCCGTCTGTGGTGGTCTATTGGCTATTTGAGGCGCGCGCGGAACGTTACGCGTCGTACGCTCGGGCCTGATTCTTGTCGGGCGGCGAGCTGCCCTTACTCGCCGACAACAGACCCGTGCACCAGTCCTTACCATACGTTACCTTAATGCGCTTGACCGGCGACCAGAAAGGACCAAACATTATCTTTCAGGTTGCATTTAATGTAAAAAAAGATGCCATCTCATCTCTTGTGTAGAAATATTTTTTATGGTGTACGCATCGAAATTGGACGATCATGATGACCGTAGTGATACAAAATGTCTCACAGAAAAATGGCGTGAAGCAATATTTTGTTCTGTTTCTCCGTACCTATAAGTGAGATTCCTTACCATCAGGTAATCCGTCTGCTCGTTTGCTGGTCTATTACATAAAAAAGTGTGCACTCTCGGCTCTTTTTTTAAACTTGTTTCTTCATTTTATCTTTTATCAACTCCCCAAGTGACTACAAGTGGGGCTCAGATACAGATGCAGATAACTAAGAGTAACGCGATTGCATAACAGTAATGTTTATCAGATAAATTTTATGATCAATGTCTTGTTTGCATAAAAGAAACATCACACTTATCACAACACACTCTCTAAAACTCGTCTGATGTTGCGATAAAAGTGGCCCGGTTCTTCCTAAGCATGAGGGCGCTGGCTGGTTTAAAACCTGGCAAGTATCAATGCGATTTTCGACGACGAGTCATGTCAAATTTTTTAGTTTATTTTGCACGTAGTTGTCATATTTAGGCGTAGTGGAAATAACCATTGAATATTCAGATGGCGAGCCTGGGTAGAGATAGTTACCATTTCCTATTATTATTAGCAAATACTCCAATTTTTTCGGATTACCTGATGGTAAGCAATCAGCGCCGCCCATGGACACTCGCAACGGTGGAGTTACGAGTTAGAGGGATTGGAGGAGGGAAAGGATTGGGCCTCCGGTAACCTCACTCACACGGCGAAACACAACGCTGTAGTTGTTTCACGCCGGTTTTCTGTGAGGCCGTGGTATCACTCCGGTCGAGCCGACCCATTCGTGCCGAAGCATGGCTCTCCCACACTTAAATTATTATTATTAATTATTTAATTTACATAAAATTTAGTACAGTCACAATTATTTAGTAGCATGCGTCTGAGTGCGGTATCCGGGACAACTCCAGGCGAATACAACGCGAGTACAGTATAAACAATATTGTTGCGTCAACAGTTAGGGTTGGTCCCACTACGAATATATAATATTAGCAAATACACAATACTTCAACTTACTTATCAATGCGAATCATTTGTGCACAGTCATCGTGACATTAGTTTTGTAAAAACGTGATGTTATATTAGACACAAAATACTATAAATGGGGTGTGGCCAAACAGCGAAAATTGGTAGAAGGACCAATGATTAATGGGACACCCAAACCAAAAAAAATTCTTGGTGATACAAGAAGTTCATCAGTCAGAAGGCGAAGAAGTTTTTTTCGGCAGTAGCTGGCTGAACATGAGCTTCCCCAAATGACTTCTAGTCCGTTTCGAAACCTATCCAGCCATTTGCAAAAGCATTTATAAACGCCAACTTTTTAATCACAGCCCTACATGTAAAATGGCTAAAGAGACGCCATGGCTTCCTCACCTTCCGCCTAACACAACAAGAGGAACTGGGAAGTCATCTTCTTCTTTTACGAAGCAGTCATGCTCGTAAAGAAGGAGGCGGAGCACGCAAGATAGTTATGCTCTTTACGCCCCAGTTGGCTGATGTTGAGGATCGACCGACGATCTTCGGCCGCGTCTCCGGCAAGCGCAGGTCTGCGGACAACGAGCGAGACGAGCTCGTTGCTAGACCATAAGCAAACCCTGTAGTACGGCGCGTCATTCCTATATCAATTCATAAATGGACCCCACTAAGGTTGATGCTGGTAACACTGATGCAAGCATAATAATGTAAAGGGCGGGAGAATCAAACTTTATAACAAATGGGTCGGCTTGACCAGATAGATACCACGGAGTGGCCTCACAGAAAACCGGCGTGAAACAGCCAATGTGAAATTTTAAAAGTAATGTAGCAAGGTCGTTCTCTCCCAACCTAGGGCGGGAGAAGTCATTGTGATTTTCGCTCTCTTACGGTCCATCCACTGCATCTACATCATGGTGTGTGCCCCAAAACGAACCGAAATGAAAATGTTAAAAGCATCGGCACTGCTTACGACCACTCCACTATGAACCAATCTTAATAAAAAAGCCCTTTTTTAACTAGGTTTAAAACTTACCACAGAACAACAATACTATTCCAATTCATTTTCGCTACTAAACAATTTTTATGTTTAGAAGTAAGTAGGTAGTTACTGTTATCAATTTTATCTTAACATTTAAAGATAATAAGTACCTCCCCGATAAACTTTGTTTTAGATACTTTATTATTTTGTTTTTACACACAAATTCACGTGCAGATAAAAATAATCGTGTATTATAAAGATAAACGTCATTGGCCTATCTCTTGGGGGCAATTTTAAGAGTAAGAAAGTCGGCACCGGCCCTACCATGGACAGGTTGAACACTCGCAACACCGTGAAATTTCAAGTTATCGGGATTTGAAGGTCAGGGGTTGTGTGATTGGGGGTAACTGGAGGGGTCTTTGCCACCGGTGGTTATGGCTCCAGAGAAAGGAATCTCCGGACAATACGCGCCATATCCAGAAGTATCGCTTTCTGCATTAGGTTCTTGACCCAACCATAAGTATAATGTAAGCCTGCTCAGTAATAAATTTTATTATTATGAGACTCACTACTCTGTTTCTAAGACGATGTAACACTTTTTAGGATGGAAAGGCTCAGAATACAGGTTTGTTCTGTATTCTGAGTGGAAAGGGTAGAGGAAGAAACACTCAGAGCAGGAAGAATATCAGATGTTACTGACTCCAATCCAGTCGTTCTAAGTAGGTACTGCTTTGAACCGGGACCGCGGTTACTTAGTTCACTTATATAATAATAGTAGTAGACTTAAGAAATTCTTGTTCCTTCCTTTGCCGACAACTTACATTTCTAACGAAGAATCTATGTTGTTGTGTCACGTGTAAAATCTGTCAGACTCCAAGTTGTGATTGTGTTATTGAAAACTATTCATTTATCTACCTTATAGTGCAGACAGACATGTTCCTGTAACTAAATATTGAGCAAGTAACCCTAAAATGAATGCCATGAGCCATAAATGAAGATGTGTACTAGTACATGCAAATAAGATACCTACTTATCTAATTATACTTAGGTTACACATAATAAAAGATACCTTTATAGAAATTAATCTCTAGACAAACAGTCGTCATTACACTAGTCTACCTTTTATGTTTTATGACTACAGTTACCGGCGGCAGTTAGGTATAATATTATGTATTTCGAAATTTACTGCAATTCTATCTTTATAGCATTTAAACCAAGTAAAACTTTTAGATAATCTTAAATCATAAAATGTTTCCGAACGCTTATTTTTCTTTCCTTCCCAACTAAATTCTTATTTCTGAACAAGTAAAACAAACTGTCACTGTCAACTGTCAAAGTCACATTGTACTGTGTTGTCCTGTTTTGAGGTTATGTTAGCCAAAATAACACGGTGTTTTTTGAGTTTATCTTGAAAAAGTGAAATGAGTAAGAAACTAAATAATATGAAATGGGAGTCGGTGGCGCTGGATGGATTTCCAGCATCCATGACAGATAGGTTCCAAGGATTTGTCGGTTTAGAAGAATGCACAGATTATAGTTTTGATAAAGAAGGCAAGGGATCCAAAAAGGTTTGTTTATTTCTGCAATATAACCTTTTTAAGTTATTGTAACAACCTTAATGCAAATCTAGCTAAGAGTTTAGAAAATTTTATTGCATCACCAAGAAAGTAGTATTTTATTCTATATTCAAACTTACAAATTGTGGTGTAATATATAAGTTTAACACACGAGAGCGTAGATAAATACTGACTTGTTCAAAACTAATTTACGTGCAATTTAGGTAGGTATGTATTTCTAACAAAGCATTTTAAAAATGACTGAGGTATTTTTTTTTTTTTTCTTATTTGGCTCAGCATGGAGTCACAAGAAATAATTGACTTCAAATCCAATCCGATATCAGTCTTTATGAGGCACTTTTGAATGACAAATTAAATAATTCAATCTTTCAACTGTGGTAATTTGAAACACAACAGAAGAGCAATGTGTGCAAACACAGGTTCGCTTGATGAATTAATATAAAAAAATATAGTATCTGTTGTCTAGTCAAGCTAATTGCTAATTTTTAAATGGATATTCCAATAATAATATTGAGAAAAACAAGCAAGAGTATACAGTTTCTAAAGAAGAAAAAGTGTAGCAATATAGTTAATCTTTTTCTTATAAATGATAGAAAAAAAAATATTTACAATAGCATTATAATTATTTTACACTGGCCTCTCTTTGAAAGTTCCTTCGATACAATCAACTTTCAGTTTAATCTAGTTTTGCATGGCAATCAGAGAACCCTATGTAATTTTCGCACACAATTTTTAATTTCTCATAGAATACAACCGACTAAGCTTCAGTGATAGACACATTTTCAGAGAAGTTAGTTTTGATATAGAAGTATTTTTGATGTTCAAAAGTGCCTTTGTATTCTTAAAGTAGTAGGTAGTTCAGTTTTGAGTTAGTATTTATCCTAACTATTTTCAACAACAATAAGTACTATTTTTTAAGTCCTACAATAGGAAAACTTGATATAATATACTATATTTATAGGCCTACTATAAACTACCTACCTACCTAATATGGGTATGTCATAAAACACAATTAATATTTCAGAATAAGAAAAAAGAAAAATTAGCTCAGAAGAGGGAACAGAAAAAGAGGAAATCCTCGGAAAGTGAAACAAAAGAGGTTCCAAGCAAAAAAGTAAAACTAGACAATGGTTTTGTAGTAGAATCATGTGACAATACAGCACCATCACTAGCGAACAGCACACAGAAAAGGAACAAAAATAAAAAGAAGAAAAATAAAAAAGCAAAAAAATTAAATATAGACAATAATATTGGGGATACTAGTGATGACAATAAAGAAAATGGTGACACTGAAGCAGTTCCGAAAAAAACTAAACCTAAAAACAAAAAGAAAAAGGCTAAAGACTCTGTTAGTACTGAGAAAGTTGTTAAAAAGGCAAAACAAAGATTGGGTGATCTTCCTAAGTCTACATCGGAATTGACACCTGAAGATATGCTGACTTGGGCAGAGTTTAAGTTACAAGAGCCAATAATAAAAGCCTTAACTGAACTGGGATTCAAACAGCCAACGAAGATTCAGCAGTTGACACTACCAGCTGCTATTCATGGTAAATATTGTTTTTGTTATGTTGTTGGTTGACAAACGCACAGACGGATAACCAGGTGGTAAGCAATCAGCGCCACCCATCGACACTTGTAGTACCAAAGGAGTTACTAGAAGTGTGTTGCAGGCCTCTTGTGAGTTATTAGGGATTTAAGGATAGGGGCTTTAGGGGAAGAACTCCTCCGTTAACCTCACTCACATGGTGAAACACAGCATGTGTTGCTTCTCACCAGTTTTCTGTGAGTTTCTGTTTTTTTTTTCTGTTTTTTTTTTGTGTCTTCGAATCAGTAATGTTTTTTTTTTCACTATTTAGAATCAATTTAATTTTCTTCAAGTATACTGTAAGTGATATTATACAAATTAATAATATTTGTGTAATGTTTTTTCATTATCTATCTGACAGACAAAATATAAGTATTTTTAATTGTTATTGTTCCTATTAGCGTCAAGTACTTACACACCAACCGGCTTCGAATTTTGCCATAAATCTATCTGACTTATACAAATTAAACATTGCCTGTAATGTAATAGGAAAAACAAATCTACAAATCTTAATAAAGCCAGAACGATTTTTGTTATATGTAAATGAAAATGTATTCGTAAACAATTTACAGGTCGTAGAGACATCCTCGGTGCAGCAGAGACAGGAAGCGGCAAAACTCTAGCCTTCGGTCTACCAATCCTATGTGGCATCCTTAAACTCAAAGAAAAGGCTGAACTCAAAGGCCTAGACGTATATGACATACCATATAGAAAACCAGCTCTAAAGAAAAAGGAAGAACCTAAAGAAAAAACACAGAAATTTAAAAGAAAAGAACGAAAAGGTGATAAAAAGCAAATCGTACAAGAAGAGAAAGTTAAGGAGTCATCTGAAGATGGATATAGTAGTGGGAAAGAGAGTGATGAAGAAGGAACAGAAGATGGTTTAGAAGAAGGAACAGAAGATGATTTAGAAGGAGCACCAAAAGTTGAAACTGAAGAAGAAGATTATCTAGAAGAATATGATGTTCCTGTTAAGAAAAGGGATAATAATTCCGCTGATGAAGGAAATGATAGTGATGAAGATAATTACATACATTTATCTGACATGTTGGACTCTGATGATTTGGCTGATAGTAGCGACGATGAAGATGGTAGCGCAATTGATGAAGATGATGGGGAAAGTGGTGATGAAGTTGACGATGAAAGCGGAGATGACGATATTGATGGTGATGGAAGTGGGGATAGTGCAGAAGAGTTGGAAGAAGAAGAAAATGATGACGGCGATGAGGTCAATGAGGATGAACAAGGTAGTTTAATTTTTAATAAATATTTGTTAAGCAAAAAAAACATAATGTGCTAATCCAAATCATACGGATTAGCACATTATGTTTTTTATTTGGCTGGTGTTACTGGCCCTTCGTTTTTCGATTACTGGATATCACGAAAACGGAACAAGGAATATTGCATTTGATTCGCGGATCAGGCAAAGGGTTATTAAGTAATTTCAGTTTTAGCGCAACAGACCAAAAGCTCAACTAATTTCAACTCATAACGGGACTCTTATTCATAAGCAGCGTGCGCCAACTGTTGGTTGGACGACATCGCCGTGATGAGCGCGCTGCTCGTGAATAAGAGTCCCGTTATAACTTGTAACTAGTAGAGCTTTTCTCTATTTGATTCACGTGAGTTAGTTGTTATCTATACTCATAATAAATCTCTAGAGTGATCAATTCTGTACATGAAATATATTTTCAAAATAACTATCAAGGGGTAATAGGTCATCGATACTGATGCCACAAATGAAATCTGTAAAATTTTTGTGTCTGTCTGTCTGTATGTTCCTTATAGAAACAAAAAATACTCGACAGATTTTAACGAAACTTGGTACAATTATTCTTTATACTCCTGGGCAGGTAATAGTATAGTTTTCATCACGCTACATATAATAGGAGCAGAGCAATGAAGGGAAATGTTAGGAAAACGGGAGAAGTTACTCCCTTTTTAAAGTTTCTGTCGCGTGTATAGCCTTAATGGTTAAAGTCACATACAAATTATATATGACGGAAATATTTTGCATAAAATGATCTAAAAAAAAATGTTGTCTGTCTGCCTGTCTGTCTGTATGTTCCTGATAGAAACAAATACTACTCGACGGATTTTAACAAAACTTGGTACAATTATTCTTTTTATATCTGGGCAGGTTTTAAGGCACTTCTGGAACTCTGTGTTTATTTCTTCTCCTTAATCTATTTCTTTCAGGAGTTGGCTGTGTAAAAGTGGTTGACAATATAGAGATCCCTGGCCACGTCTCTGTGAAGACTGGCAAGCCGTTGTATGCCCTCATCCTTACCCCTACCAGGGAACTGGCTATACAGATCAGCAGACATTTGATAGCCGCTGCTAAATATACAGGTTTGTACCTTAAAAACATGTCTTTAAGGTTGTTTTTTTAATTGTATTAGTTATGTTTTGTTACGTTTATTAATTAGGGAATTTGTAGAAGCAATAACTGATACTTACTTTGGGAGAATTTGTTTTTTGAGTGTCAGCGAGCCATTTTCTTTCACGAGTGGGTCCGCTCCACCGGAGTGATACCACGGCCTCACAGAAAACAGATGTGAAACAACCACAGCGTTGTGTGAGTGGGGCTACCGGAGGCCCATTTCATTTAATTAATTTATTCATTAACAATGTACATTGTGTTTGAATATTTTTCCACTGAGTATTTAATAGTCATCTTTAATGACTCTACATATCTATTAAAAAAACGCATCCGTTGCGTAGTTTGGAAGCGATTTGTTTTATACTATGTAGTGAGGTTAATTTTTTTTTACTCGCTTGTAATATCATGCATAGGCCTGTTCATCTCGCTTCCACACTTCCCGATCCTTCGATTCACAGTATCGGATCTAGAGCGTCTAGATCGTCACGCCATCTTCTCCGGGGCCTAACCCGCCTGCGGCCTACATCCTAAGGTGTCAACTGGGTGACAATAGTGGCCCATCACGCCGAATCAATTCCGCGGACGTGTCCGGCCCAGTCCCAACAAATTAACGATGTTATAATAGTTAGAGATTGAAAAGATTGTTAATTGTTTATCTTTGAAATGTTATCAGGTATAAAAGTAGCGACGATAGTGGGTGGTATGGCGGCCGTCAAGCAGGAGAGGGTGCTCCGTTCCGGTCCTGAGATAGTGGTCGCTACACCAGGACGATTGTGGGAACTCATAGGACAAGGTCAACCGCATCTACAGCAGTTGGACTCTGTCAAGTAAGTGAAATAAAATATTACAATATTTAGTGTAGGAGAGCCATGCTTGATGGAGTGATACCACGGCTTCATCCGGCGTGAAGAAATATTTACGTTGTGTTTCGCCGTGTGAGTTATGACGTCATCGTAATTTTGCGTCAAATAGCTTACTTATTTCTTAATAATTAGCTAAAAAATATCTAAAACTTAGTGTATCGATCGATCGATGAATAAAAGTATAGTAATTTTATTTTTTATGTGACGTGTGTGTCGGCAGACGAGCAAACGGATTACCTGATGGTAATCAGCGCCGCTCATGGACACCCGCAACAACAGAGGAGTCACGAGAGCGTTGCCGACCTTTTGGGGGTTAGGGATTGGGGAGGGATTTGGGTAGGGGAAGGATTGGGCCTCCAGTAATCTCACTCACACGGCGAAACACAACGATGTGGTTGTTTCACGCCGGTTTTCTGTGAGGCCGTGGTATCACTCCAGTCGAGCCGACTCATTCGTGCCGAAGCATGGCTCTCCCACACTTATTTTTCAATATTTTATTGTATTGAAACGTCGAATTAATTTATTTTTGAACTAGGAAACTACCCAATTGTTGTTGTTATTGTACTGTATAGATTCCTAGCGATAGACGAGACGGATCGTATGATAGAACGCGGCCACTTCGAAGAGTTGACACCGCTATTGGAACGATTGAACGCGGACGAGGAACGCAAGGCCGCTCGACAGAACTTCGTCTTCTCCGCCACCCTGACCATGGTCCACGATCTACCCACACATATGAAGGGGAAGAAGGTAGGTTATTTTACTTTTATAATCTTTGGAGGTATGAGAAACTGGGTGGAAAGTTCCTCGTCCTCCATTGAAAAGGGAGGATCCTCCGACCAGGCGAGGTGTTCGTGCCTGGTGGGCTACTGCCCGACGGTTGTTGTCGGGATATCTGTATGGGTGCTAATTGTGTGGAAAACTCTTATAGCGCGATGTAGACTCTTGCACGTGATTGGTGCTGTTGTTAATGTAGTGCGCTAGATGTCGCTACAAATCTAAACAAGCTTCTGTAAATCCTACAAATCGTAGCGTGACGTTTTAGCCTATAGCCTTCCCGAATAAGTGTACTTACAAACACAGTATTAATTTCAAACCAGTTGTTCTGGATATTAGCGCGTTCAAACAAACAAACTCTCCTGCTTTATAATAAAATTAAATAAAACTAGATTTTGCCCGCGACTTCGTTCGCGTGGAATAGTGACTTCCTGCAGATTTTCGTGGTATAGTTATTTTCTGTAGATTTTTGGTTTAAAAACTATCCTATGTCCTTTCTCGAGTTCCAAAATATGTCTGTACCAAATTTCACACAAATAGGTTCAGTTGTTTAGGCGTAAAGAAAGGACAGATAGACAGACAGAGTTACTTTCACATTTATATTATTAGTTTTAACAACTCTTTGTGTGATCCACAAATTGTTGTTCCGGATCTGGGTGTCTTGTGTATGTGAAATTGTTTATTTGTAACAGCACCCACGACACAGGAGAAAATCCTAATGTGGGGCAAATTTTTTTTTTAAAAAAGAAAAAAAAGTTTGCATTTAAAAATCAAGTGTAAAATTAAATAAAATATTACTTTTTTTTATTTTTACACAGGTAACAAAACATGGTAAGATTATAAATCGAAAGATAGAGAAAATGACGCCACAGCAGAAGGTGAACCGGCTCATCAAGATGATTGGCATGACTGAACCCAAGGTCGTCGATATCACTACACAGAATTTGGGTGAGGAAAACTTTAGTTAATTTTTTTTAAATTTTATTTAATAAGTGTCGGGGAGCCCTGGGTCGGCTCGGTTGGAGTGATACCACGGCCTCACAGAAAACCGGCATGAAATAACCACAGCGTTGTGTTTCGCCGTGTGAGTAAGATTACCAGAGGCCCAATCCCTCCCCTTTCTCCAATCAAAAACCCTAATCCCCAAAAGATCGGTTACGGACTCGTAACTCTTCCGTTGTTTCGAATCACTTACCATCAGGTGCAAATTGCGTTTACTTAAAAAAAAAATTAAATTAGGCATAATTTAGTAATTTCTTACGTCAATTCTAAATTAATTCGACCTTTCAATACAATAAAATATTGAAAAATAACTATACTTTTACTAATCGATCTGTCTCGAGTCTCGAGAGCCATGCTTCGGCACGAATGGGTCAACCACAGCGTTGTGTTTCGCCGCGTGAGTGAGGTTACCAGATGCACAATCCCTTCCCCTCCCCCAATCTTAAAATCTCTAAATCCCCAAAAGGTCGGTGACGCACTCGGAACGCCTCTATTGTTGCGGGTGTCCATGGGCGACGCTGATTGCTTACCATCAGGTAATCCGTCAGCCTATTAGGTACCGACGTTTAATTATTATCCCTTATTCTTTCCTCAGGTACAGCCGAAACGCTAACTGAGTCCCGTATTACTTGTGCATTAGAACATAAGGACGCCTACCTATACTACATTGTAAAAAGGCATCCGGGCAGAACTATCGTCTTTTGCAACTCCATCGGCAGCGTTAAAAGGTGAGTTTGATCTCTATTTTCTTATTGTTTAAAGTTGATTTTTCAATGTCACTTCGATTACGGGAACAACTCTTTGTGTGATCCACAAATTGTTGTTCCGGGTATTGGTGTGATGTGTATGTGAAATTGTGTATAAGTAAATGCACCCACAAAACAGGAGAAAAATCTAGTCTGGAGCAATGTTTATAAAAGAACGCTATCTAAAAAGCGTTATAAAATGAAATCAATACAAAAATACACTACAATACAATAAAACACACACAAACACACTCCTTTTTATTATACCTATTATTGTGCACATAAATATTAATAAATATATATATATATGTATGTAAATTGTATATATTTATTACCAATTATTGTACACTATCTACTCTCCCGCGGTTTCACCCGCTGCTCGGCTCCTTTTAACCGTAGCGTGATGTTTTATAGCACTCAGGAACATTGTAGCTATCTATCAGTGAAAGAGTTTTGTAAATCCGACCAGCGGTTCCAAAGATTACCCCCTACATACAAACTTACAAATTTTACCTTTTTATAATATTAGTATTGACTACACTATAAATATCCATCCTAAGGTTGTCTGGAAGAAATCACCCTGTGTGATAAGACCACCCATTGTACACTTTTAGCTGTAAGCATGCTCTTTGTATTTTTTTAATAATGTGTACAATAAAGTATATATGAACACATAAATAAAAATAAAATAAAGCATCCATACAAAACTATTATATTTTGTTACTCTCTGTTTAGTTTGCGCTTTATTTTCTGTTCTTTAAGATTGATTTTGCAAGAACAGGTGATGTGATTGATAATGATAATGTCATTTTTATATGTTTTACAGATTAGCTCAATTATTTACACTGCTCAAGTGTCGCCCCCTACCGCTACACGCCAGCATGCCCCAGCGACAGAGAATTAAGAATTTGGAGAGGTAAGACATTTTTTTGAATCTTTTTGAAATCAAACTTTTAACAACATTAATTTAATACTAACTTTTGCCCGCGACGTTCGCGTGGAATAGTGACTTCCTGCAGATTTTTGGTTTAAAAACTATCCTATGTCCTTTCTTGAGTTCCAAATTATGCCTGTACCAAATTTCACAGAAATCGGCTCAGTAGTTTAGGCGTGAAGAAAAGACAGACAATGGTACATATATATCTTACTAATATCATAAATGGCAAAGTTACGATGTTTGGATGTTTGTTACTCAATCACGCGAAAACGGCTGGAAGGATCTGGATGAAATTTGGTACAGGCATAGGATACATTCCGAAATAGGACATAGGCTACTTTTTATCAACATACCAGGCGGACGAAACCGCAGGCGGAAGCTAGTAATATTATAAGATTTTATTATTAATTTAGACTGCACGATTGGTACGGTGGCTGGACAACTGGCTGCTGTGCAACGTGTCGCGGGTTCGATGCCCGCACGGAACAACTCTTTGTGTGATCCACAAATTGTTGTTTCGGGTCTGAAAACATATGTTTGTAACCGTACCCACGACACAGGAAAAAAAACCTAATTTGGGGCAACGTTTTTAAAAAAAAATTAAAAAAAGTAGTTTGAAAGTTTGTGAGAATGTATAGATATATGGGCAAATATACCATTTTATATCTATATATTTTTTTCCTCAGGTTCCGCGACGATCCTCACGGCGTGTTAATAGCAACGGACGTGGCAGCGAGAGGCTTAGACATACCTCACGTTGAACATGTCATACATTACCAAGTGCCCCGCACAGCCGAGAACTACGTACACCGCAGTGGCAGGACCGCCAGAGCCAGTCGCGAGGGCCTCACCATCCTCATGATGGATTCCTCCGAAGCTTATTTGTACACAAAAATGTGTCGCACTTTGAATAAAAGTAAGTTTTTTAACCCATTCCTTATAACTAAGTATTTAAATGTGGGAGAGCCAAGCTTCGGCACGAATGGGTCGGCTCGACCGGAGTGATACCACGGCCTCACAGTAAACCAGCGTGAAACAACCACAGCGTTGTGTTTCGCCGTGTGAGTGAGGTTACCGGAGGCCCAATCTTTACCCACTCCCCAATCTCTTAATATCCTAAACCCTAATCCCTAAAAGGTTGGCAACGCACTCGTAACTCCTCCGTTGCGTTGATTGCTTACCATCAGGTAATCCGTCTGCTCGTTTGCCGACAAATTACATAAAAAAAGTATCGTTATTGTGCATTTCAATAAAAGTTTTTGACTATGAGAAGCTGGGGTTGCGGGGTAAGCGCAATGTGGCGTGTGGGGAAGGGAGAGTAGTCAGTAAGAGTCTGACACTCTCTCTCGCTTTACCCTGGGCGGGCGAAAAGTCATTTGATGATTATCCCCCGACAAAAAAAAGCATTTGAAGATTGAGAATGTAATGAAAGTGAGGTTAGTTACTTTTCTTAATTTTTTACACTTTTGTCTTGAATTCTTCTCCAGCATCAGAAGTCCCGACCTTCCCAGTGGACAGTCAGGTCCTTGCTCCCATCAAGGAGCTGATGGTTCTAGCCCGAGAGTTGGATGCCCTGGAACTGAAGAAACGCAGGGCTGCGCAAGCGCACGGGTGGAAGGAACGAGCCGCGAGAGAAATGGACATTATTATTGACGACGATGATCTGTATCCTTTTTCAAACAATGTTCAATGTTTAAAATTAATTCTCAAGTCCCGAAAGTGTGTTGCCCTGAATTACATGAAGACTGGGTCTTGTTATATTTTTTGGTAGATTTAATATGGTAGCATTTAGCAACTGTTGAAGTATATTTTTATTATGGCCTTGAAGAGCCAATAGATCACCACAGACAGTGCACAATATGTTGCGGGGTAAGCGCAATGAGGCACCGCGACCTCGGCCCAGAGCAGGAGAAGGAAGGGGGGGTTTTTAGTCAGTAAGAGTCTGGCACTCCCTCCGGTCCGGCCCTGGGGCGGGAGAAATCGTTTGATGATTTTCCCCTCACAAAAAAAAGACAGTGCCCAATATGGCCAATGCTTGGCAATAATGGCCTCGCACTGAAGCAGGAGACGAAACGGGATGGTTTTTAGTCAGTAACAGTCTGCCACTCCCTCTTGCCAATGCTCGGGGAAAGAAGTTATTTGATGGTTTTCCCTTCGCAGAAAGGTCCTTATTATTAGTGTACTATTGACTTAAGCTATCTATGTTTGGTTGCAGCAGAGAAGTATCAGCTTCCTGCCAGTTTTAAATCGTCCGCGAAAAGGAATTTTGTGGAGTGATTAAATATTTGTGTAAAATTTTTACAAAAATATTAACAATAATGGCCCCAGATTAGACTCCTGAGGTATGCCGAGAGTCGCAATGCATAGGTCTGTCTCATTACCATCAACCACAACTGTGGTCGACCAAATTTCGAGATATGATTTACACTACTTAAGAATAGCACTAGTCATGCCCATAGGCTTGAGTTTATGTAACAAAATCTCATGGTTGACCTTATCGAATGCCTTCGAAAAATCTGTGTAAAAATACAAAGCATTAACAATATAAAATCAAAGTGTCGTTCATCGATTAGACGATAGACTTAATTTTAGATTTTTTCTACCTACATATTTTATTTCACATAAGAATGTGATAGACGGGTCGAGCGTAATAAAGTTTCGTACTTTGACCCGTCTGTAGTGATCTATTGGCTCTTTGAGGCGCGCGCGTAAAGTTAAGTTTACGCTTGGGTCTGTCAAAGTCAAAATCATTTATTTCAATTAGATCACATTAGGCACTTTTGAACGTCAAGCAAAAAAAGTATTTGAAGAGCTTTAACTTTAGGCGTGTCAGTCTGTCCGTCTGTCCTCTAGTAAAGCTTTTTGCTCGTTCCAAAGTGTAGATTCCTATGGAGAAGAACGAGCAAGAAACTCCATGGTTACTCTTTTTCAATCAGTTTCGCCATCCACAGACGACGTAATATGTCGCTATTCTCATAGTAAAGTAAAGTTTTTGATATTTGAAAAAAAGTATAAAATCTACAACCCAATACGATAAAAAATTACGCTGAAAAAGTATAAAACAAGATTTTCACTACACACTGAAAGGGGTAGTACACGTTTTCAAAGTGGTACGGCAGGTATATGTGACGTGTAACTACGCCTTTCAGTATTCTGAAAATCTTGTTTTATACTTTTTCAGCGTCGGTTTTTATCGTAGTTGAGTTTTAGTTTTTATTCTTTTTATTATTTGTACTATTTTGGTGTTAAAGTTTGTTATGCATAATATCAACAAAAGTTAAATTGTTCAACCAATGATAAGTAGGAGAACATATGAATGAAAAGATGTGAATAATATGCAATAAGCCCCTGAATGCAGATAAAGTCACAAACAAATGCACAAGTTTTTACTTTATTTTTATCCAAGTTACAAAAATATCCTTAACTAATACACAACAGCCCAGTGAAGCAAGTCAACGCCTCAATAGACAAAGAATTGAAGAGCAAACGGCGCCAGTTAGAATCTCTGCTCTCCCGGCCTATATACCCTCGGGGATTCTCTTTCAAATACCCCACTCTGAACAATGATACCACAGTTTTTCAAGGGAGCGAAGAAAATGCACTGCAGGTAAAGATAATTAGTTTTTTTTTTATGTGGCACATCTACATCTGTATTATTTATTAGATGGTAAGCAATCAGCGCCGCCCGTACACACCAGAAAAGTTACGAGTGCGTTGCTGGCTTTATGGATATACAAGTGTGGGAGAGCCATGCTTCGGCACGAATGGGTCGGCTCGACCGTACTGATACCACGGCCTCACAGAAAACCGGCGTGATATCCCAATCCTTCCCCTACCCCAATCCCTAAATCCCCAAAATCCCAATCCCTAAAAGGTCGGCAACGCACTCGTAACTCACATAAAAAATATATGTTTTGTGTTACACGTATATATTGGACACTAGCTATTCTCGCGCGGTTTCACCTGCTGCTCGACTCCATTTAATCGTAGCGTGATGTTTTATAGCCTATAGCACTCAGAAACATTGGCTATCTATCAGTGAAATAATTTTGGCAATCCGACCAGCGGTTCCGATACCACGCAGGTGAAGCCGCGGACGGAAGCTAGTTAATAATAACCAAAAACATGGTCGTGATTCCTATTACAGGTATCTTAGTTTAATTTCGCTAAAAACTTCAATGAATATCAGTCGTAATATTAATATTTCCTGTCTATCCCACAGGTCATGAAAAACGCACTAGAATCAGGCCAACTGAAAAAAGAAAAACGGAAAAGCAAGAACGCGCCTCTACTTCAACTTCAGAAGAAATTTAAGAAAAATATACCTAAATAATAAAAAAATAATACAATTGTAAAAAACTACTGTTTTAATAAATGTATTATAAATATTTTTTGTGTTTTCTTAAGGCGACTTCGTTTATTATAATTTTTTAGTACAAGTTCGTTTCAGAATTGGGAATTTAAAATGGGTGGGAAGATTGGGCCTCCGGTAATTCTGATCGACGTCAACAGCGTTAGCGTCCGTCATCTTTAATGAATAACAACCGACACAGGAACGCATCGTCAGTTTCTACGACGTGGCGACGTGCTGTGTATCGTGGCACTTTAAGATGTCGCGACGTATTTTTTTGCAGTGCTCGACGTAGATTTTTTTTAAACGTTGCCCCACCCTGCTATTTTCTCCTGTGTGTGCGTGGTGGTGCGGTTACAAACATACAATTTCACATACACATGACACCCAGACCCGGAACAACAATTTGTGGATCTCACAAAGAGTTGTTCCGTGCGGGAATCGAACTCGCGACACGTTGCACGGCAGCCAGTTTCCCAGCCACCGCACCAACCGTGCAGTCAAACGACGATTCCCACGACACGACGTCGTATCACGCCGCATCGTGGTACGACACGACGTCGTATCGTGTTTATGTGTCCCAGCCCTGGAATAAGGTTACCGGATCCCAAAACCTTCCCCCCCCCCCCTCGGACATCAATCCTCAATTCCCTATCCTTAAATCCCTAAAAACCCACAAGAGACCAGCAACGCACATGTAGTAACTCCTTAGATTTTACGTGTATCCATGAGTAGCGCTAATTGCTTACCATCAGGTAATAAGCACGCTCGTCTGCCGACCTATGACATAAAAAATAAGCTTTTTTCTTGTAAAATATAGACTTAACTGTGAAATAAGGAAAATATTCGGTACTTGGTTAGCCGCAGTCTAAATATGTAAAAACAAATTCTAGGCCAAAAACAATATACCTAAATAAAAAATATTTATTTACCTACATATTAATAGGCCCTTAAAACTCTCTCAACGCAAATTCAAAAGTAATAAAATAAAATTTTCCATTTAATATTTCACATCAAATTTGTACCTACCTACTCTATGAAATACTTTTATTTATTTTTCTTCGTGTCGTTCATATAAACGACCGTAAAACATATCGTCCAATAGTAAGTATTAATATCTTTAAATGTTATTTATTTTCTTAAATTGTTTGAGAAACTACAACAGCGTCAGCCAAGTACCTACTAAAACAATACGTTCAACTCGGCATCCGGGAGCAAGTTGAGAGCAAAGCGTCTCTAGCCTAACATGAACCAACACGCTAGGGCTGAGCGCCGACGTGTCTTAAAGTAAGTGACCTCCATCTTTCGAATTAAGTCAAGGCCAAGGTGCGGAGCGAGAGAAACTGGAAGGTGGTCTCCTCTTTCAAAGAAGGAGGCGGAGTGCCTGATAAAACTATCCTCCTTACCGCGCAGCCACCGCACTAAAACTCACTCCGGGACTGAGGAATCGCATGACCAGACCCAACGGTACGGCGCGCGTAGAACGCCACGCGCAGCTGGTCAAAGGGCAGGTAGAGGGATGAGAGCCAAAATTTACAGGTCATCCTGAGTCTGAGCGCGTGACCCGAGCGGGGGTAGACAGACAGTTGACGATTGTGTTCATTTTGCAATGTGAGAATTAGATTCTCCAAGCTACTACTTTTTCATGGAATAGGAGGCAAACTAGCCGACTGATCACTTGACGGCAAGTGATCGGCGCCGCCCATGGACTCCAGCGGCACCAAAAGAGCCACAGGTGCGTTTTCAGTCTTTTAAGAAGGAGTACGCTCGTTTCTTGAAGGTTTGAAAGTAGTATCGATTCGGAAATACTGCCGCCGAAAGATCATTCCAGAGTTTTGCTGTGCGAGGCAAAAAAAATTCGAGTAAATCGCACAGTTGTTGACTGCCTATCATCTATGTGATAGGGATGGAAACGTTTTCGCGTAGAACGCCGAAAATATGCGGCGGGGATCAAACCGAACTATTCCTCGGAACACTCCCCATGATATAAGCTATAACGAACATCCATACGCAGTGGCTAAGAGTCTAACCGTCTAACGGGTCCGAGAAACAGGGCAGTCAACGATTCGAAGAGCTCGTCGCTGAACGCGGTCCAGAGGGAGTAGCTAGTACAGGGGTGCCTCCGCCCTAAGATGAGCACAGTATTCCATATGGGGCCGAACTTGCGCTCGAAGCAGGCAATGCCCCAGGGTGAAATACTGCCTCAATCTATTTAGCTCACCGGCTGTTAGGGGGTGCTCTGTTATTGAGATGATACGACAAACGACAGATTTTTAGCGGAAAAAACCTGTCTTTGTGGGGTTAAATTCGACAAAATTAGGTGTACCCCAATCTAAGATTCTGAGACCCTCTAAAGAGGTATCGATTTCAGACACGAGTCTGTTTCGACTCTCGATGACGTTTTCCCGAGTAATGTTAAAAAAGGCATAACCCGTGCTGTCATTCGCATAACAATGAATGTCAACATTATTGATATGGCGGAGGATCAGAGTGGGCGACAGCTAGCAAGGTTCACAGGCAAACTGTCGGTGAATTAACCGTCGACAGTGACCTTTTTTTTTTTTTTTTTTTTTGTCAGGGGAAAATCATCCAATGACTTCTCCCGCCCAGGGTAAGGCGAGAGAGAGTGTCAGACTCTTACTGACTAAAAACCCCCCCGTTCCTTCTCCTGCTCTGGGCCGAGGTCGCGGTGCCTCATTGCGCTTACCCCGCAGCCCCGGCTAAACATCAGCCCTTTAGGGCCCCGACTGTGGTGGTCTATTGGCTCTTTGAGGCGCGCGCGGAACGCTACGCGCCGTACGCTCGGGTCCGGTTCTGGTCGGGCGGCGAGCTACCCTTACTCGCCGTCCGCAGACCCGCGCTTACGGTGGCCGGAGATCATCTCTCGATCCCCGACGTCCGGAATGTCGCCTTCTGCGGCGGCTGGGGCGCGAGGAGGATAGTTCCCTCACGCGCTCCGCCTCCTCCTTTGCGAGCATAACTGCTTCGCAGAAGGAGGAGATAGCTTCCCAGTTCCTCTCACGCTGCACCATGGCCTCGATTAAGGCCGGGCGCGAGAGGTCGCCGCCGCCGATCACTTCCCTGAGAACACGGCGGTGCTCAGCCCAAGCAGGGCACTCCACCACCGTATGCTCCACCGTGTCCTCCAGGTGATCCGCACAATGACGACACTCGGGCGTTTCCTCCCGCTGGATCCGAAACAGGAACCTACCAAAGCTGCCGTGCCCGGTAAGCACCTGCGTCAGGCGGAAGGTGAGGACGCCGTGGCGTCTCTCAAGCCACTCCTCAAAGAGGGGTCTTACCGCTGCTATGGTAGCGTGCCCGGCCCTCGGTTGCGACAGTCGCTGCTTCCACTCAGCCATGAGATCTCGCCGGAGCTCATTCCGCCACGCACTAATTTGGCGCGGCAGAGGATCCTCGCCCCGGCGACGCGCGTCTGCGCGCAAACTGTAGACGCGCGCGAGCGCCTTCGCTTCCAGATCCCATGGCGGTGATCCGGTAAGGAGGTTCGCCGCCTCCCCGGAGATCGTGCGATATCCGCGGATTATTCGGATAGCCATGACCCTCTGGGACGCGACCAGCGTACGAGCCGGCCGCCGCTTCAAATCCGGCGCCCACACAGACCGTCGACAGTGACCTACGACCTATATGGTTCTGTCTTCAAGGCTCGAAACCCATTTACACAGTTTCTCGGGATAGGAAGGAAGCCCATGGGAACTGGTGGTCAAACCTCTCACCAATTTCACCTATGTGGATGTGTGTGATTGGGGGGTTTGAGAGAGAGTAAGAGAAATTAGACCTTCGTTAACCTCGCTCAACGGCGAAACATAGCTGTCGTTATTTCACAGCTGTTTTTATGTGAGGCCGTGGTTTAACTCCGGTCAAGCCGACCCATTCATGCCGAAGCATGGTTTTCCCATATTTAAATAATAGCCTTAAGTATGCAATAAAACAATATACATGTAAAATTATGTGTTAAAATAAATAATTGGGTAAAAATTGACAATTTCTATTTTCAGTGGCACGTTCGGCTAGTGTGATTTGCACAGTATTTACTGTTTGCTGCATGTTAGTCGTTTTGGACCCGGTGACGAGCAAAGAGTGGCCAAATCCAGACGAAGACCCCTTAATTTACATCGATAACCCTGTTGAATCACAAATGCCTGGTCATTGGGTGCCGCAAAGCATTGTCAGAGAAATTCTTAAGAGACGTACATCAACTGCGAAACCAAGAGAATCGGTAATACCGTGGAGATTAATAAAAAATATAGAATTAGACAAATCGGCTACGGCTCATTTTGATCCTCAAAATACAGCTTCAAACCATCTCACAACAAAAAAAATATTAGCTAAAGATCCAAATGATCTGACAACTGAAGTTCAAAAAAATCTAATAAAAAGTATCGATAAAGTTTATAACAATCCAACAACCGAAAGTAATACAGAGGAAGTTCCAAATTATATAACAACAGAAACAAATACAGATGAAGTTTCAAATGTAAAAACCAAAAATATTAAAGCTAACGATCAAAAGCATACATCAACAGAAACAAATGCAGATGAAGTTTCCAAAGAAACAACCTTAAAAAATACATCTAATAATGAAAAGCATACAACAACAGAAACCAAAGCAGATGAAGTTTCAATTGAAACATCCGAAAAAAATACAGCTAATAATGAAAAGCATACAACAGGAGAAACAAAAGCAGATGAAGTTTCAATTGAAACATCCGAAAAAAATACAACCGATAATGAAAAGCATACAACAACAGAAACAAATGCAGATGAAGCTTCAAATGTAGCAACCGTAAAAAATACAGCTAATAATGAAAAGCAAACAAAAACAATTAATGCAGATGAAGTTTCAATTGAAACATCCGAAAAAAATACAGCTAATAATGAAAAGCATACAACAACAAAAACAAAAGCAGATGAAGTTTCAATTGAAACATCCGAAAAAAATACAGCTAATAATGAAAAGGATACATCAGCAGAAACGAAAGCGGATGAAGTTTCAATTGTAACAACCGTAAAAAATACAGCTAATAATGAAAAGCTTACAACAACAAAAATAAAAGCAGATGAAGTTTCAAATATAGCAACCGTAAAAAATACAGCTGATAATGAAAAGCAAACAAAAACAAATGCAGATGAAGTTTCAAATGTAACAACCGTAATAAATACAGCTAATAATGAAAAGCAAACAACAGAAGAAACAAAAGCAGATGAAGTTTCAAATGATCCTAATACTGAAAACAAAATAGTAACAGTTTCAATCGTTTCTACCACCACAGAAAGGACAGCATCAGAGAGTACTACCACTGAAAAAGTTACAGTTCTGGACCAACACATCATGACACCTACTACAGTTAGATCTTCCACCGGAAGAAAAAAACCAAAAAAAATAACGCCACGTGATAGAATAAAGAGTAATATTAGGAAAAGAGGTCAAAAAATATAGTAAAACTTTAATAATTCAAGCAAAAGCGTAACAGCCCTCTTATATACAAAAGTTTCACTTCATTCATATAAATATTATATTATATTCTGATATAAATATTATAAAAAATACATTTTATTCGTGAACCTATATTTTACGTACCTACCTATAACAAAATACAGGGTGTAAAAAGACACTTAACGAAGCCGTTAACTGCGCATACTGCAGTTCTAAGTAGCTTTACGCTAAAATTATCACTGGGAAACGACTTTTATTTTTAGGTATCAAAAAAAAATATTAATTTTATTGCGCGCAATGTAAAGCAAACGGGCTTCGTGTCATTGTGTGCGTAGGTTCACAGCTTAGCATTAAAACCCTGTGATAAGTACGTAGGTCGATTTTACTTCGCAACAACAAAACAATTCTGTAAAATAAAAATCCTACTGAGATGCACGATGTTTTTTGTGCGGGTCTGCATTTATTTATTATGTACATTACTGTTCGTAACTTCAAATGCGTAATTTATTTAGAAAAATCGAAAATTCGGGTAATGTTTGTTTGGAAAAAAGTTTTGTAATAATACTTAGAATTCCATTGCGCAAAAAAAAAGAAATTAAAAATGCATCTTTGACCTTCAATATCTCGAGAACCCGTGGAGTCCCAGCTATGGTCTTAAAGAAAAAAATGATCCAAATAATGGGTAATACGTGGCTTTCGGCTTCGTTAGTGTCTTTTTATACCCTGTATGTATTGGGGGAAGGATTGGGCCTCCAGTAACCTTGCTCACACGGTGAAACACAACATTAGTATGGATTTAGCGCATGAGGCACCGCGGCCTCGGCCCAGAGCAGGAGAAGGAACGGGGGGTTTTAGTCAGTCAGAGTTTGACACTCCCTTTCACCCGACCCTGGGCGGGAGAAGACATTTCATGATTCCTCACAAAAAAAAACATTGCTTTCGAAACTTTCCGTACCGCTTGACCACTCAAGAAGGATAGATCTTATGGAGAAAATTAAAAAAGTTAGTTCAAACAAGGGCGCGGATAATGGCCAGCAGATTCTTGTTATATTGTTCCCCAAATAACTTATCAAACCATTGAAAAATCAGCTCTCAGAAGCATATATGGTTTTGCTTTTGTTTAAGATAAGGAAACTACCTTTAGCCATGAAGCTTCTTGTATAATACCTTTTTCTGAATTGGCTTTGTCTTCAGCCCAAATTGTGCCAGTGACAACGATTTCGGTGTCATCGGCGGCGAAAAGATTTTTCCTTTGTTTAGTGTATATTACATAAGTCGTTTAGATATGTCCGAAATAGGGTAGGACCCAGAACGCTTCCTTGAGGCACGCCGCACTTCACCTCACGTCCTTGCTAACAAAATTATCTATCTTAACCTTCTGTTTTCTATTTGTCAAATAATCGATAAATATAGAAGGTTGAGAATCTCTATTTCCGATCTTTTCTAATTTTTGGACAAGGATGGGAATAGACACCGTGTCAAAGTCCTTTCTTAGATCTAAAAGCCTAGTTCCTTTGTCGTATTATTTAAGACGTGACAGAATCTTCTGTAGATACACCGTGCCTAAAACGAAATTGAGATGGAGATAAGATATGGTTAGTTCGAAGGTAGCTTTATAATGTGGAGTTTAGATTTTTTATATATTTATGCTATAACATGAATAACAGAGATAGGTATGTAATTGTTAGGGTCATCCTGTTGCCCACTTTAGTATATAGGGGTTATTGTCGATTTCTTTAGCTAAAATAGGGAACGTTTTTTGTTTAAAACAAAGATTAAGTATAAACATAATATGAGGTATGATTGGAATTAATTCATGGTTTACGTGTTTAATAATAAGTATCCTCTTCTGGGGCGCTATCTGGTGTTAGAGAGTTAAGTATACAATTAACTTCATCGGTACCCAATAACAAAGGATTTAAAGAAACTGGGCAAGGAACGTAGGATTAGATTTAAATCTTTCTGGGTTACGTTTTGATGGATGTCTTTCTTGTCGATTGTTTACCATCAGGTCATCCGGCCAGCTCAAAGAAGAAATTTGCAGTTTACCATACTTGCTCAGGCGAAAGGACCTACAATAATTTTCCATAAAATATTATCAAACAATTAACTAAGTAGTAGGTACTTAATCGCGTAATTCGATTTAGATAAAATAATGTTATCTTATTGTGGATCATGTTTACACCTTTGAACAACTGCAACGCAACTCTTGTCAGTGCCGGATTAGCCACGTAGCAAGAGTAGCAAATCCTACGGGCCCCGCGGACTGGAGGGCCCCGCGCTCAAATAGGTATTTCGTAATTACACCACTTCAACAGCAAGACCTATGTAGAAAATGTTTGGTTTGCAAAACTACTACCAAACTTCAAGTAATTTGATTTTTTTCTTAACGAAATAAACGAAAAAAGACAAATAGTCGGTATTTTGTGTGTGTAAGAAAAGGAAAGCGAGTATTTGTCCCCTTGGTTGCTGCCATTGGCGGGCGAACCGAGCCGACGCGAACTGCGCGCACGGCTATTTCCGCCTCACCTCTAGGTATAATATCTATCACGAAAAACGTTGGTATCAAAGTGAACAACAAAAATTTGAAATTGTGTTTGAGTGCTAGCCACACACAAGTTATGTGTTGTACTACTTGCACTGCACTAAACACAAGTTGGCAACACTGCAAAACCATTTGGGGAATTCCCTGATATTGTCATCGATCGAGCTAGCCGTAACTCAAACAAATAAACTAGGATGCTATTGATTATCAAACAATAAGAAATTGATATACACTTTCCTTTTACTCAATATAAAAAACTACTAAGCACTTTAAATGTGAACTATTTGTGAGAAAAGTTATCTTGACATTGCTTCAAGTACTGTTTTCGTGATTGAAGTAGCGCTGTGTGCAATTCATTAAATTATCTTTTTACCGACTTCAAAAACAGGAGGGGGTACTATGTTCGACTGATTGTTTTGTTTTTTGTTTATTCACCGATTACTCCGCCATTTATAAACCAATTTCCAAAATTCTTGTTTTGTTTGAAAGGTTACTCCCCAGAGGGTCCCATTTTCATGAGGTCGGGATCTGATGATATAATCCTAGGGAAACCGAGGGGAACTTTCGAAAATTGTAGGGGCAAGTAGTGCTACAACTTGCCGATAGTCGAACTTGACCTAATGATGGAGCCGGAAGACAGTTGAAGGATCTCTTTGATTATTTGAAGTAGTTATCTTGTGTTTGGGCTTGAATTATTCTTATTGGTGAGCACTTTGCACCAAGATTGCTCGTGACTGCCATTAGGGGTCTGATGATGAGAACGAAAGACAGCTTAGGGAACTCCTGAACGGTTCACAGTAACTACCTCGTGTTTGGACTTAATTCATTTATATCGATGAAAACTTCGCACCTATATGGGTTACAATGAAGTTATGGAGTAAATCTGATGATGGAGCAGGAAGACTGTCGTAAGATCTCTTTGACTATTTGGAGCTATTATGTTGTGCTTGGATTTAAATCAATTATATGGATGAGAACTTTGCACCTATACGGATTACGTAAGTATATTGAAGGTCTGCAGTATAAATGATGATGGAGACCATTGACAGTCGAGGAAATTCCTCAGCGATTTACAGCACTGAACACTGACTAACTCCGGACTACTACTATTATTGTGATTTTCGGTCTCAAGTAGTCGTCGTCTTCTCATTCGAAAACCATTATCATTGCTTGCTCTGCCAAGTGAATCATCAAGGTCATACCAAACAGCAACAGTATTAGAAAATATTGACCGGTGCCTCCTAATCATCTAACTAACAATAGCTATACAGGTAAAGATTACACTATTTTTGTTTTGCTTGGCACCGAATTCAAAATTATAAAATGGTTATTAATATTATTTTCTATTCAACTAAGTGAAAACATGTATTAATTTCTACAAAGAAAAACTATTTTTTGCTGTTTAGCTTACTTTTTGAAGGGCTTGTACACAAAACTGCGATGCGACGTCGCATCGCAAAAATCTGCGAGCTCCCTCTACGCATCGCAATAACTTGCGAATTGATTCGCATCGCGCATTCCACCGGAATTCATAATAGTAATTAATGGATGAACCCAAAATCTTCTTTGTTTCTTTTCCCTGTATCTCCTAAGCAATAATAAAAGTGCACATTTATTTTTACGATCCATGTCACGACCTAGTTTTCAATTCAAAATACGTTTAGTACCTACGGTTAACGGTCGTCGTAGGAATGGTCACCCTGGGAGACGCCTTGCCGCACAAAATCGCATCGCAGCAATTCGTGTCGTAATTTTCTGCGTTGCGAATTCGCATCGCGTCGCATCGCAGTTTTGTATACAAGCCCGAAGTCGGAATATTTTTGTTAAAAATTATTTATTTCACAATCGTCTGATCAAGACCTTAATACGGGATACGCCCTTTATGAATTAGAGGCAAGAGCCAAAGATTTGACTAACTGTGAAGAATACCAGCAGCAGACATCATGACGAATCAAGCGAAATACAAAGTACGACCATTTCAAGCGAAATACAAAGTACGACTATGTTGAAAATCAAACACCTGGACAACGTTTCGAATTTGAGGTGTTTGTTGTCATAATTGATAACGTACTGTCTGCTACAACTAAACGTTTGAAAGCATATCATAAAATTACTAGTGTTTTTGAAGTATTTCGACTGATAAAATCTCTTGCAACAGAAGAGATTTTGAAAAAATCGTCAAAGATGTTCAGTGCGTATGAGGATTATTTGGAGAACGGCGAATTAGTGCAGTTCGTAGGGTTGCTGAAAGCAGATGTGGCTACTGTTATTGACAGCAAGAAACAGGAGCGTCTGGAACTGCAATTTTATAAACTTTTATTAAATAATTCTTTAGAATCGTGTTTCCAAAATTTAGAAATTGCCTTGCGTATTTACTTATCTCTTCTTGATCACTAACTGCAGTGGCGAACGTTCTTTTTCAACGTTGAAACGAATTAAAAATTTATTAAGGAACACT